CACGCAGGCAAACACGCGGATAACATACAAATCTACATAACACACACATACCCAATATGGCTACCGTGGACATCGGCGAGGAGGCATTCCATTTGCGCGTAGGCTACTTGAAGCCAGAAACCTTGGAGATCGCTCGTGCTGAGCTGCGCGAAACGGATGAACTGAGGGCGGAATCGCTTCAGAAACTGCGCGAACTGATCAAGGCAACGCCAGAGCTCAATTACAAGGACGACGATGCCTTCCTCTTGATCTTCCTGCGCGTCTGCCATTTCTATCCGGAGAGCGCATTGGAGAAGGTGCGTACTCTAATAAACTTGAAGTGAAAAGTGGCATCAAACTATATAGCAATGTGATTTATAACTAAAGCCTAAGTGCGGCTCACTGACTTAAATCTTAAGAGTTTCGTAATATTATGGAAATGCAATTTATTCAAAAGAGTTTAAGCTCGTCAGCAGCTGCGGCTACTGTGTGTGCATTAAGTTTCACATACGATCCACAGTGCACACATTTTTAGTTTACTTTTCAAATAGATCACAAAACTACTAAAAATCAACAAATTATCCTGAAATATCATATTATATATGAAGAAGTTTGAAAGTTATTAGCAATTTGGAAATGAAGTGTAAATTACATATGATATGAATCGGAACTTATGATCTTCACTGTAAAAATAGTTCACAAGAAGTTGTCTAATTTATGCATAAAAGTATATTATAAGTTGCACAAGTTGCACATAAACACAATAGGCAAATTAATCCCATGTTGATCCTTGAATAATTCACTTATGATACACATGTGATATACTTATGTTCCACATATGATACACATATAGTCCCCTTGCTTACCGCAACTGATCCAACTATGGATCACTTACGATCTACACACGACCCGCAAAATAGCCACATATGATCCACATACGATCCACATATGATCCACATATGATCCACATATGATCCACATATGATCCACATATGATCCGCATACGACCCACATATGATCCACATATGATCCACATATGATCCACATATGATCCACATATGATCCACATATGATCCACATATGATCCACATATGATCCATATATGATTCACATATGATCCACATTTGATCCGCATTTGATCCGCATATGATCCACATTTGATCCGCATTTGATCCGCATTTGATCCGCAATTGATCCACCTTTTATCCACATATGATATAAAAAAGTTCCAAACTTAAAAATATTATTTGCAAATTTTAAATTACATACGATCCACACAGGATACATTTACATTTACAATTTCTACTAATTATAATATATAAAATATACAAAGGCTTTAAGCATCAAAGTTTCTAAAATTCATAGCTATTAGAAAAAAACTAACAAACAATGTAATCTTCAGTTATACATTTCTTATACGTAATACCGAAGCGATCTAGCTCAGCAATTGAACTTCTAGTCCACCCACATGTCAGGCACGATTAACAACATCCGATTTGCAACAGCAATCGAGTTTAAAATACATCTATAGATCGTCTTATCAGTGCTGCGCTGAACTAAGTTGATATACCTAGTGACCCCCAAGGAGCCAGCTCGGACTACACAGCGGGGTCTACAACCTCAGCTCAGTGTAATCTGAGCGAAAACTGAGCTCGTAAAAAGAATAAAATCAAGTGAAATTAAATGAAATAAAAAATAAATAACTAATGGATGTGGCGAATACAAAATACACTTCTAGCCATATCAATTGTTTATGGCTGAAACATGAATAGCTAAAAAAATTGTAAAAGCATAAATCTTCATACAAACTCATTGGTACTATAAAAATATATGATATAGTGCTTAGATGTTGTTAAGAAATAAGCCAAAAATCAAAAATATGAAGTGAAGAAATAATATCAAATTTTGCTTAGAATACTAGATATATATAAATATATGACCAGATGGATCTATCTATTATATATAGCATAGCTCTTTATGCTCTACAAAGTATTTAGCTAGTGTAGGAATTGCTCCATTTGTCGCTAGGCCGATGAAACTCTTGGAGCGTCTGCCGTCTATGCTGATCCTCGCATTGATACGAGTTTGAACCCGCTGACACTCATAGAAAAAATTGCAAAAAAAACTTTAAGCAAGCGATAAGCAGCCAGCAAGTATTTCTATTTAATATACATGCGTTTCTCTCTATATACATATATATATATAAATATATTTATATATATGTATGTGAGTGTATGTGTGTGTATATATATAATGCATGTAGCTGCTAGTGACCATGACGTGTCCCATGGCTCTGAATTCCATCATAAACACCCGCGCCTTATCGGAGCCATGGTCTTTATGGCCGTTCAATGGTCAATGCGAAAGACGTTTGCTATCGCCCTTGATTGATTAAACACCTGCTTTTTGGCACGCTCTTTTGCAGCTGAAAAGCATTGCCAACTTCCGCAAGGAAAACAAAGCCCTGGTGCATGGCCTGCAGGTGAAGGATGTGCACGAGCGCTTCATCAAGGGCAGCGTTATCAACGTGCTGAAGAACTGCGACCACAAGGGACGACGTGTGCTCATCGTTAACTGTGGCAAGCTCTGGGACCCCAATCTGATTCCCAGCGATGAGATGTTCCGTATGCTGTACGTGGTGCACATTGCCGCCCAGCTGGAGGAGGAGACACAGGTGCGCGGCGTCGTCTGCATCATGGACTTCGATGGCCTGGCCATGAAGCAGGTGAAAGCGCTGTCGCCCAGCTTCTCCAAGCGTCTGCTCACCTTCATCCAGGAGGCCATGCCGCTGCGCATGAAGGAGGTGCACATCGTTAAGCAGCCCTTCATCTTCAACATGGTCTGGACGCTCTTCAAGCCCTTCATCAAGGAGAAGCTGAACAAACGCGTAAGTTGAACGCTCGCTCTCTCTCTCTCCCTCTCTCTTGCTTTTACTAATCTCTAATCTCTAATCCAGATGCACTTCCATGGCAGCGACATGAAATCTCTGCACAAGTTCCTCGATCCCTCGGTGCTGCCGGCCAACTACAAGGGCACCCAGCCAGCCATCGACTACGGCGGCATCGACTGGTTCCCCGCACTCGAGCAGCAGACCGACTACGTCAACACCTGGAGCGAGATGGGACCCGCTAAATGGTAGAGCTCCATGAGTCCTTGGGCAGCCAGCCCAACTTTAGTTAATCTTTGTAATTATAAATATTTTCTTGATTAGTTTTTAGAAATTGACAATAAATTAGTTAAATAATGACAAACCAAAAATTTTATGTTTATTTATTGAGTATCAATCGGGACTTTAATCGAACCAATTGCCAACCTTAAAAGGGTCTATAGACCCCTATATTGTTCCCTGTCTTCTATGGACTTGCCTTGACTTGACAAAATATATTAAGTTAATTCGAAATTAGGGACTGTTAAAGAGATAACAGATCTATATTATTAACTGAAATTTAAAATGAAAAATATTTATTATTAGAGAACAAATCAAATGCCGAAGCAGGCAATGATTCTTGATTCGTAGATCCAACCACAAACTATATCTGTCTGGGCTTGCAGCTCTGTTTGCATACCTTAAAAATAAATCAAATAGATAAGATAGGTTCACGGTGATTCGCAACTATTCGAGTTTCCATACCTGCGCGGTTTCTCAAGGCATATTTCCACTGATATTCTAATAAGCACAAAGGCATATTTAAAAGAAGTAAGAATTGGGGCATTAAAGCTATAGAAGGTGTAGTCTTAGCCAATTTGCCACGCTCCCAAATGGATGTAGTTTTATTTAACATATATTAAAGCAAATTTGAAGTCTTTAGCACTGTTACACCAATATACTCCTATCTATATCTATATATTACTATATACTTACAGTTCTTTTTGATAAGTAAAATCAGCCATAATTTAAAAATATTGAAACTGAAGCAGCCAAAATGTTAGAGGCTTAAAAGAGTTGCAGGTACTTCCCCTGACTAACTGCATTAAAATTCACCTGATATTAAAATTGCATATATATATATATATTTATGAATAGCAAGAATGATAAAATTCGTTTAATTTCGTTGTTAGAAGTTGTAATAAGAGAAGAAATATCGACTAAATTGACACATAAGATATTGTCCGCCGCATCTTAGAGACATTTGATGTCAGAAAAAGTCAACAAATTTAGTTGGAAATGATTAACGTATATATATATATACACTCAATAATGTATAGGGGTATGCCAGCACTTTTAACTGCATCATGAATCAAGTTCATGACTTTTGCGACTTTAACATCTTGAGAAAAATATATCAAGCACAATAAACATAGAACAAACATAAAACGTTGCTTAAATTGGTAAACACAGAAATACAAAATGTTTCAGGCAAGTTATTTACAACATATTTATAAAAAATGATATGGCAAAATGTCTTAAAATATATACAGATTATAATTAAAAGTTGAAATGCTTCGGGTCCTTTGTTAGTTAGGAGAGCGGAGAGTTTTAAAGCAAAGCTAGGCACACAAGCGTGTTTCCCTTAACCAAAGACAAAAAACTAAGCTCATATTGAATATAATTGATTGGTTCGATTTGAATTGAAGCTTTTAGGTATTTAAGAATAGGAGACTAAATACATGTGCTTTGTTTATTTAACAGTTTCGGATTTATCAATGTTGTTTAATGATTAACAAAAGATGAAAGTTTTTATTAAATTAGATCTGTTGCTTGTATATTAAACCAAAATTTACAATGTCTGATCTGTATACATATATCTTTATATATATATATACGTGCGTGTGTTATTTTGAGTAAAACCTTGTAAAGAATATCAATTAGTAAACATTATGTAGTTATTACACATTTATATATATATATATATGCTATATAAGCGCTAAAAGTTGAGTGGGATCCCATTCGGGGCCAAACAGGCTCAGCGCAGGTCAAGGGCAGCAAACCAATTTAAAATATACAATACAGAGCATTGTATATCGTTATTTAATATGATGAACAGTGAACAACAGAACTAGTCCACACTATGTCGGATAGCTTAAATTGAATCCGTAGCATTTTACACTATCATTGAAGCCGGATCCTCGATGAAGTCCCGGAAATGTTTTAGCCATACAGCGGCGACGGCGCCATCGACCACTCTGTGATCGGCGCTCAGCGTTACGGTTAGCATATTCACTTCCTTGAATCTAGAATGGAAAGCATAGAATTAGAGACAGATCTATAATTAGTTAGCCTACAGAAATACCCTTTGTCGCTGTTTGGATCCAATACAAGCTGTTTCGTTGTTGTGCCAATGGCTAAGATGCAGGATTGTGGAGGGTTGATGACGGCACAGAATTGATTAACACCTGGAGCAAAGATTGAAGCATTAGTAAAATGCTATAAGACATATATGTATATTAACTACGTCCTTACCGAACATGCCCAAATTGGACACGGAGATGGTGCCTCCCTGGAATTCATGAGGCTGCAGTTTGTTGTCGCGTGCCTTCCCTGCCAGCTCCTTAACATTCTTAGAGATTTCTAACACTCCCTTACGATCGGCGCCAAAGATAATGGGCGTTATAAGTCCCTTATCAGTGGACACCGCCACAGACACATCGACATCGTCGTATTGCCGAATGAACGTGTCCATCCAAGCCGAGTTCGCTTCGGGCACCTTGCGACATGCAGTCGCCACGGCCTTGATTATAAAATCGTTGATGGAGACGCGTACGCCTCCCTTCTCATTTTTCTTGTTTATGTGTGCTCGGAACTTCATCAGCTGTAAATATAATAGATAATATAAATAACTCTTCTACTACAAGAATGACATGGAAATCTAGATAGTAATAACAAATATAATTAACATATTTAATTCAATTAGCAACGACGCAGTGACAATTTTGATGAACTTCTTGATGTAGTTTATAAATAGAACAAAGATTTAGATCAGGTTTACTAATCGAAAGAGCTAGGCCTTGATTGGTACCATGAAATGATCCAATCTAAACAGAGTTTGAGAAGATAAGTTTAGATTGTCGTTAAAATTAATAACTAAAAATGGTCTAGTCTAGACATATATATATGGTCTACATAAAGTTTACAATTTAAATAATATACATTTAGTTATTTAACAATTGTTGTTATTCACACTTAAGCTATAACGCTGCGCTTGCTACTGAACTTACCGTGTCCACCTGGCAATGAACGGTTACGTAGTAATGTGGCAAATTCTGCTTGGACTCCAGCAGTCGCTTGGCAATGACTGAGCGCATCGTAGTCAATGGGATGTCCTTGAAGCGCGCATCAGACTTGGCAGGTTTAGGTGCTGGCTTTGATGATGGCGCGGCTGCAAGATCACCAGATTTAAGTGAGCCATGGACGCCAGAACCTTTGCCTGTACAAAAGGCCAGTATTAGTAACGGAACAGTACAAGCAGAAGTTGGGTTAGTGGAGCATATTGCATGCACACAGTGGGAATAGTGGGCTTATTGAGTATAACCTTGTAAACGGAGCTGCTTTGTTTCCGCTAGCTTCTTGGCCATGGGACTAGCATAGACACGACCGCCACCTGATGCTGCAGCCGGGGCGGGCGCAGGTGGTGATGGCGCGGCTGCTGGTGGCGGGGCTGCAGGTGCGGCAGCAGCAGGGGCTGGAGCTGCTGCTGCTGCTGGTGGTGGCGGTGGTGGGGCTGCTGGTGCTGCGGCAGCAGCAGGCGCGGCTGGACCACCGCTGTCAACGAAATTCTTGAATGCAGCAATGCTACTCTCATCAGGGACAATAATGCACACCAGCTTGCCGACTGGCACATCCTTTGTCCCACCGGGCACCAAAATTTTGGCCAGATAACCCTCCTCGGGTGTCTCAAAGCCCATGGTAGCCTTATCGGTTTCAATTTCGCACAGCAAATCACCTGGATAGAGGAGTAGTTGTTATTTTATAAGCGCTACTCCTAACGGCTCGAATTACCCTCGTTTAGCTTATCGCCTTCCTTTTTTTCCCAACCGACAATGGAGCCGCGATCCATAGTCGGAGATAGCGCTGGCAGCGGGACACGTATGTGCTCTGGCAAATTGGCGAAGGCGCGGACAAAATTGTACTTCCATGCTGGCAATAATTGATTTCGACTGAGGATCGCTCTACTATGTAGTGGTGACCTGCGAGGACAGATTCAAGTTAATTCCGTTAAATCGATTGACAGCTGGCAATCAGCTGATTGCTGTTATCGATAACAGGCACACAAAATGTAAACAACAACTGCTGCTGGCAAAGGCCAATCAGAAATTTTGTTTGAAAATTTACGGCAAGCGCTTATCAGTGGCGATTAGCTTGGGTCATCATGCGACGCTCATTTCACTGTCACGCACTGGATGCACGCACAAACATACACATAAGCACACGCGCGCGTATACACGCAAAATTAGCAAATTAGCACCCGCTTCCCGACAACCCACCCACTGGGCTGCATATGCAATATTACACAACACGCTTTATAACCTCAACAACAAGTTGGTCAGCCTTTTACCTGATGGGCATTTGATTGCCAACACTGCATAGGGTCCGGACTCCATAGTTAGAATCCGATCTCACCGGTCGGGCTCGAAGCAAGATGACGCGCAAGGCGCCCAATTCGTTTCTTGTCGCAGCGATAGAGCGTAGCATGGTCCTTATGGGATTTCGTCCGACGCTTTTGATGCTAGTTTCAACTTTAACGCGATATTATAATGGCTATTAACGTATTGAATTGAACAGTATGCTACACGTTCTGATAATTTAGATTTAGAATAAAACCAGTCGAATCTGTAGTCGAAAAATTATAACGCAAAGCCACCAGCCGACCTTATTTAACGCCACTAGGTCACAACTTGCTACGACGACTCTGTTTCAGATTTTGTACGCAGCCCTGCTTTCTAGTTAACATTGGTTGTTTACTCTTATCAGAACTGACTCCTCAGTGGATACAACTCTGTTAGGTAGTTCATAACAGATGTGTATGGCTCCACACCCAGCATATTTGCTCCTCACGCATTTCATTGTAGTCGACTATCGATTAAATAATTGACAACTAATGGAAACAATTGAACTTTATTTGAACATATTTAAGCTAAATCAAATTAAAGACTTTAGCTCTTTGAAATTCCTATAATTATTAATAATCTTGCTTTAATTTGAATCTTAAAACCATCAAATTTATTTGCGAAATATATTACACATTGATGTACATCTGTCTTATCGATAAGTCTTAAATGCTTATGATGGAGAATATATTTTTCTGACGATTACTTACTTAACAGAAGCATTTTCCAGTTAACAGTTGTTTATATTGTTGTATTTTCATTTTCCAAGTTTATTTTAAAACACATGTGAATTTGATGCCAATACGCATAATATATACAAAATCGAAACTCAACTACATTTCTATATATCAGCGTTGCCACCTGTCCACAGCAAATGTTTCACAGCAGGTAGCTCAAACATATGATAAAAGGAAAACAAGTAACTCATTTCATTCTAAGTATTTATTTTGAAAGTTACATTTGTAGACATAATATTCTAGGCCCTTCACGAGACGCACCAGCAAATGCAAATCACCGCATATTGAGTGTACTTCAACATGTGCCGGGTTTCCAGTGACACCAGAGCACCTGATGAAGTACAATAGACATGGGGGAGACACAAGATATTTGACAACGGGTGGAGACTGAAGTTTGCAAGCTAATGTTGAATGCGTCTGGCCACCACGCGCGCTACTTCAGGTACCTGACTGAGATAATCAAAACCAGCCCCGGTCACTGATTAGCGCGCACGGTAAAAGACGGCGCAGCGGGTTAGGGGAGAGGTACCAGACCAAGATAAGCCCAACCAACAGATGTTGCCAACTGGTTCGAAGTAACTGCTGTGACTCCTAAAGCCACGCAGGAAACGACCTTGCGCGCTGTGTCCATGCCGAGCTTTAAGGTTAACGATCTCTGTACGTGTGTCTGTTCATGCGACGACGCCGATGACTTCATTCCAAACTCACACGCATATATACACACTGCCGAACATACACATTCGTATATAAATGTATGTATAACCTCATATGTGTAAGCTTTTTGAGCTGAAGCTTTGTCGCCGCAGACGTCGCTTTAACCTCGCCAATTCTTATAGCAGCCTGTGAGAAATTTGCTGCTCGACGCAGATTTATGCAATAACAATACGAAATTAGTCATGTTTTTTTTTCATTGCGCACCTCGATCTGCCTGACCATACGAATGCACACATTCATAGATACGTGCTAATGGCTACATAGTCCACACTCCAGCGAATCGGATGTGACGTCATCGGTGGCCAAATGCGAAAGTAAAATTTTTTTCGCTTGCAGCAACAGTTAGTCGTTGTCATATTCGCAGCCAGGGACCGACCCTTGATATTCTATATTTGAAACGCTGTAAAGAAAAAGTCAAAGCTGAAAAGAAAAATCCAATATAGAAAGAGAAACGACAAAAAGAACCGGCGTTTCGTTGCTCTCACGCTCTCTTTCTCTCTCTATCTGTTACTAAGCGCAGCAACGGTACGTGCGTGATCGCCGACAAACACTCTCGCACACGCATACATATGACCTGGCAAGTTTTGTGGCGCAGCCGAGACACACACGTGCCCCACTACATTCGCGAATTCTCTCGTACATATGCATGTATATGCACAAACACCAACACGCAGCTAACTGCAGAGACAGAGGGCATAAAATCGAATTTGCAAACGCGTTCAAAGTATTTCGCCTCTTTTTTCTCTTGTTTGTCCTCTCTCGCTCTCTCTGCGTCTTGTCTTTTGCACGCTGTTCGCCAAAAAGGAATTAAATGAATTGCCAGCAGCTACACTTTTGTATTTTACAACAGCTCATAAACTTTAAGCCTCTCGCGCAGATTGTGGTATAATGAACTTGGACTTGCTGCCGCTCAAGTCTGTAAATATGTATGCGTGTGCTCGTGCCTGTACGAAAGTATGTGTATGTGATGTGTCACGGCGGCTGGTGCCGCTGCTGCTGCGATCGCGAGCAACTTTTGACTGCCGCGCGTTGTGAATAATTGCAAATTTTGTTCGAATGTCGTTTTGTCGTGCCCAGCCGAGCATGTGTTAGTGTATGTGAGTGAGGCATTTAATGTACATGTATGTACATATGTATATAGCAATGGCGACGACGTCGAGGCTGCCATATGTACATATGTGCAATGCTATATACGTATGTATGTATATATAATGAGCAGCAGGCTAGCAGACATGACTGCTTTATATACCAATATGTACCTATAAAATTATATATATATCTATATATATTTATATATTTATATATATATATATATATATATATATATATATATATATATATATATATATATATATATATATGTGCCTTGCTTGGGTGGGGCATTCCTAACCTCAAATAGTAACAATGCGCCGACGACTGCCGAGTGCATGTCTATCTGCCTGTGTGTGGGTGCTGCCTTCGCCTCTCAAACTCTCCGCCTCGCTCTCCGTCTCCCTCTCTTAATCTGAGTGCTGCAAAATGCAAACACATGCTTTTCAACTGAGCACGCCCTTAACCCTGAGTTGAAGTTTGCCATCAAATATTTTGCAAATCCGATCAGACACACACACACACACAAACTCACGCACACAAAATTGCCAAATTTAATGGTGTATGCGTAATGTCGTCGTGGGTCTGGGCAACATTTTTGTCTAAAATTAATATTTGGGCGACAAAAAGTTCTGCGGCGTGCTTGTGTTGGTGTAGCTTTGTCTCTCAGTTCGCGTGCGTGTTGTGTAGGCAAAAGAAATTTGGAAATATGTAAAATCTACAATGTGTAGAATCATGTGGTCGTCGCTTCAAACAATTTTGCAGCTATTTGCGTCACTCTTTCGTTGCTGCCGTCGGCAAGAAATGTAGAGGTAGCTTCGTCTCTCAGCATGAAAGTTTCGTCTGTGTGCGTACCGAAAATTTGTTGTCTTGTTGTTGCTTTTGCTACAGCTGCTGCTGCTGCTGCTGGTGCCTTGTGATATCAAAACGCTAAAAATAAACCCAACCTCAACTACAAATTTTGTTCAAGTCTTCTTTTATAACGAGCATTTCGTCGCTTTTGACCTGCGTTAATTCCGTTCGAATGGCAGAAAAACCCAGAAGCAATTACGCGTCGATGACGCTGTCACCCGCCCGCCAATCCGCTCAAGCATTGAATTTCACAATATGTTCTGTGTCCGTTTTTTTTCCATTACTCTTTTTTAACTGGTCTTATATTTCGTTCACAGTAAACTTCCGTTGCACTTGGCTTGCGTCTGTTTGGCTGCCTGGCTGGTTGAGCTTTTTTCTTTCTTTTCTTTGTTGCTTTAATTGTTCACACACACGCGCGCTACAAATTTTAACTTCATTTTCTTTTTAGTTGTCCATCGCTCATTGCACACACAAGCACAGACCCACTCACACAATTTCACGCACACACACTGAGAGAGACACAATCGGCCACTTGATGTGCAAATGGCCGACTGTGTGGCCGCCTAGAAACGCTCTGGCCTTTTATTTTATTTGGTTCTGATTTTGACTTTGCCTTTTGCTACTTGCTACTTGCTACTATTTTGCCAGCTCTCTGTCGATTGAGCAAAGCAAAGCGAAGCGAACCGCGCACGCCGGCTGTTGGTGATCAAATGCTCAATGTTGCTGCTTAATCAAAAGCCGAATGCGCGAATTTTATTTCGCATTGCCACAAAGTCGACGTCGCTGCTGCTGTCGCAGCCACTGCTGCTGCCAGCAGCGTCAGCTGTCTGTGTGTATGTGTTTGCAACAAACACTAATACACATAAGCAAAAGCAGCACCAGCAGCAGCAGTCGTATGTGTTGCCGTTTCTTTCGCTTCCTGCTTCCTACACCGCGCTTTCCGCTCACCAATACATGCGCACAAGCATATATTGCATATACTTTTGCCCAGTTCTCACTCACGGGTTCCTTTGTTATAAAACTGGCAGGCACCACCAGCCAACAGACTGCAACAAAAAGCACGCACAGTGGGTACTACGCTTTTCATGTCTTCAGCTTAGAGAAAAATATATTTTAACGTGTCCATTACATATCATCATTACATACATTCGACAGCAGAAAGCTATGAGAACTGAAGCTTTACTTTATTCTGTATAACATGTGTTGCACTGACTGCGCGCAGCAATTCTAAGTTACCTACCTTAATTAAGAAACAGATGTTTTATATAAATAATAAAAGAAAAACAACAGATGTATTATACCGAACTTTTCCTATTGTAATTTAATCTGTTTTCACTCTTCTGAGTAGAACAATGTCATATACAAATTATATAATATAAAAGTGCTATATGATGGGCTGATTAAGCAAGGCGTTATTTGCATTTCACGAATAGAGCAATGCGCTAATGAGTCAATCTATATGCGAGTAGGTATGTTCTTTCTGGTTCTTTAAATAAATCTTAGAGAATTGATATAAAACCTTTACTATATATGAACATTTATTTAAATTCAAGTATTACCCACTTTTCGCTGGACCAAGACTGTTCATATATTTATATGTATTCATTATAGAACAAATGAAATAAATGTATTGATTGACTTCTACTTTTATTTTACTTTGTCTTCAAGTCAAAAGCTTTCACTACATGCCCAACGTGCGCGTACCACTGTGCGACGGATTGATGTCTGCGTCTGGCAGGGCGGAATTGTCGTTGCCTGGCTGGCTGGCTGCTTGCCGTGCTGCTGGCGTCGCTGTCGATGTTGCTGCTGCTGCGACTGCGGCTGCATATGCATTTTGGCCATAAACGTGGCGTGCAGTCGCAGTCACTGCTCGCTCGCAACTCGGCTGCGTCCCTTGGTTTGTGCAGCTTTTGTGTCTCTTCAGCCCCTGTTCGCTGTTTGCAGCTCTCGGCTCTCTGCTCGCTACCTGTCTGACGCTTTGTTTTTCTGTGCTTTGGTATTGGTGTGTGTGTGTCTATGTGCACGTGAATGTGTGTGTGGCGTTGCCTCACTCACTGCTGAGGAGTGTCTGGGCGGCAATGTCAATGCGCCGCTGCTGCTGCTGTTGCAGCCGCCACCGCTGCTGCCATCGGTTGTGCCTGCCTCTGTCTCACAGTGTGCACTTTTTGCGATGCGCTGTTGCTACACAAACCGCCCCAGCCCCAGCCCCGCCCCGCTACGACAACTGCCATGTAAACGCGTTGGCTTTTCTTGCCCACTTCCATGATTCATCTTGGGGCCCCTGAAGTGATGAGCTCAGTGGTGAACAATAAAAAAAGAAGTAGAAAAAAAATATAAATCTCAAGACGGCTGCGGCTGGTTTCTTTTCTTCTCATCATTTGTTCGCCACTCGAGTATATATACATATATATTTAAGTCAGAATCAGAATCGGTATTGTATGGAATTTTTACTATGTATATGCTATTATTAATTAGCTACCAACAAATACTTGAGGCCTTAAGCAATATACACAAATTATAATGAATATCTATGGAAATACACATTTACGAAGAGTCCACCAAGCACACCTGGGCGTGCTTCCAACCACGTGGCTATGGTGAGGCGCTCGGTTGTGCCGGTATAAAGGGCTGCCAGCGCAAACAGGAGTCGTCGATTTTTGGAAATGTGCCGCGGCGCTTCACTCGTTCCTCATACTCATCCAGCACATCCTAGAAATTTTGCAAATATTTTCATATTTGAGCTTTGAACAGTAATTGATCAGAGTTAGCTGAACTCACCTGTTTTTTGAGCACTATGTGCTTGCCCTTCCAGTATTTCATCATGCCCAGCGCCTGGAGTGTGCTTACAATATCATACGAATAGATGGCCATTTCCTGCGATAAGCCGAAGATTACAATAATTATTAAAGTTCTACTATATCACAAGATAGAATTGCTCACCTGAGAGACATCTTTGATGCATAGCGTGTTGCCGGAACGATTGCACAGATAGTCCAACAGCACATCCTTCCAATATGAACGATATGATATAAGGCCCAGATCCGACAGCGGTTTCTCCGGCGAACCAATTTTGCCCTCGACACGGGTTAGCAGATAGCCTGGTAAAAGCACATTAAACACATGCCCATAAGTATGCTATAGATAGAACTAGCTTTCAAGTTCCGGCGTATTATTTATGGTGACCAACTTTGCCCCGCCCACACGGCCCTTAGCGTACCCAACTCAGCGTTGTGTGTTGTGTCTAGACAGGATTCCACAAAGTGTGCGTCCCAAATGGGTGGCGGGAAGGAACGAGTGAGCGAACGAACGAACAACAACAACAACAACAATAATAATGTCGACGACGACGGCGGCGGTTGGCGGCCCGGCCACATGAATGACGAGCGGCGGGCATTTAAACAGCGTTCTGGCGTACATTCAACCCAAAAGCTCAACCCCCAAAGCTCGACGACGTCGCCGACGTCTGGCAGCAACAATTCTCGAGTCTAGATAACAACAACAGCAACAATGAGTGCAGCAAGTAAATCAACGAGGACGAGCCCGGCGTGCCCTCACAACACAAAACCCACTGAGGCAGGCTCGGGTAAAAAAGGCAACAGCACAGACATGTAATACATACAAACAAGTTCACAAACACACACTCGTACGCAGACGCTAGACGCACTCAATAGCAGACACAACTGCAACTGGTTGAGTTATAGCGGGGAATGCGGGACTGAAAAAAACAGCGTGCGAAAGCTTCATCTCAGCCTCAGTTGTTGTTATTGTTTTTTTTTCTAACGTACAATGGAGCGGAACATGTGTATGTCACGTACATTTCTGCCAGCCCTATGTGTGCGTGAATGATCTTTGCACTCGCAGCTGTGCGATGAATTTGCATATCACTATCGATATGCGTGCCGCAATTGGCAGCACAGCTGCTTATCGATAGAATAACTTTACAAATAAAACATATTTATGTCAGCGCTAATTTGTATTCTACAGTAAACAAAAATGAAGTGCTGCTCTGTATTGAACTGCAATTATACAAGCCAAAAGGATGGGAAATTAATAAGTTTCTTCGCTTTACCGAAGAACAACAAACTTGCCAGAAAGTGGCTCGAATTCTGTGGCAATCCAAAGCTCAAATATAGCAAGGGCATATTCGTTTGCTCCGAACACTTTAGGCCCGAAGATATTGGCGGCGCCAGAAGATTCGAAAGGGGTTTGTAATCACAATTACTAATTATTTAAATGATCTAATACCATTTTTCCAAAAGGCATGTGCAGGGGGCGATTAAGACCAGGTGCAATACCCTGCATTTTAAATTTAGACGGTGAAACAACAAAAAATCGAACAGAACAGTCCAACAACAAAAGCATAGAGGACGATCTTTTAGGAAGCTTGAATATAAAAACAGAAATATCTGTATCGGAAAACAATGAGGACGAAGCAACCAGAGGATTGGAAAATTTGCAGAAAGTGATCAAAACTGAAGTTAACCTTAAGAAATTGGATGATCTTCTGGATAGAGAAAGCTCCGAGGCTGTCATTGACGAGCTAATTAATGAAATGTATGTTTAAATTTCAATTAGAATTCCTCAGCTAACTGAAGAGCAGTTTAGCTAGTTCAATTGGTTTGCACACAAATTAAATTTGCTTATACATATATCAAATTAAGACTTGATATTAATTCACTTATTGGCTTTTCCATTACAGCAAGGACTTACGTTTGGAAAATATGCGCTTAAAAGTCAATTTACAGTTGGAGCATAAAAAATACAAAGCTGAAATTAAAAAACTAAATGAAGAACTTGAAGACGCCAAATCGCAAATATTTCAACAACAATATATGAAATGAAGAAACTGCAGCTATTCGCCAGTCAAAGGAAAAGTGATAAAGAGAAATCTAAGTGATAGACAGTTGTTTTATGTCTCTTTTGTTTATTTTATTATGCCTACCACTTTCTATATATATAATCGAAATCTAAATGCCGCAATTATCAACATAAATATTTGATAGGAAAATCCTTCACTAAAATATATTTAAAAGCCATGAACCTGTGTGAAATGTCGTAGCCAAATGCCTTTCTACGTTAGAAATGTAAGATTTATGCCTAATGAAAAAACCCTAATAATACTTATGATTTTTAATCAATTTAAGATATATCCATTTATGTAATATATACAAATTATAGTTTTATATCCTGAAAACATTCTTATTAATGCTGCGCCTCAAATACATAATATATAAGCCCTAATCCGAACTGGATCAATAGTTATTTTTGTTCGTTTTCAAAGATTTGCATACCACTGTACGCGAAGCTTTGAGGTCTGCTCTGCACTACCCACATGGATATGCAGTTGCTTTTGGGCTAGCGTTTTGATTTCTTTGCGTCTGTCGTTGCTCTCTCTCTCTCTCTTTCTCTTTGTCGCTCTTCGTCCTGTCTGCGTATATATTTTTGTGTGTGTGTTTCTTAGTGTGAGGGGCAACGTCGAGACGACTTTATCGATCCATGGCTGATTCGCATTCGTTGGCCGAGCTGCGCAGCATTGCCTACCCACAGGCGCATGCAGTTGTCTCGACTAGAGAGCAGACTTGCAACTGATGAATGCAACAACAACAACAACAATGCGAAACGTAACGCAGTTGCAAAAACAATTAACAACTTAAGAATCTTAGTCAATTAGCAGTGCACTAATAATTGTTGCTTCTGCTGCCGCCGTTCTTAGTGCAATTAGCAAAAAAGCTCGTTTGCCGGGTATCCGATACTCGACTACTCGTCTACTCGACTAGTTCACTAGCTGCAGCCGCTTGCTCGACTCGCAGCACGCAGAGGACGACGCCCTTTCATTGTGACCTGCGCTGACCTTTGTTGTCTGCCGCCAATTGCGCTGTTGCCTGTTGTTGTTGTTGCTGCTGCGTTGCTGTCTGCAAAAGTTTTTGTATATTTATTTTCTTCATTTTGTTTTAATTTTATTTTTATGCGCGAGCTTTAAACGCCCGCTGAAAATTTTTGGGGCTGTAACTTTTGCAACGTCGCTTTGTGGTTGGGCTTGATTTCATTAATTAATACATTAGCCTGCAGATAAGGGCGAGCATAGTCCCTCTCCCTCTCTCTTTCTCTGTCTCTTTGCACATTTGCATATTGCGTGCATGCAGTTATTACACCTGGCCATATTATGTACTTGATACGCACACACATATATATATATATATATATATATATATATATATATATATATATATATATATATTCATGTATACATATACATATGACTATCTCGCTCGACTGCCTGGCCGTTTGCTAATGAGCCAGACTCGTCGACCGCTCGGACAGGCGGCCCAGACACTTGACGCTGTCCTTAACCCTTGCAGTTGGCCCCCTTGTCTTGGCCGGACACCTGTCCTCCAATACAAAAGGGCCGAAACGCCACACATTTTCTGGGTGTTTGTTAATAATGACGAAAACTGTTTGCACTCGCACTACGTTCCCTCATGCTGTCTCGCTCGCACCATACACTCGCTTTGCTTACGCTCTCTCTCAACTCTGGCCATTTGCTTGTTTGTTTGTGTGTGTGTAAGGTCAATGTCGTTTCGTTCGTTCTGCTATGCCCTCCCTCCTCATTCTTGCTTTCTCTCTCTCTCTCTAGCTCTCTCTCTCTTTCTATCTCTCCTAGGAGAGGAACGTGTGTGGACGCCCGCATTGCATGTATCGACTTTATACATAGAGACTGACGTGGACGCCGTTGCCATTCATCCCATCCAAGTCGCGTATGACTCAAGTACTTGGCGAGAGCGGGGGAAGGGGTTTAATTCTTTTTGTTGTTATATTTTTTTTGCTGCCGCTGCTGCGCCTGTTTCTTTATTGTCTGGCGTTGTCTTCGTCCATTTCAAAGGCGGATTAATTTTAAACAATTTTGGTGGCAACAGCGATAAAAAAAATTACTTATACTTGCATATACATAGCTATATATGTGTGTATGTATATGTGCTTATGTGTGTGTGTGTGTGCATACACACCTGCGAAACTTGGTCTACGCCTAATTGATGCAGAAATTGCATGCATCGCTCTGCAGCATGAAAAGCTAAGCTCGACTGGAGCCGCTGTCTATGGCTGGCATGTCGCTTGACTTCTCTCATGCAATCATGATTAACTATATTGCACTACTAGCCCGCCATATAAGCCAATGAGTCACACGCACACCTCACGTACCACTTAAATCGATAGCCGGCTCATTATGGCCAGCGGAAAATAAATATACAAAAATATTCAATTTTCTCTCCACTTGTTCCCCATTTGCTTTCAGGTTCTAAGAAACAGCAAATATCAATTTCATTTTTAAATATCTGTGTTCTAGATCGAATATGTCTTAGGAAGATATTTTAGAGAAAAAGAAGCATAATCATATTTCATGATCAATGATATGATATTTATGTATAAGCTTTGGTTAAAAAAGAACAGGAAAGCATATAAAATTTGACTGAAAGATGGAAATTGCAAAAGGCTTCGGTAAATATATTATAATTGAAAAATATAATAATTGAAAAATATTTTTTTGATATTCAATATTATAATAAAAATCAATACAAAATATAGAATTCTATATTTCTATATTTTCAATTTAAAAATAATAAAGAAACTTTCAAAGCTCAATATAATTATTTTTAAGAACAAAAAAATAATCTGAAAACTAATTATATAAAGTTTTCTTACAGTTTCTCACTTTATTTATTAATTTGTTTTAATTTAAGAATTGAAATATTTCATAAATGGAATGGAAGGAGTAGTTCAAATATAAATCTTTGCTTGAGGATTATATAGCCAAAATTGAAGAAAATATTGGCTAAGGAAGTAACTAGTCTGCCAGCCATCCTTATAAACGTTATTTACTTTAATAAGACTATTTATAAGTTAAAGGTAAATATGAAAAACGAGCAAACTTCAACAAGGAACTGAGTCGACTGCGCAATACTCGCTGAAGCTACTTCATTTGCAACTATATATAAGAATATAGGAACTTTAGAAACTATATTTCTATAAACTATATTCTAAATGGGCGCGAATTTATCATGCCAACTCGCATCGAGCTGCACTCAACTGATTAATTTCGACTTCCAAAACTCACTTCTCTAGCATCAAAAGCGGCGAAAGAGTTTGCCTTCATACGGACTGATGGACAGCAAGAAGAATATAGCTTAAAATCAATATGCGCTTTTTAATTTGTGAACGAGTGTAAATAGAAAAGGAAAATGATAATCAAAAGCGCTAGAGCTATAAACAAATCAATTATCAAAATGTATATACAGATGATGTGTATATAATTATATATATAACAGCTTAGCTTTTCTTTCAACTAACATGTTTCACTCTGTATAGAATTTACTCAATTTAAGTTCCAGCTGAGAAAATATATAGCAAACATATATTATATATTATATAAGAAAAATAAAAACTATAAGAAACTAATCTGATCAGAGATTCTTATTGAAACAAACAAACTTGAAGTCAAAAATTGTTAGTAAAAAGTTTAGAAGGCTTAAGTTATTGAAAAAGTCAAAAATTGTTGGCAAAAAGTTCAAGTTCTTGAGCTGTATCTTATATATGGGAATAAAAGATTTGAAAATTCTTTAAAGAAATTTCAAATAAAAAACTTTCCTTTAAATCACACACTCAAAACTTGATCTTTAGGGACTTTTCTATCGCTTTAACTTTAGATTATTCCCAGTTATGTTCAACAAATAAATTGTTGTTAATCATAATTGTTTAGTAATACTTGTACCACCCACGAAAATGCAATTTTTGGACTTACTGAAATCAATGAGCAGCCTGCCGTAGCCCTTGCGCTGATATGGTGGCAGTGTCAGGATGCAGGAGACGTTATAAAACGAGTTTTTCTCCTGCAAAAACGGAATATGCTGAAAGTAGAGATAAATTCGTTAAGATAATCGCCAGATTGACTGAAAATGCAGTATTTGAGATCAAGACTAGAGAAACCTTAACTTTCCCTGACTTTCACTCAAGTTTATATTGGAATAAACAAAAGGAATTGATTTATTGAAGTTATGAGTTAATTGTTAATTCAATCGATGAGAAAATGCTGGAATGATAAGTCAATCAGACGAGCATATAGATGGAGCTGGAGCTGGAGCTGGCCATGGATAGACTGGGGGCTCAGACAGCTTTGGTTTGGGGGTTTTTGTCATTTGATGCTTCTAGCTTTTTCGGGAGTTCAATGACCAGGCGTCGCAGAAACTGAATCGATGCTCTGCAGCGTGCAATGCGTAAATACACACGCACACACACACACACAGGCACACATCATGTAGTACATATGTAGCTGGGTATATAGAAATATCATGTATATATAAGCGTAAGGGGCATACGCGCTAATAGAGAGCGGGCGAGACGACAAAGAGATCCAAACCAAGTTTTTCGACTGTGCAGCGCCTGATGCTGGCAGAGGCGGGTATGGGTGAGGTGGGAGGGGGAGGGGCTGCCAAAAAATACGGCTGGGTGTGAACTCCAAAAGGCAACAATTCGCAATTCGCAATTCGGAAATACATTTATGTACTTTGCATTTTTATTCTTTGTTTGCCGCGTCGTCTGCCATGATGTCTGGGAACGCACATACGCGGCCAGCAGCAGCAGCTGGGTTTTTTGGCCAACACCCCAACCAGTTGGAGCAGGCGCACGACTGAGCAGCGACCGTCGAGGTGCACGACCTCAATCGTGCACGCCCCAGCAGCAGCAGCAACAGCAGTCGCAGCAGCAGTCGCAGCATCCCCGGCTGGCTGGTTCAACTGCCTGCCCCAATCCGTCATGTCTGGCTGCTGTCTGGTGGCATAGTTGCGCAGTATGAAGCCGCATGGTGGCAGGGCCAAGGTACTCCACACACACAGACAAAGCATTGCCAAAATTTAACTAACTATGAGTGTGAGCCATGTAAACTAGAAACACCCGAATTGTGAGTAGTGTGTAACCAGCTGCTGCTGCTAGTGCTGCTGCTGCCGCTGGTGCCTCGGCTGCACCTACGGGTTCTGGGATGAATGGAATACAGAAAGCCACACCAACTACGCTTGGGACTGGGTCCGGGACTGTGTGCCTGCGCAGCAGCCCGGCGCGACATGCGCAATTTGTAACACAAACCCAGTCTCTGGCAGCGCCCAAAAAACTTGTATGCAACTGCAACTGCGGAGGGGGCGCCGCGGGGGCATCTTGCAGCTGCAGAGCTCGGCTAGACGCCATGTTCAGGGGGAGGTCAAGAAACCGTGCGCACATGGCAGACAATGTACTTTGTGTTTATGCCTTTTTTTCTTCTCTCAATTCTTTTTTTTTTTTAGTTTGCTGGGGAAATCTCCACTTTGTGCCCGCCCGCCCTGCCACGCCCCGCGGCTGGTGTCAGCTTATTTACTCCTGGCTCAACGCGGTTGACAAAACAATTTTTGGGTATGGTCAAGAATGCTGCCTGTCTGGGCATATGTACAGCAGAGCACAGTCTATCTATCTTCCATGTATTACATGGATTCTGGATGCTGGATGCTGGAAGCTGTATTCTGGGCTCTGGGTTCTGGGTTCTGGGTTCTGTGTTCTGGGCTCTGGGCTGGGCCCAGCTCTGCTCGGCTCTGTCTGCACACATAAAAGAATCATAAAACTGTGAAATGGTATTATTCAATTTGGTTGCAAGTTTCCACAAAGAGAACTAAGTATGGCCGGAGTTAATAGATTGATGTATGAATACAAAGTAAAGAAAATATCAAACAAATATTGTCTAATGTTAAGTCTAATCTTACTTAGTATAAAGTTAGCTTATCGATATAACTTGGACTTGCATAATTCATATAAATTGACAAGTTTCGTGAGGGCAAATCAGACTCGCTTTACTCCTCATTTCGTACTCCCAACTCACATTTGTTACTTAACTTGAACTGAAATTTAGCTGACAAAAATAACTGTGCCTGAAACTAAAACTCAGAATACTTTTTGGCTAGTTAACTATAATAATTTATACAAATCTGCTGCAGATAAACTCAACTTCAAAGAGAGGTGGAGAGGAGCTCATGAACAAAAACTGAACAAAACGATTTTAGCACTACGAAGATTGAGCTCTGAGCTCAATTGTTGTTTATTTTTTTTTTAGAAAATTATTAGTGTAAAATAGAATATATAAGAAATATAAGTTGAAAATAGATCACATTTTGCATAAATAAATAGAATTTTGAGCAAACTTATTGAATTTTGTAAGGTGCAGTCAAAACCCCATTCAAAATAATTTCCAATCGGTTTATGATACTTGGGAATTGGCATTGAATATAGAGTTAGTTAGCTATTATTCAATATTATATTTTTTGTGTATGTTTATATTTAGTTATTATCATTGTTTTAGATTTTTTATATAATTTATTCTTATATTTCATCATTATTATCATTTATTCAATAATAATAATCATCAAATTTCGCAAATTCAGTTCGAGTTTTTATGTAAAACTTCAATTTCTTTTAACGAAATCAATTTAAACTTATAAAAACTTTAACGTTATTTAGTCCACTGTACATTAACCCTGTTTCAATTTGTATATTATGAAACACATTTCAAGTTTTTAAATCAATTATGAGAAGTTGATTTGGAATTCTATATATATTTTATAAAATTAGAAATATAGCTAAGTTCTGAAGGTTTTTAAAAAGTTGAATGAACTTGATATATATATAAATATAAAAGCATATATAAAATATATCATATAAATATTTATACCACATATATATTGGCTTAAAACAGAAACTTGAAACTTGAGCTTTAATCTGCAACTACTAAGTGATGTTTTAAGTACAATTTGATCAGATATATATATATTCATATATATATAAATAGATATATATATATATATATATATATATATATATATATATATATATATATAAATATATACAGAAATAACCAATATGTATTCAAAGATAATAATATATAGATAAAATATCTGCCCGGTTGAAACAGTTTAAATTTTACATATTAATTGATTCTTCTACAAACTAATTGATTGTATTTCTTATACTTATACTTATACTTATACTTATATAAGTATGATGATCCATGATTATATGAATCAAACTCACAAGTTAATTCAAGATATTTTAAGCATCGAAAAGGGGCTTCTCTTTCAAGAAATCATGTTTACACGAATGCTTCCATATATCACATATTTATACGACAAGCAAGGCAAATCGAACATATATATTATCTGGAACTAGAAATTTCGATTTCTATAGCTTCTGTTATACAGACAGCCAGACAGAAAGTAGCTATACATAATTTACCATTGCCAATAGACAAGAAAATATGAGTCTAAGTGGAGCAGAGGCGCCTCTGCACATCAAAAAGTATGGATAATGCCGACGATAACAGTTACCAGGTAACAAGTTGTCAATTAGCATATGAATATGCCTATAAAAACCTATTAACACGCCTAATTAACCAACTAATTAGCCCAAATATGCAACTACTTTCATTAGCTAATCCATAAAGCAAAGCTGTAGCTCACCTTGCTGAAGTAGCCGACAATGTGACAGCCATCGACATCGGCCAGCGTCATGATGTAGAAGAGAAACGGCTCCACGTCGTAGTAGAGCGTCTTGTGGTCGAGGAAGAACTTGGCCAGCAGGCACAAATGCTGGCAGTATTGCTTGTAACGCTTGCCATCCACCTGCCACACCTGGAGCTTGCCTTTGCGATAGATCTCATCGCCGGGCGGATGCCGCCAGACGCATTTCTCGGCGTGTCGCTTGATGCCCGTCTCGGACTTCTGGTAGCGCAGGCAAAACTCACAGATGTACATCTTGGGCAGGCGGGCGGCGTCGTCCGGATAGGGCGACTGATACCACACTTTCATCTTATACTTGCCCATGCTGATGTATCTGCAAAAAAGGAGGCAAATTCAGATTAGATACAGAGGTCTTGCGAGGTAAATGGAAACGCACTTGATGCCCTTGCCAACGGGCAGATCTTTGAGCTCGTCTTCGATGCGCTCGGAGGCCTGCGCCTGCGCCTCGCGAAACAGCTGTAGATCGTAGTCGGGCACCAGGCCAGCGAGATTCGGTTCGCGATCCTCGTCCGTGCAGTCTTTGTCTATCTTGACCTGGAAGCGAGCACATCATTATTGCATGACATCACAAAATGGAATTGGCGGGCTCACCTTGTCGTTCAAGAAATTGTTGCTCATGGGTCGGAAGTTGGCACGGGATTCGCGTATTTTGGCCAGGAACTCACGCTGCTCGGGCGTCAGGGCTTTGAGGTTGCTGTTCTGGTTGCCCGGCGCCGTGACAATGTTGATGGGCATCTTGAGGCGCTGCTCATTGCGTAGCTTGCGCTCGTTGGCGCGCTCTTTGCACTCGGATGCGGACATGTTGTGGAAGATGGGGCATGCCTCGGGCAGAAAGTGACGATCCAAATTGCCGCTCAAATGGCCCGACGAATCACAGCCCTCGATGGGGCACTTCTTTTCCAGCTGAACGGCGGGCGAGACGGGTCGCGACTTGATTGAGGTCATATCTTTCTTCACCTTGCACTTGCTGTTGTTGCTGCTGTTGAGGCCGATGGCTGTGGGCGCCTTTTTGGCCGGACTCTTGGAGAGCACGCGCTGCTTGTCGTCTTCCTGGTCGAGATCTGGATCTGATTCGGTCTCGCTGCCCGGCTTAAGCTGCTGCTGCTTGGAACGACGCATGCTCAGCGAACGCGTCAGTTTGCGCATGGGATTCGCCTTGTCCTTGCGCTCCTCCTCGCTGTCACCAGCTCCAGCAGCAACTCGCTTGCCCTTGGCATTTGACTTGCCCGTCGCCGGCTGAGAGCTATACGAGTTGGTTGAATCCGTTCCCTCCGACTCGCTTATGGAGCTGGTCTCGGAGCCTGAGCCGCTGTCCGAATCATCGCTGCCATCACTGCTGCGGCTCTTCGCGCGTCTTCCAGCTGCAGCCGGTCCATTCTTGTTGTTGTTGCTTGCGCTGTTCGCCTTGGCCTGCAGCGCCTTGGCACGCATTTGCTTGGCGCGCACAGCCGTCGCAGTGCTGGCCAGCTTTAGCGGCACTTTCCGTCCGTTCTTTACATCCTTGTGCGAGTCATCTGTGCTCATGGATGAGGAGCTCAGTGAAGGTCGTTTGTTGTCCCCATTGCGCTGCGACTGGGCATTGGCTTTGGCTGGCAGTGGCGCCTTGTTGTTGCTGCCAGTTGCCCCGCTCGCTGCCTGCTTGGTCGGCGCCCCTGTTGACGGCTTACGGCGTGCGGCAGCTGACGCCACGTTGTTGGTCATGGTGCGCGGATTCTTTTTGGCTGGCGGCGCGTCGTCGTCGTCGTCATCATCGTCGCTGGATAGTGCACCATTGCGCTGATTGCTGGCTGCCACCACAGAACGCACCTTGCTCGAAGCAGAGCTCAAAGCGCTGCTGTTGCCTGCGGTTTTCGGTTTCTCATTCTCTGCCGGCGTCGCTGCCGCCTTGCGACGCACAGCGGTTTGTTGTGTTTTTGTTGGCTGTGGTTTTTCCTCGGGACCGGCAACGCCCGAACTGCTCGAATCGGTATCCGAAGAGCTGCCCGTATCTGTGCAGCTGGATGAGCCACTCGACGAGCTGCTGCCCGAAGTGGAGCTCGAGCTGCTGCCAGATTCCATGTTGATAAACAAAACGTAAATAGAACTGCGTTAAGTTTGCTTGCAACGCGACTCCTTTGCCTTTGTGTACTTCGTCGCAATTCTTCAGCAGTGAAAATGCACTGCAGTAACTTTGTTTATTTGTGCAAAAGATTTTTCAGTATAAATATGCAAAATTCTATGTTTGTATTATTTTTGCAGCAAAATGAACAAATGAGTTATATTGTTCAGCATTGAACTAGTTCGTGATGGCATTTCAAGCGAACAGCTGTCGAGTTACCACAAACTAAGAAGGTTACTCAATGATAGGCTCGCAAGTGTTTTTCACAATTTTTATACAATACCTTCAAAATTCTTGCTGCACTTGTTTTCAGTTAGTTAAAAATGTAAATAAAGAGTAAAACCATAAATGAACATAACTTATTGCGTGTATATAACAATTGCCAAAGCGATTGCGACGTCACAAGCCCTCGTTGAGTTTCAACCGATTATTATATCGTTTAACTTTTCTTCATCCGAACAAAATAAATTGTATATCGGTTGAGCTATGTTAATAAAAACAAAAATACGTATTTCATTATTAAGTTTTTTCATTTCTAACTTTAATAATATTAACATTTATTTATAATTCTTGTCGTGTCACAGTTTTAGGCGACTTCATACAAAATAATCGTTAAAAGTAATAAGCTCACGACTGCTGCGCATCTCAAATAGCAAATCAGCTGTTTAGCTGCGTTTGTTGTGTGTGGCATCTGTGTGCACTCACATTTGGCGTCCCTTTGAAGCAATTAAATTATATATACTATTTATTGTTTCCAAGCATTTTAAGCATTTAGATATACATATTTGGAATACTGTCATGTATAACGCTGAATGCATTGCTATAAAGGACATTAAACCCGGTCTAAAAAACATCAATGTTATTTTCATAGTGCTCGAGGTCTGTATTTGCTATCGATAACAAACTGTTTGGCGGATTTGTTTACGTTTGTTTGAGTTTTCTACCAGGTGGGCGTGGCAACCGTAACTAAAGAGAATCGCGAGGTGCGCAATTTCAAAGTGGGCGATCCTACAGCCAGCATTAATGTATCGATTTGGGATGAGCCGGGTAAACTGATAACGCCGGGCGACATCATAAGACTGACTAAGGGCTATGCCTCCATTTGGCGCCACTGCCTCACACTGTATTCCGGCAAAAATGGCGAGGTCTTCAAGATTGGTGAATTCTGTATGATCTTCAATGAGGGGCTCAACATGAGCGAACCCAAACGCGGCGAACCACAAACCCCCGCGACACAGGGTGGCATGGTCACTGTCCAGACGCCCGTCGTGACGCCAGTGGGCGTGGTAGCTGGCGCTGTGCAGCCACCAGCGAACCCCACACCGCCCGTCGTCGTGCCACCCACAATTGTTAAGCAGTCAGCGCGCGGCGGCCGTGCGGGCACAGCCCGAGCAGGCGCTCTGAAAGCAGAGCGCAGATAAAGCAGATCAGCTGGAGACGCAGCGTACAAGGAGAAGCTTCGTAACAAATTTATTAATAAATTATGTGAACTTTTTATTGCGAATCTAGACAGAGAAAAGTTTGTGAAACACTCGTTTTAAGGGATCTGTATCTGTAAGAATTACATACATACAAAATAATGAGAAAGAAATATTGTTTTTTTTAAAAAGACAACAGCTAATATGTGTTTATGTGCGTGTGCGTGTGCGTGTGTGTGTATGTGTAAGTGTGGAATTAGCTTAAGCTACAGCGAGCCGCAACGCTTATATCTTCTTCTTCTTCTCATAGTTGGCCTGAACGGCTTTCAGCAGCCAGCCAACCTCCTCGACGGTCTTGATCTGATAGTTGGCATAGGTCTTCAGCGTTGGCAGCTCCGAGACACGGAAAGTCTTGCCAATACCATGGAGCACCTTGATGGCATCCTCATCGGTGGTATCATCGCCCACATAGATGATTTTCAAGTTCTTGGCCCAATCAGCATCGAAATGCTTCTCCAAAATCATCTTGGCGCCCTCTCCTGCAAATGCAAGTTATCCGTATTATTATCGATATACATAGATGTATTTATCTATATAGTCTATTGTATAAGTAGAGAGCTGAAAATATGTATTTACTAAATATGTAATTACTAAATAGTTTTAAAATTTCCAATTTCTTTAACAATTCTGATTAGATGAAATATTTCTGAAAAGCATTTTTACAACTGTAATTAAGAATGTCATTTTGTTATTAACATGGAAAATGTAGCACTGCTGTTAAACTTCTAATCAGAAGTATATCTCTGTAAATATTAACATGGGTTAATAACTCTTTTAATAACATTTTTTTTAGCCTTAACATTTCTGATTAGTTTTAAGACTGTCATTGAATAATATTTCGTTAACATTAACATTTCAGAATAACATGATACTTCTTGTTAATCAACATTGTTGCTTAGTTTTTACAGTACTGATTTGCTTTCCCATTTTTTGAATAACATTTATATAAATGTGTTTCTAACAGCTGTTGCTCATGATATACATGATTTTTTCATGATCATATATTTTGGCCTATTTTCTGAATTATGAATATTATGAATAACTTATGAAAATTAAATTCGATATTATTTTTAAACCTATTTTTTTATTTTATTATCCTTACTAAAATAACCTTTTGATTTAACTAAACTAAGCTTCGATCATTTTATTTTTCTTTTTCTTTATGTTCAAAAATTTTCCATTTGCTTTCTGGAGCACAAATTCAGAACAAAGTGTTACAAACTTGCTTTTTTTCCAAATATTTTGAAAAGTTCACTCGCTATATATAAATCTATAGACGCCTGCAGCGTCAACGAGCTAGAGATTTATCTATATGTATATTCAGTTTTTAGTTTTCAGTTTTCAGCTTTCAGTTTTCTGGTATTTTCTAGGCGTTATTTTTAGGTGTTTGCGTGGGCGTGGAGTGTGTTTGGCCTGCGGCACGTCAAGTAAATCTATGCAAGCCACATTTCTCTCTCTCGCTCTATATATATATTGTTTATACATATCTATCTCTATATATGATCTATAGAGAGCTACATTTTGATTATTTTAATTGTGCGAGTTTTTGGTTTCTTTTGTTGTTTGTTTGTCTCTTTGGTTGCTTTTCTTGTTTTGCCACCTATTAACGCTAAATTTTCGTTTAATTGATGACGCATTGGCCAACGCCTCCTGCCGGCTCCCGATGCCAAAAGTATTGCATTCAAAATTGTTTTTTTTTTTTCAGACGGCACCAACAATTCAGCTGAGCTCTTTTGTTGCCATAGTATTATTATTCTCATAGTATGCGCTTGGCAGGCTTTCATTTTTCACGAAAAAATAAAAATTAAAAAAAAAAACGAAGAGAAGAAAATAAATTTGCTGTGTGATTTTTTCACTACACAAATTTATTGCTATATAATTAAATTTTATTTTGTTGTCTTTTGAATTATGCACATTTGTCGCAGCTCATTGGAAACGTCTTATTTGCTTTCAGCTAGACAAGATCTCTTCCATATAAATATGTGTTATATATATATATCTTTTTTGGAACGTAGTCTAAATTGCACTGGGATTTGCTTTTCGTTTTCTTCTCAATTTTTTATATTCTCGTCCACAAAATATTTATGTATTCCGTTAGGAATTCATTTGTAAAACATCTAAATTATGAGTTTTTTTTTTTAATTTCTAGATCAAAGGGCATTTTAAAGTCGCATTTTTTCGATAATAATTAAAAAATATATATAAATATTCGATTTAAACATGAAATATTTTGTGTATATGTGAGATATAGTAAAAGTTTTTGTTAACAAAATTCAATACAAAGTTTTCACTAATAATTTCTTTTAGTTCCTGATGAGCTAATGAAAAATATTCAAAAACAAATCAATATAATATATACAACTAGTATTTTATTATTTTTAGTTGCAAAATGTAGCATTTTTTTACTGTGCTTTACATTAGGAACTCATTAATGAAAGAACTCGAAAGTATTTGAACATAAAAACTTTTTAAGACTTGCGCTAAAAACCCACGCAATATATATACAATTTATGTTTACCGATCGACATGAATATTCTTTTATAGTTTATATGTCTTTTGAAGCAATGCATCATTAGCAAAAATCATTCCGAATTAGTTGCGCTTAGTTAGAGTCAAAAAAATAAAAACAAATGGCGCAATGAACATTTGATACACTTTTTCGTATGGGATCTTAAAAATATATATGTTTGATATGAAAAAAAAAAATACTAGAATACTTTAGTCAAGTTGAAATATGGAAGAACTCTGTCTATTAAAGCTACTTTTGTCATAATTCTATAAAATATAGTTAAGCAGTTGCATATCATACGATTCGGTTTATATAAAGGAACGTTTGTTAAGATGGGACTAAAGCAGTGAAATTCTAGATATTAGCTAAATTTCTTAAAACCGTTCCTAACATACTTTCAGCTTATTCTAGCTGCTCCCACATAGGAACGCATTTCTACATTTAATACTGTAGCTCATACTGGATTTCTTCAATCAAGACGTCTTAGAAAAACTAAAAAGTAATTCTATCAATATGATATAATTCGATGATTTTCGTTATCTGCAAAAATTATATACAACTACAAAATTCCAATTTTACTCAACATTTGATAAAAAAAATGTAGCTATCATATGAAAACGTTATATGACAACTACCAACTTGATATATGTAGAAATATATATTAAAAGTTAGGAATATAGTCTATATCAATATTGATAGATTACAGATCAATATTGGTATAGACTAAAAAAAAAATATATATATATATATATATATATATATATATATATCTATATATATATATATATATCTATATATATATATATATATATATATACATATTCTCATATTAGCAAGATCTGCATATTTCGTACGGCAATGCGCATACCCTGAAGCATATAGAAATAATTCAGAGTCTCGTCATACTGACAAGTGTATATAGACCGCAAAAATGGTTTTTTCATGTACAGCATATAGGCGCAGATCTTTAAAATAGAAACCTTCATAGAACTCAAGTCAAATGCGGGAAAAATAAAAACAAAACAATTCGAGAAATGAAAGCGAAAATTTCAGTGATAAATTGCACGAAATTTTTTAATTTATCATTAGGCAAGTAAATATATATATACAGTAGAGCATATACATAGATATGTATATAATATATATATATAGATTTATATATCGTTTGGTGGCGTGCTTTTGACATCAGGTTTTGCTCTGCTTGTTTGTCAAGTAGAAAAAAATTGGAAACATTTTTATATGCTGAATGCTGCGACGGCTGTCTACATAAATTTCTCTGAGATATATATTTTATATTCTGTTATTTTAATTTTCGCTTCGAAAACATCGATGCCAAAGAGCCGCCCACATGGCCCGAGCTGAAAAAGAATATTTTTTTTGCGCCCGTCGTTTATAGAAAATATGGCAATAATTAAATCATCGAAGAGTCGCGTCCCAAATCGAATTGTTTTGAACAGGTGCCGACGCGACACAGCAGACGACAGCGAATGGGCGGCAACAGTTGGCCAAGATTATCGAGACATATTGATGTATATTAATGCATGATCTAGTCTAGTCTATGGCTTATGGTTAGTTGCTAGTTGGACTAACCTTTGTCCCAGTTGACGCGTGGCTTGCCCTCCAGAGCGTAGGGCGTTTCGATCAGCTGGAAGCCGTGCGACTGAATCAGACCCTTGGCCTCGGCAATCAGCTTGGCCTTCAGCTTGTCGGTGACGCCCTTGTAGTGATAGGTGACCGAAATCTTCTTGTCCTCCACCCAGGCGCCGGAGCAAACGACCTGTAAATAGAGCAATCAAACCATATTGAAATATATCCGAAATTTCTAGATTTCCATTTGTATTACCTTCTCCTTCAGCTCGGCGACCAGCTTGTTGTGCTTCTCGAGCAGCTCTTCGGGCATCTCGATCTTGAACTTCTTGCCGGAAGGATATTCAACTTCCAGACCATGGTTGCCGGCATAGGTAACATTGGGGAATTTCAGATGGTTCTTGATCTCGCTCAACTCACGGCCGGAGAAGACAACCATGAAAATCTTTTCGTTGGCAGCCAATTTCTTGATGTTGATCTCCGTATCCTTGGGCATGACCGAGAGCTCCTCGGTCAGTGGTGCGAGTGTGCCATCGTAGTCCAGCAACAGGACAACCTGATCCGTCTCGGGTGTGATGAAGCTAAGCAGAGGTCATAGCATTAGGAAGCTGCTCGCGAGTCCTGTTCATGCTGCGTACTCACCCCTCCAGAGCCTTGACGTAATCCTCCTCCTTTTTCAAGAGCGGTGCCTTCTTTTGCTCAGCCATATTTTGTCTCTAGACTAGCAGACTAGTACTCTATATAACTATATATATATATCAGATGCTGTATCTACCGGAAAGTGTGCGACGTGCTGGACGTACCTCGACCGACTTAATACTAATGCCCAAAACGCAACAGCGCCAGCCCCATGCCAAAGATCTATATGCATGAGAACTGTATCTGAATTTTGTTCTCTTAACTCAATACTCACGCTCGCTCATGAGCGTGACAACCCTGGTCGCCCCGTCGGCCGAGACGTGGCCAAGTAATGGTGGGCACATTATTTATGAGGCATATGTGCATAAAAAAAGCACATACCGTATAATAGAAGCCCCTCTATTTATACATATATATATATAGCCTGGACATACACACAAGATCTACATATATGCCACTATTATATATGAATTTATGTATATAGAGGTGGGATCACAGCGAGTGGTTGATAACTTGAAGCACCTTCGTCTGAGGTCGTTCGTGTTTTGGAATCGCCTCCGTTGACACACTTCGCGCCGTTCGGTTTTCTTTTGACTTCCCTTGACAGCTCGCTGTTGAGTGAGTTTCCATTCATTGATCGAGTGGTAGAGGTATACGATTCCAAACACATAGATCTTGAGTAACAGCTGATCGGGTTTTTAATATTGAGATTTTCACATTCAAATACTTCCTTTGCGGATCCATAAATTGTGGATGTAAGCACTGAAGCGTAAACAACTTAGTATATATGGTGTTTATATTGCAGTGCAGAAGATGGACCGTGTCCAGTTCTTAAGTGGCACTAAATTCGATTTTTGTTTACGCACATATAAATCAATATATAGTATTATATCAATAAATAAACAGGCGCATTTACGTTCATTTTGGGGCTTACATTGAGACCTATAACTACACAATATGAGAATTACATAGAGGACCAATATATATGTATTTGAGCAAGTAATGTTTTATTAAAATGTATTTAGAAGACAAAAACGACCGATTCTTGATAAATAATTATGTCTGTCTGCTAGGAAAACAGAAGGCGCGGATCTACATATATATTCTTGATCAGGGCGATAACATAATTCCATCCCTTCATATTTATCTGTTTGTCTGTCTGTGTGATTCGCCACCAAACATTGAACACACATCAAACCTCTTCAAAAACTCACTTCTATCGAAGTACGAGAAGGAGACCTAGAAAAGAGCACTGAAGTTGTGCATGTATGTATGACAGCCTCGGTTGCGCTCTTTATATATAAGAAAAGAAAGTTGGAAGATCAGCAGGTACGCTCTCCAGTGTAAGAACTAACTCAGAGCAAAGCTCAAGAGTTGAGCTCGGCTTTGAGTGACTCCGGCGCCCTATATAAAGGCAGGGCTGCAGCAGGGCGCTTCAGTCGTCTTCGGGACCCGCTGGTGGTCGGACGTGCCGGGCAGTGCTCCTCCTCTTCTTCCTGCTGTGGTAAGTTTTTATTAATATTAAGTTAATAATATTAAGTATAGTTATTAAGCAAAATTGTAATAGTTATATTTGTAAATTTAAAAAATTGTTTAAATAATAATTAGAATAATAAAATAAGCTAATGATCATTGTAACAATTATCTTTAAGTAAATTGTAATTAGTCCAATGATCTTTATGATAATGATCATTTGGATTATATGCATTAAGTAAATGTAATAGTCATATGAGTTGTCATAGTTATTATTATATTTAGGTTAATGACAATTGTGCAATGTTAAGCACAGCTATTAGCATAATAAAAACTGTTAGAATTATGTTTGTTCTTGAGTAAACAATTGTTTAAAATTGTCCATAAAAGTATGTTGTTGTTATGGATCGTAATAATAATCATAAAATAAGTTTACTATATGTATATGTGTTAATAATATATAATATATAAAATAATATTATGTAATATATTGTATATAATGTATATTATATATAATATATAATAATAGGAATAATAATAGTGTTTATGCTTAACACTTTAATGTTTAAATAGATAATGATTTAAACTACATAAATGAAAATGTAAATTACGCTTGTTTAGTCATGTATGATAATGATGAGCAACATTACTGAAAAATGTTGCTAAAATTTTTATATATATATATATATATATATATATATATATATATATATATGTACAGGTATATATACAGATATATATATTTGTAAACATAAGCAATCGTCCATATGTACCGAAATGCTCATAAATATTGGCATATTTCTATAATAGAATTCCTGCCTAAATAGAAAAGTTTATGCTACAATCAAATAAAATATTAAATATTGCGATATATATAAAATGCTGCGAGTAGGAGTAAAATTTAGAGAATTTTTAGACTAGAGCAATATTTATAATTTTAGTTTTTTGTTTTTTATTTATTATCTAGTTTGAATTTGAATTGATTTGAGTTCAAAATTAGAATATACAAATGAAGAAATATTATTTAAATTTAAATTACTTTTCGTTTAGATTTTTAACAATTGTAAAATTCTTGTAAATTCATAAAAAGAGAGTAAAATATTTTTATAAATTATATTTTCTTTTACTTTAGTTCTGTTATGCAAAAGATGTAATTATTATATTTATAAGAGTTTTTTAAACAAAATTAACAATATTTAAATGTGATTATGTTTAAACAAATTGCAGTTTCTTATGCATAAGACTAAACTCTAAATAAATTCACTTAATTAGCTAACACTTTTAAGAGACATAAACTGTGGATATCCATTTGAGCAGATCCGTCATGAGATCCTGCTTGGGCAGACGGAAATCCGCAAAGGTTTGAATCTGTGCATCGGCAGCAATGCGGAATGAGCGGCCCAAGCCCTGAAGTACCTGAAAAAATATTTATGTTTAGTATCGAAGCAGTTAGTTGATAGTCTATGGGACTTACCCGCATGGCATCCTCATCTGTGGTATCATCGCCTGCAAATACCACGCGCACTTCTTGAGCCCAATCGTCGCCAAATTTAGTCTTTAGAATGTGAAGTGCCGCCTCGCCCTTGTTCCAGTCAACTGGGGGCTTCGCCTCGATGGCCTCGTGCGCCTGATTGGGACGAAAACCATGTCGCTGGCAGATGTCTATCGCCAAATGCTTCAGCTCATCCTTCAGCTGCTTAGGTGTATCGCGATAGTGATAGGTGAGAGAGACGCGCTTATCCTCCACCCAGGCGCCATGCTTCTCCACAGATTGCTTCAGCTCATCCACCATGGCCTTATAGTTGCGCTGTATCTCACCGGGCAGCTCAAAGTCGTGACGTGAGCCATCCGGATACTCAATCTCAAGTCCATGATTGCCAGCGAAGGTAACGCCATCGATGTTGACAAGTGCGTGCACATCCCTTAACGCACGACCCGAAATGACAGCCATAAATATTTGCGGATGCTTGGCCAACCTACGCAATATGGCTTCCAGTTCAACGGGCATCTTTGTCTTGTTGGGATTGTCAGCAATGGGCGCCAAGGTGCCATCATAATCCAGGAGTATGGCCAGCTTGTTGTGTGTGTCCAGGTAACTGAAGCGTAGATAAAATGATGTGAGTTTTACTTCAAGAAATTTAAAGAATATCTGGGTGAATTATATATTATAATGTTATTTTTAAATCTAAATTATATAATATTTAAATATATAAAATAATATATTGTATAGTTTCTAATAAAAAAGTAAATATATTAAGACAAAGACTAAGCCAAGTAGAATTCAAATTAAATATTTTCGCAAATTCTTAAGTATATTTCACAAATTTTTTAAAATATAGAAATGTTTAGCAAATTTAACATAAGTTATATAATTTAATTAATTGAGTCCTAGTCTTAAATATTTTATTGTTTTAAATTTTGGTGAATTACACTATGTTTAAATTTTCAATCCTCAACAAACAATTATCAACTATATATTTATATATTGTAAAAATTCTTAAATATTTTGCCTTTCAAATCTGAGAAACTTGCACTGACTTTGCGCTCAGTGTAGAGATTTGCTCAGTTTGTCAGGCTAATCTGTCTTATCGTCAACACAACATTACATGACTTCCTCTAGCCGGCAAGGTCATATATATATATAAATATATATATATATATAGATAATGTTAGCTAATTCGAATTTTGCTTACCCTGGCAAATTCTTTTCGAACTCCTCCAGACGACTGATAACTGGTGCAATTTGTTTCTCTGGCATTATGTCAGCTGTTATTTCAGTGTAGCACACGACGCAGAAAATTAGTTGTAAATTTAAGAATTTCACTGAAATCGAAATGAAATCTCCAATTATTATTGAACTGCTAAATGTTGTCAAGACGACGACTCAGTGAGCACTGCGAGTGGCTACGATAGGGCCGTTTGCCTTTTAAGTCGCTCTGGCTGCGACGCGTTCGGCTGATAACAAAATCTCGCGCTCAGCTGGCGACGTGGACTTGTTTTCGCTCTCTTTCTGGACAAGAACTGATCCCTAATCTGTGAGCTCAGATAAACTCTTACCACCTGTGAATCTTAAATGGAGACTGTTGCCTGTTCTCCGTACGGCTCGAGTTTTTATATTGATTCGTTGTCGCCATTTCCTGAAAACTGTTTCACGCACTGTTGTTGTTTTTGCGGAAAAACAAAGGCAACGCTTCGCTTCGCCCCTCCGTTCCGTTCTCAGTTCTTAGTTCTGCAGTTAATCATGCGTCGCCTTCGTGGCAGTTGCATGCTATCCAATGGGGCATTGCGCTTGTTTCATTGAACAATGTGCATTTCGGCAATGCCACTTAATGCTCTACTCTGAACTTAAGGGGAATTTTCTATAAAGGGTATGCTGGCTTTGTGCGTATTCTTGTTGCAGGTGAAAGAAAGCATCTTTAACTGTCTTTAAATATATTTATGGAGTTGTCTCTGTCTATATTCCAAAGATCTTGAAAACTAAAGAAGCTGATTAATTATGAATAGTTCTTTATTATAAATAAGCATTTATTCTTGGGCTTGTATCTTTTAGTTGAGAGCTCCTTTTTTCATATTTATTTACAATATTTTCTAGGTATAAGTTAAACACTTGGTAATAGGTAGTTTTGCGATAGATCTATATATTTCTTTCTATCTTTGTAGAGACATAAACAGAGTTTATAATAAAGCTAATTTACGTGGTATATTAAAGGTGTCTAAGAAACCATGAACACTTTTTTAGCATGCTCATTCATTCGTTCGGAAAAATACATAAATTAAAAACAGAAAAATGTTTTATACAATTTTCATCTATATAGCATTTGCACAAAGAAATATTTAAAAAAAAACATTTTTTTAAAAATTTTTTTTATTTTATATATTTACATAATATTTAAGGAAATTGATAGATTTATTAATAATTTTAGGTCAAATTAATTCAGAGCTACAACACATTTATTTTGAGAATTTATTCAAATTGATGTTTCTCATTGATTGATAGATTGATTGTTGAATGATTAATGTCTAGTTCAAGTCATAAGAGCTAGAAAGCGTCATGGGTATGAGGCTGCTTTTAAGCAGGTTAAGAAATGGATGGGATAAAATTGAAGGCAAACAATTATACATGAACTGGTTCTTTAAGGTCATAGATAATGCAAGATTAGAATAGAATATTATAAATATTTGTAGATAGAAAAAATAAATAACATAAAGAAGGAAAATCATTTTTTATATTATATTGTATTACAATATTTATAATTATATCTATGCTAACGTATGCGACAGGCAGAAAAAAGAGTCCTTTACTTTATCTACATATAACTATAAATAAACTTAAATTACTATAACCTTATTTATTGTTATACATATACATATATGTATATGTAGATATAGATCATTTTTGATATTCATATTTGTTTTTGCTTATCTCTCATCTTCTCTCTTAAAGATTCAGCTTTTTTAGTCATGCGAGTGAAAATAGCATTGTTTATATTTCATCCATCAATTCACTAATTTATATCAATAATTTATTAAGTGTGAATTTTGAATAGTAGAAGCCATGTAGAGATATCTGATATAATATATAATTTAATGCAATTAAAAGTGTTTATTTTGGCATTGCAGTCAATCGTAATGCTTGAAAATTTTATCTATCAAAGAATTAAATTCTATATATCGAACATTTCCAATAATGATATATATTCTACAGCTACTGCATAAGTAAGATAAGATGCTGTTTAATTAGCGGATTACCTAATGAGATATAATTGTATTGCAGTCGAAGCAGCTTCAATTAAAGCGAAAGACCCATAGGGGAGCACGCTCTTTGATTAGACTGCGCGAGTGCCGAATGCGGTCGAAGCATGCCATGAGCGCATGCTCGTGGCTCCGCGATTCTGAAATCTGGTCAAACTATTTACTCACGATATTTGCCTGCCTAAGCGATAAATAGAGGCATATTAGTGGAGAGCAGTGTCAACGTCAGTGTCTAATCTAAAGCAAACAAGCTGATATTCATATTAATTGACTTCTAGTTTATATATCTACAGCTTTTTGTTGTCTGATCGATCGCCCATTGAGTCATTTAGCCCTAGACCTCTCTAAACAAATCGTTGAGTGTTAATATGATATAATTAAAACACGAGACATTCACGTTGTCAACAAGTGCCCGGCCTCGCCAATATTATCACACACATGTCTTTCATTAACTGTTTGACACATATTTTTCCATTGGCTCTATTGATCTTCAGCATTCGAAATGTTTTCCACTCACTTTTGATTGTTTTGATTAGACGTCGCTATTTTTGGCCTTAAATATTGAAATGCTTAACTTTGTAAGCTGTGCAAACGTAAATTCAATTTGCTCAGCCCAATTAGTAAATGTTTTCTAAACAATGCCAAATGTTTTTGTTTTGCTTGAAAAGCTTTCATTGAGCTTTTTTTCTTTGGCGTCATGACTATCTATTTGCTTAGCGATCGAGCACCATAAATAGAAAAGTCCGTAAACAAAAAACTAGGAAAACTGTTGAGAGCTTGCACAGTGGGACGATACTAGAATAATTTATGTTGTTTATGCATTTATAGGTATTTATATTAAATAGTAAAAAAAGAGAAACGTGCTTAAATTATTGTTTATATTAAAAGAAAACTTTCGCTTAGCTTTTAAAAACCTCTCATAAACCTTCTATATTATAGCAATCTTATAGCAATATTATAGTAATATTTGATAAATATTATACCAATATTATAGTAATATTATAGCAATAATCTACTAATATAATAGCAATATTCTAATACTATTAGCGCAATATATTTATACTTTCATTTTAATTTAACTTCAGCCTAAGAATATGCTAAGCTTATTTTAATCAAATTGATTCATAATTTAGCTCAGAACCTTTTTGTTTATATAGTATATACTTCCCTTGATAATTGTAAAGAAAACTTTTGTCTAACAGTATTTGCTCAAAAGCGTAATATATTATGTTCAAAAATGATAGAAAGTTATTGCTTATATTTTAAGAAATTTAGTTTGCTTTTATTTACATTTATATGTTATACCTAATGAATATAATATTATTTTATTTATATTATTTTGATTAATTATTATGATTTCTGGATTAAATATAAAAATGTTTAATAGAAGTAATAATGCTATAACTTCTTAAGATATTTCAGTGTTAAATAAGTTTATTTAATATTAACTCAGTTGATAAATTTAGCTGTTGACTGATTTTCTACCTCCCCAGGAGGTGTGACTTTATTAACTTCCAAGCTTCATAATAGCTTTTAGGTTGAAAGAAATAAAGAAATCCCCATTGTGCCAAGCCTCAAAAAATCATATATCGTTTTCAGATGACGAGTAATTCAAGTTTAAAACTCCTGTTTTGAGTACAGCTCGTTAGACATTGCGAACCGGTATATAAATATTATATTCAGTCATTTAATGTGCTTCCAATTAAGCTTGAACAAAAAATTATTAAATTTAGAGCATTATCAAAAGTATTATGACATAGCACTTAGCCGACTGCGCGATGCTCTGTTCTCAGTTGACTCGAAAACTTTGAGAAAAGAGTGCGAAATTCGCAGAGATATGAGATTGGGTTTTGAATTTGAAATGTTAAGAATTGCAGTTAAATTATTGTAAGTCAATCTGAGAATGCAAAATTGACTTCGCCTGCACGTGATAATGCGCTCTAGTCGAACTATGCAGTGCCTTGATCGTGCGCAGATTAGTAAGCGTCAAGCGAATATCCGTAAGACGGCAAATATTATGTGGCCAAGAGTGAATCACAATTGTCTTGTGAATGTCGTAGAAGTAATTCGATTTTCTACACTTTGTAACCAGTTCCAGTTCTTTACGTAGTCAGGGCAATTCCCTCGATCTCAATACAAACACAGTCACCCAAGCGACTGATGACGTTTTTAGCAATCAATACCGAAATACATATCAGTTCAGGGCTTCGCTTATAAGCACCCAACGGGTGGTTTGACGGGCTCAGAAGTAATTCAGTTTCACACTCGTTCGGACAAATTCGTGGTTCTCGCACACAAAAAAAATGGAAATAACCCATATAATCGGTGGGTTTTTGCTTACTAATCAGTAATTCTAAAAACAAAACTATGCTCATTGATTCCGGTTGCAGTTTTTGGTTTGCTGATCGCTGCTGTTGCCGCGCATCCACAGTTCCAGCGATGGGAAGAGGATCTGACGCAGACTTTCATTCGTGGACAGCCCGTTACATCAACTAGGCCAACGACCACAGCTCAACCAACAACAGCTTCGCCCCGCATCCAGGCCTGCATCCAGACCTGCCCAGCGACCAGTGAATACAATCCCATCTGTGGCAGCGATGGCGTTAACTACTACAACGAGGGACGTCTCAACTGTGCTATTCGCTGTGGTCAAAGTGAGTTTCCTTTGAATATATTCATTTGTCTATTATTTAACTCTCTCCTCTAACTCCCATTCATAGATGTTCGTTTCATACACCTGGGCATCTGCAGTACTACGTAGATCATTGCTGTATGTGATTTCTAATAGTTTTAGTGAAAATGTCTGCTACAATCTACAGTTCAATGCTTTACTAATGACCTTAGAGGCATATGAATAAAAACAAGCGAGAACTAATTAGGCGAGTCTACTCGACAAACTGCTACTCTGTATCACAAAATAGAAATATGAATTTAATTGCTGATGCTAGCAATACAAATGTATAAAGTTTAATTGATAATAAATAAATAATTTATAAGACAACTTATTGAAAGGAAGCAGGGTTCAAAAGTTGAATTTTATAACAAAGAAATTTAAGTTTTTCTATTAAAACTTCAAAATTTCAAATTGATTCGCAGAGTTTGAGTTTGAGTTATATTAAGAAATATTGGGAATGAAAATTAAAAGTTGTCAGTTCTAATTCGCGCTGCGTATGCCCCACCAACACCATCAACGTTTATAGGGCATAGCACACAGATTAATAAGCTGAGATTTCAATGTTCACATTCGGGCTATTTTTGCGGCTTGTCTAATGTGTAAAAAATAAATTCTGAACAGTCGTAGCCGAAACGTTTGTCTGTTTGTTGCGATTACGCGGCGCATTAAGTGAGAGATTTACAAAAAAAAAAAACAAAAAAAAAAAAACAAAAGCAAACATAATGCTGAGACCAGGTCCATTTCACATAAGCCGTAAGTGAAATATTCTCACAGTGTAAACTGTTTTCACATCCAACATTTTTGCAGTTGCCTTGCTGCTTTTGTGCCAGGCCCTGGCCGTTGAGTACTCCAATCCCAAGTCGCAAGTGGAATATATAAGTGTACACCCAGGCGATAAGCCGAATATTGTGCCTATCACACGACCTCCACTGCTCAACCAAACGCCACCGCCGCCGCCGGGCAATTCCAAGAACTTTGCCTATAATCCAAACACGCAAACCTGGACCAAGATTTCGGCACACGATCCACAGCCGGATGAGGATACTTTGATTTGGAATCAAAGCAATGATAAGTGGCTAACCAACGTCCCGGGATCTTAGAGATATGTTAAGTAGAAGTGAAAAGGAAAACATAAAGCATTCATCACAAATATACAAAAAAAATTTACTTTCACGTTAATTTTTTAAATATAAACACAAGCTTTTGCCTATTTACGTATTTGCATTATAGAACATCACTTTAATAAACTTATTTAAATATCAATAAATCGATTAATATCGATATTAGTTTATTCAAAAATGTACATCATCAATGCCTAAGTTAATTTCGGCTTATATTAGTATTTTTTGTTGAATAAAATCTGCTCTTAATATTGAAACAATTTCAGAATACTCTTTTAGACTGTTAACAAAGCGTTTATATTTTTTGATAATGATAAGTATATACTTCGACACAGAAAAGCCAATGAGGCTAAGTGATTAGAGGTGTGCAATTATGAGCAAAATTCTTATCTTGAGACTTAAAATCGATTAAAAAATTATTATATATAGTATGTATAATATCTTTATAATTTCATATCTAAGTAATCTTCGTAAACTTTTTAGAGCAAACAAGACAGGTGTACAGTGAAACCCTAAAACCCTCCCTTACTCTCTTTCTCAAATGAGAAAGATATAATATTTTACTCGACTTTTTTGTTATATTATTCTAGTTTGAAAAAATTACACTCAAAAGAATACACGAATGCTTAGCTAAACAGACTCTGAGTAAAACGTAAAACCAGAAAAACGAGTATCAAAATATAGTTGAAAAATATTGTTCATTCACAAAACACGAAACAGTTTATAAAAATAATAAAAATATTTGTTGAAAATGGCAATTCATGAATTTAAATTAAAGCTTAGTGTTGAAAGTTATTTAAAACATGAAATTCATAACGTTGAGACATGATTTATTTTTACTTAATGAGTCTCATGAAATCAATTAAGATTTAAAGCTGCTCATTCTTACATTTGCAACTTGTGCTGGTAATTAAAATCAATTTACTGATATACTAAACAAAAGACGGCACAAAATATCCATATAGCGGCAACTACTCTGAGCTGCTATAAAATTTAAATATGACTTGACATTTTCTTAGATTTTGCCAATGAAAATGCAGGGTAGACGCCTAGTCAAGCTGACGTTAAACTATCGACCTCTAATTGAAGAGCATAAAAAGTTATCTTGCAAAACGATAGTCTTATCTTGCAAGTTTAATCAGTTAATGTAGTCACATATATTAGCTCAAGTGGATGTCTGCTACAGTTGCAGTTAAGGCTAACTCTTTGAATATAAAGTAAATGTATATCAAATATTAGAGGCAAACTTTTTATATGAAAAACCCATAAATAATCAAATCATTTCTTCAGCAAATCAGTAAATTAAAATTGATATTTATGTTGGACATGTGTGAGAATGTAAAATTGCATGAAATTGATTTTAAGGAGGTAATGGAACACTTATTTAATACTTAATTACGTGAATATCAAACGTGAAGAGATCTTATACAAATTTCTACTTTAAAGGAAATCGTGAAAAACTATGGCGCCATAGTGAAAAAGGCAAAGTGGCAAAACAAACAAATCGCCGTTAAAATATATCCCGAATTTCTGATCGATTATAAATGGTTCAAGAACAGATATGCTCAGCTATTGGAAATTGATCATGAGAATATTCTGAAATTCTATGGCACAACCGAGAAGCCAGGCCAAGTAATGGTCCTAATGGAGTACGCGGAAGGCAGATCGTTGTACACTCACATTCATTGGGCCGGAGTACCCAATTATACACCAAAGGAGGCACTCAATTGGATGCTGCAGTTTGCCAGGGTATCTATTGACGTTTTATATACTTTGAGAAAGTTCGATTCACATTTGCATTTTGTAGGGCGTTGGATTTCTACATGCCCTGAAGCCAAAGCCCATATATCATGGCAACTTGAAGCCACAGAATTTGTTCTTGACCAACAACCTGCGCTGCCTGAAGGTCGGCGAGTTGGCCAGTGGCGCTGAAGAGAGCTGCAATGACTATGCGCCACGGGAGACTAGACGCAAGAAGCAAGCCTATCTGAATGAAAATAATCTAACACGAATGCACACATACTTTTTGAATTCAATAGAATACTATTACACAGAACAGTACGATGTATACAGCTTTGGCGTGGTGCTCTGGGAGGTGCTATTTTATATGTCGGCACTGGGCCCAGATATGCTGGGCTTCAAGGAAATGAACTCGCTGATTGCCAGATGTCGAGATGAACACAAGAATAAGCGACCAACTATGGAAGATGTGATATTGAACATCAGCATAATTGCCAGGTATGTCAACTTAAAATTCTTATTAATATCTGTATTTCTATGCGCGCTTACGAAGTTGATGGAGTAGATTAGTTTTGTGAATTGGCAGCTTAATAAAAAAAGCAACTGTTCATGCTGCTCTGATAAAGTGTTGAAGATTACCTGATAAATTGCATTGTAGACATAGCGACATAGCAAGTAAAGAAAAAACTCTATATGAAGCAAACAAAAAAAGCTGATGAGAAAATTCTGGTATTTGTATTGATAGTTTGGCATTAGGATTCGGCGCTTGTCTGCTTAAAAGTGTTTATGTTATATATAATTAGGTGTTTAAAATTTACAGCTCTTGTAGTTCTTAAACTAAATCGATTATTATCGATATTAAGGAAATTTGATAAGTTGCCAAAGGAAAAAAAGTTCAAATAATAAAAAAAAATATAAAAATAATAAATAAAAATAATACAAAAATAAACTTGTATTGCGTATAAACTATATAATTATTTATAATTTTCATTTTTATTATTTTTAACTAACTAATTAATTTATTTATCTCTTTCAGGTTATATTACGACATGGATCTTGATTTAGGAACGACAGCGGCAAATGTCGCTGAGTTGCAATTAGGAGAGGTAAGCGAATGAATGCCCAATTTGTGAAAGAATTTACTATACATATTTATTGCAGGTAATGGGACGAGGATCCTTTGGTATTGTCTTGAGAGCAAATTTATTTGACATTGAATTGGCGGTGAAGAAAATTTTAAAGAGCGAACTGAACGGCAATTGGATTGAGAGAGAAGTGCGACAACTATTCCGGGCTAACCATGAGAATATTATCAAATTCTTTGGCTCCACGCAAGATGCTGATGGCAATACGTTGATTCTCATGGAATATGCCGACTGTGGCTCACTCCACAACTATTTGTACGGCAATGGACATAAGAAGCATAAATATACTCACAGAACTGTACTCAATTGGATGCAACAGTTGGCCAAGGTAGAGAGAGATCAAGCGGTTATCGAATTTAATATTTAGCAATGTCTTTTTTAGGGTGTTGCTTACCTGCATGACATGACGCCAAAGCCTGTAATCCATCGCGATCTTAAGCCACACAATTTGTTGCTCGTGAACGAATTTCGCACCTTGAAGATAGCCGACTTCGGAACAGTGCGGGATCAGGCCACTCTGATGACAGATCTAATAGGCACGCCCGAATATATGGCGCCAGAGGTTTGTTCCAGCTCAAAATTGCTGTAAATATATTGAAACTGATAACTGCATTCGAAGGTTGCGTTGGGCCAGTGGTATACAGACAAAAGCGACGTCTATAGCTTTGGCATCGTGCTCTGGGAGGTCTTGGCTAGAAAGAAACCTTTCTACCACTTGAAACAGAAGTGTTCACTGGCAATTATTAACTTGGTCACTAGGGGTAAGTGTTAGTGAGCAGATTGAACGAGAAATATGTTAAATATACATGTTATAAATATGCAGGTGAACGTCCTCCACTGACAGATATTCATGGCATCAAATATTGTGAGCACTTTAAGTCGTTGATTGAAAGTTGCTGGACCAACGACCAAACGGAACGATTAACTATGAAAGACATAATTGGTTTGCTCAATCAGTGATTGGTATAAGGTTTAATTTTAGATTTATTAAATTCATATATATATAGAATACATGTAATTGTATCAACGATGATGATGACGCAGCGTCTCAGTTGTCGCCTGCTGCTGCTGCCTCATGCGGCATAGCTCGTTGGCGCTGTAGTTTAGCTTGCGCAGCGCATTCTCTGAGAACTTTTCAAACTTGGCTGTGAGCTGAGTCAACTGATCCTTGAGCACTTGCAGCTCCACTCGCCAGTCGTCGGCCTGTTGAGCCTTTAGTTCGTGCTCCTTGCGTAGCTGCTGGGGCACATTTGTGGCTGAGCGCGGACGCAGCAGTTCGTTCATCTGGAAATATTGCGTCTGTGCTGCATACGGAGACTCCAGCTGCTGTCGCTGTGGAGAGGCCTTTGACTCTCCACAATTGACATTCTGCTGTCGCTGGCGCAGACTGTGACTGAACATGTGATAGTTCTTCTCGAACTGTCGCCGGCGCGTGCTCATGTTGCGATCACGCCGCTCTGCCACCAGCTTGTATACGTTTAGCTTGATGTCCTCCGGCAGCTGGGAGCGGTCGCGCGGATCGTTGGGACGCACCGTAAACTGCAGTCGATCGCGCGATGTGCGCAGCAGAGCTTTGCGCCTGCAGTACTCCACGAGTGGTGCATTGCGTAGTAGCCTGGAGAAGAACAAGCTCTCCAGGCGCGATATCAACTCCGCCTGACGCACCAATCGATCCAGCGTGGCCGACACTTGTAGACCCTGTATGTCGCTAACGGCCAGGCCCAGCATCAGGTTGGTCAGTATCACTGTTACCAACAGCACAAAGGCCAGGAAAATGATGTGAGAAGTGACTGGAAATTTGACCGCATAATCGCCATAAAAGATATCCTCAAACTCCAGCTCCCCGGACATCATGGTGAACGACTTCAGGAACGACCATGTTATGTTCTCAAATGCCGGATAGTCGTTGAAAAGCACAGCGAAACTCAAGCCAAACGCAATCAGCAAACAGATGTAGGCCATCAAGAATTTGCCAAAATTAACAGCGACTGATGGACAGAAAATAGATTTATAGCACGGGTTATAGAAGAAGCTCATCACTTCTGCTGCCTACCCTTGGTAAACATTTGCACATAGACGCCAAATATGGGAAATCTACCGACCAGCATCATCAACTCCAGCCAGACCAATAGAATGACCACAGCAGCCACATGATGCTGCCACATGGGCACCGCCAATAGATCGCCAGTCCACAAAATTTCCGGTGTCTGCAAATAGAGATTTCTGAAATTGTATTTCGATCTAGCAAATGTGATTAAGGCATTTGTGATCTAACTCGAAATATTTAAAGGTATATAGGGGTAAGTATTAGGTATTACTAGCTGCTAGGTAAGTACCTAACTACTCTCTTTAAAAGTATTTCAGTATCAGAATCACTATCCTATAGTGGAAGCTTAAACATAATTTTCCTTTTTTTCATTAACTTTATCAATCTAACCATATTATATTTGATCTATCTTAAATTCTTTTAAAACAAGTTTAGTTTAAAAATGTTTTTGAAACCAACAAAGTCTGCCAGAGAAGTCTTTCATTTGGTTCCAACATTTCTTAGATTTTTTGATGACTTTTTAATATTTTAGGCAATTAATATATAATCAATATATTATTATTATAATCAATATATTATTTATATATTAAATTTTTATTAGAACAAGGGCAAATGAAAAAAAGATTTCAAGAATTATTTTTCAATTTATATAATCTATATTTTTAATATATTTTTATGAAAGCAAAGTCAGGTTTCGGAACGAGATCTATAATATTTTGCTATAAATCATAGTTTTGGTCTAGCCCCAAAAATATTGCCATTTTAAATTGCTCATAAACTGTTCCAAGTTTTTCGCTGAGTGTATTTGTACAAAAGGAATCTATCAATCAACAAGTTTGATTTATTAATATGTAAGCTTCATGATGAAGAAAAACAACAAACAAAAATTGTAGTGTTAGTTTCATAGGGAGTACACACACACACACACACACACAACATACCACACATAAGAGTACGCCAAAGACAATGGTCCATTGTAGCCAGTTTTCCCAGTACTTGGCATAGCCATGTAGGCCGTGCGCCATCTGAAAGACCTCCTTGCCGAGCAGCATGACATTCAGGACAATCACAAAGTAGCCAATGGTGGATACATAGCCAGGTGCCTGGCACGTCTCGCCCTCCTTGCAGCTGCGCACATAGACGCCGATCACGTAGAGGGTGAAGAGCATCACGAAACAGGTGTGATAGGCGAGGCTCATCAGAAAGAATTTTCGTATGCGACGCCACTTGAGGAAGAGAAATGTCTCGCACAGCGGATGCATAAGTATGCGCTTCTGTCCCACTTCGATGAGGCTCAACATCAGCTCGGCCTCGCCCTTCTCGGTCGATGAGCTGGGCACCAGCAGGTGAAAGTCCAACTTAATTTGGCAGTCGACGTCGCCTATCTCATGATCATTCGCCTTGATCGAGTTGTCCAGCTTGTGCATCAGCTTTGGTATAATCTCCGGGCAACGGCGCACAATGAACGTCAGCGCCGATGTATGTCCGCCCGTGCGTGCCGTTAGATCTGCGCCATGCTCTGCAATTATATTGTTAATTAGTCGACTTGAATGCTCTAAGCACACACACTCGCCTATGAAGATGTAGACACAGCTGCTAAATTCGTTCAGTGCGGCCAAGTGGAGCGGCGTATAGCCATAGTCGTCCGCCTTGTTGACATCGGCGCCGGCCTTAAGCAGCGCATTGCAGCAGTCCAGGCAACGCGACTGCTTGACTATGGCCGCATGCAGAGCTGTGCGTCCGTCCCGGTAAACGGCATTCACATTTGCGCCATATTTCAGCAGAATCTCGACGCTGCTTATCGACTGGGAGAGGCAGGCCAGATGCAGCGGCGTCTGTTGGCTGGCATTGCGACAGTTGACATCGGCCCGATGCTCCAGTAGCAGACGCACACATTCCGCATAGTCGTTCTCGGCCGCTGCAAAATGTCAGTCAGGCAAAATCTTCAAAGCGAATCTAAAGCGCAGCCGGAGCTCACCCAAATGTAATGCCGTCACTTTGCCTTCACCGAATTGGGAGCGCACATCGGCATTGTGATTCAGCAGCAGCTGCACGCACTTGGTAAACCCGGAGGCGCAGGCCGTATGCAGCGGCGTCTCTGTGTACACCTGCGGCGTATTCGGATCGGCGCCATATTTCAATAGGATCTCCACACAATCGACTGCATTGCCGTCAATGGCATAGTGCAAGGCCGAGCGCCTGTTGATGCCAATATTGATATTCGCCTTGCGCCTGAGCAATAGCAGCAGACACTCAACGCTTTTCGAACTGAAATTTATGGTAGAGTGAGATTTTGATCAATTTAGGCAAAGAAGTTATATATTTTCTTGTATAACTTAGAAACTTCAAAAGAGATAGAGTTGGATTTAATTTGAAATTCATTGCAATTTTAATGAAACACTGAGATATTGTATTGAGATAAGAGTTCTTTGCATACTTCATATGTACAATTTACACTGATGATAAAATCTACTGCCTGTATAATTCCCTCACATGTTGCCAGTCAGTTTTGTTTTTTATTATTCTCTACTTTAAAATCTAAAATCTTGAAGTCTAGTCTAATTCTGTTAGACTTAATCTTCTTTCAAAAATGGAACTGCTTGCTATTTAAACTACCTAGCAAATATTTACAAGGTGGCTGTAACTTACAAGGCCTTCGACTTCCTAGACATGCAACTTATAAGTCTAACGTCATTTGCTCAAGTTGAGTTGAGTTATTTAGATTGATTTTAAGGTGACAGATTTATATATATAGATATAAAAAATGTAAGTGCCTTGCAATATTTACAATTTACTTGAGGTATTTTGTAACTTAAGTTACTCAAACTTTTGAGTATTTTTCAAAGATTCCCCAGCAATCTAAATGTGCCTGGTAAGCCAGCTGGCTGTCTTCATTAGAGTTCATCATACAAGCTTTGCTAATTCTTGAAGTGTCTAAAATATCTTTCAATTGTTTCCAATCATTTTCGTAATCGATTCACCTGGCAGCGCAGTGCAGCGGTGTCACCTCCTTTTTGTTCTCCCAGCGGTTCGGATCGGAGCCGCGATCGAGCAATACTTTGGCTATGGGCGCATTGGCACGACAGCAGGCAAAGTGCAGCGGAGTGCGTCCATGGCTGTCGGAGGTATTTGGATCGGCATCGTAATGGCTGAGCAGATATATAATGTTCTCGACGGAGCCATAGAGAGAGCAGCAAATGAGCGCCAGGTTGCAGTCGCTTGGCTCGATCATTAGCTCTGCAAAGCAAAAATAATTAAATTAGTTGCCAAGCCATTGGCAGTGGCTGCGCACCTAGAAAGCAGGCTGATTTGACCATGTCCAAGATTTGCCGGCCATTTGGTACCGTGCACAGCGTCTCCTCGATCTCCTGCGCCTGCCACAGCACCTGGCTCTGCTGCTGGCGTGTGAAAATCTCATGGGCCTCGTTGCTGAAGACGGCATCGCTGTTGGCCTCGCTGGAAATGCTGCGCTTATCAAACAGCATCTGCATCTCGGCCGTCTCGCTCTCCGATTGCCATTTCAGGTCGTTTTCCTGCCAATACAAATAAACCAAACGGTGCATACAGAGCGCGAGTGGGCGGCCGCGGGGCTACTTACGATGATGGAGAAGCGCACACTCTCCATGCTGTTGATGTGTTTACACTTTTGTGGCCTACAAAATAAACTAATTGGTTGACCGTAAGCAATCTGGCCACAGCGTTAACATCATCTGTTCGACAACTCATTTAGCTCATGCCTCATTCAATTCTCCAATTAATCTTTTGATCTGCTTGTCGTCAGCGGCACAACAGATCAGCAGCTTCTTTGCGCCGGCCAAGTGGCGTGCCTCGTCTCTCTCTCTCTCTGCCTCTTGCTCTCTCTTTGTCTTTGTTTATTTGGAAATCTCCAAAATATTGAATTGTTTTTCCAACCGACACACGCAGTACGTGCAAATTGTTACACCTCCGCCTCTGCCCCGATCTCTCGATCCCGTTGCTTTGCACTTGCCGCTGAGTTTTTCCAGCCTGTGTACCGTTATTCGCGTTCCGTGCTCGACGAGGTGCTAATGTGTACTGGCTGTGAGATCGAAATGCTAAAGCGAAATTTGCCTCAATATATATATATCTACATAATTATTTGGTGTTGTATACCCTGTAATCGATTCCAGAAATGGGTATAATGAGGTTCTACAGCAATTGCATGTATAGATTAATTATTTGTACCAGATGCTGACTATATTCATATATTAGACAGGGATTGTAGCATAGATCGGCAATTGGATGACTAGGTAAAGTTATCTAAAATGAAATGAACTTGTAGAAGACTTCAATATCCAGCTTAATATTAAAGTAATTTAGGTGCTTATGGATTGTTATGAGTGTTTATTTTACATTCTTTCGACTTGTTTAAGACATATAAAAGAGGAACTAAGGTTATTACCTTACCTAGGTTCGACGAAGAGAAGGGCTTTTCGCTTGCTTTTCTTCTATCATCTGCAACTTAATTGTTCTTTTTTCTATCAGTTAATTTCAGTGTATTGCCTAATGCTATGTGCATCAATGTATTTTATATATAAATATAAACAGTATAAATATTTGCCAATAAGCGTAATCTAATCTTTATTTTCCATTGCTTCCCATTAGTCATGATATGCTCCATTTAACAAGAAGGCATCCCCCAGCAATTGTTTTCCCACAATCAGCTCTTAATTCGAATTGCGATCGTTTGTAGCTTTTGCTCGCTCTTCAAAGAGACAAGCTGCAATTGCTCTTTGTTTGCAGTATAAAGCTTCTAAAAGCTTCAAAGAAGCAACTGCCAAAGACTCGCACAGTGGATGGAGAGAGGCAGAGCCAGTGCTTAGTGGGAACAATGGAATAAAATTGATCGAAAACATTTTATATTTGGTCATGTGAAATTTTAATTGTAATTTTCAACAACATAACAATTTCCTATACACGCCCCAAAGCTAAAAACTTGATTAGCATGCGAAATGGCTAAAGTGATTGACGGCGACCTTGACTTTGATCTGAGTCTATTATTCACATTTAAGGGTCTTGCGGAAACAACAACGGAAACCGTGTACAAGATTAATAAATTAGCGGACCAACAATTCTCGTTGAGATGCGAATAGGTCGCACAAGTTTGAGCAGTCTAAACTTTGCCGGGCAGCACTCAATTTGGTAAATTAGTTGCTTAAGCCGCAAAATAGATGAAAAGTTATTCGCTTACAGGGAGGGGTGGGGGAAGCAGAAGGTGGGGAGGGTGGTAAAACGTGCACACCTTTTGGCCATTGCCGATGCGTAAACAACATGAATGCAAAGTGACAGCAGCTATGACGACGATAGCATTTGACCTGGGAGGGTTAAAGGTAAGAACGCCCAGTCGACTGACGCAAGCTTGGACTGTCAATAGTTTGGCTGGGGTTGGATAGGGTTGGGAGCACGCCGACGACACCAATTGCCTGGGGCAGCCAACCGTAATGAATGCACACACGCAGCGCCTGCCAAAATTAATGCTCACCGAGACCCGAAGCCAGCGGCATTCCCAACCTGTTGCCAATTGAGACCTAGCTGCACAGGCGCTTGTCCAAACCAATTAGTGAGCAAAATCGGATGCCCACAGCTGATTAAAACCACTTCAAAGCATGGTTACTAATATCATATACTCTAACTGTATACGAAATAACTAATATATAAATGAATATAAAGATAGAGTATAAATATATTTTATCTTATTTATATATATATCAAAACGATGTTTTAGAATTTTTAGAAATTGCAGATCTTTTATGAATTTCTTTAAATTAAAAAAAAGATTAATTTTGTAATTAAATTTAATTTAATTAGTTCAAAATTTTATTAAAATGTACTATATTTCTCTATTGAAATTATTAACATTTAAAAGTGCTGAAAATAAATATTTTTAAGATACTCCAATAAACAAATATAGGATAGATCTGTGATTTCTAGAAATAATATTTAACTTTAAAAAAATATATATTTTTATATATTTCCTCATTTTGTTTTATATATTTATTATTTCTTATTTTTATTTACTTTAAGTTATACTTTCGTTTCAGCTTGGGCTAGGATTGCTTAGCTTGTTGATGCTTTAAGTTATCTATTATACATAATTAAGGTCAGTCTTGTTTCGCTCTGACATTAAGATACAAATATGTACATATACTTAAGTATTAAACACACACATATCCTATGCGGTAGCCCAAGTGTCCAATGGTTCGCTTAGCGCAAAAGAAATAAAACAATGTTTAACACTATGGATGACACGTCGCAACATGAATACCCTATAAGTCAGCTGAATGCCAAAGAAGAGTATTTATTGAAAATATAGCATTTTTTGATATGGTGATTTGATTTGATATGATTGTTTAGGCAGGTATTTTATCAATTAATTTGGGGAATTAGAGTTGTCATATAAAAAACCGATATTTTCTATAGATTTTTATGCTATAGTAGTCTGGTCTTTAAATTTTCATGAAAGGAGTTTGGTAAAGTTTTATAAAAGAGTTGCATTTTCCACAATTAGAATAATTCAATTATTATTTATACTTAATTAAACTTTGAATTTGTATTCAAATATATTAACATATAAATATAATATATAATATATAATATGTAAAGCACTTTAATTTTGTCGACGACTAAATTGCTAGCCAAGTTAATAGTTTTGGTCGATATTTAGAAACAAGCTCTTCGTACTTAACCATAAGTTCTATACTTTATAGGCTGTATCCACCTATGCCTAACACACTGAGTAACAAAAATATCCTCAATAAGTGTATCATAAAAACAGGCCACCTGCCGATGTCAACAGGTTGCCCTTCTATACATTCTGTGTGTGTTGCTATTTACATTGTACGTGCGCGTGCGTCTGCCTCTGCCTCAGCCGCTGCCGTTGCCTCTGCCTCGTCCTGTGCACGTGTATGTAATTTGTACTAGAGTCTGTGTTTGGACTAACATTAGTCATGTACGTTTCATCGCTGGCATAGACAATGTTTGCATTTTTGCCAAAATATAATATAAAACACGTGTGGCCCCAACTTTGAACTGAAGGTCGGCCGGCAAAAATCAACTCCCGCAACGGTCAAACTGACTGCGAGAAACAATAAATAAAATACATTTGTTTTTATTAAAATTATTTTTTTTTATATTTTTATATTTTTACTTAAATTTTATTTTTACATTTAATAATTAGCATTACACGCTGTCAAATGTACGTGTAACAGGTGCTGTTAAGTTTACCACACACTTAACATGGCTCTGTTAACAGCTCAGGGTACGCTTAGCATGCTGTTAACCAATTAAAGATGCGCTGCGTTTAGCGGGTTTAACGCTAAAACTAGCTACAATCGTATATGATGGCTTGCAGGTAATATAGTTAAATATGTATAATTATTATTTAACTATGTTAACAGTAATTAAGTCAAATAAATATATTTATATATATATATACATATATATATTTGTAAGCAATGTAGAAATTAGCAGCATCTCTACAAGCAATTTGATGCTAACTGTTGCTGCTGTTGGTGCTTCTGTTGCTGCTGTAGCTGTTGCTGTTGCTGTTGCTGCCGGCATTGGTTGAATTTGTTTTTGTTGCTGTTGCCGCTGTTTATTCGCCTGTTTCAACGCCAGCGCAACGGACGCATCGCCGCTTCGCAGTCAAACTCCCGTTTCGCGAAAAAAACTAAGAAAAAAGCAATTTCTTGCTAGCGTGTGTGTTGACGCGTTGTTGTGGGCGTGTTGTGCACTTCCGTGTCGAAACTCTTTTGCATTTTACAACTGCGTGAGGTGGGCGAGGGGGGTGTGCCCCTGCTAGAACTGTCCGAACGCGCGTTAGTTGACAACGTCGCGCAGTCGCCGCGTGTTTTGGATTCTGTTTTTGTTTTTTTCTTTATTGCTGTTGTTGTCGGCTTGTTGCGGATTTTCATTATTGTTTTACAATGGCCTCTTGGCCGCGTCGCAATAAGCAGGCATCGGCATCGGCAAACGGCATCGGCAAAGGCAACGCCAACGGCAGTTTAAACATGTGAATATAAAAGCATAATTGTTGTGTGCCTGCGGCTTAATACGCGTCAGGAACTTCAACGCGAAGGTTCCTCAATCAAAGGACGCATAAATAACATAACTAAAAATAATAAAAAATAAAAATTAACAATTAACGGAAACACAATTTCGAAGCTGAGTACAAATAAATAATTTCCTGTTGCAGTCACACGGTGCGTATACTTAGTTTCTTTTAGCTTGCAAAAAATACAGTTTTATATATAGATTGATATATATATATATATAATGTGCTACAATAACAAACTTTTAAACAGCCAAATAAACAATATATAATTTCAAAATTATTTGATAAAATTTGTAAACAATTAAAAGTTGAATCAGTGGCGTTGTCGAAATATTAAGATGGGGTGGACTAAATCTGTGAATTTTATTTTTAAAAAACTTATAATTATTTAAAAATATTTAAAAAAAATTGTGAGACCTTAAAAGTGCGAGTTTTTTTTTCAAATATTATTTAAAAATTATTTGATTAATTTTGTAATTGTGATTGAATCTTTTAAAATATTTTATAAATATTTTCAAGTTTCGAAACGCCTCTGGCCGCGCTGTTGTTTATGTGTTAAGAGCAAACGACCTCGTCTCGCGCACATCATTTAACCAAATATGTTTTTGCCCTCTTATAATTTTTGTGGTAAATGTTTTTTGGGGTATTTGGCATATGTTGCAATGATTACAACCTGGACCACAATTCGCTTAGAAAACTATTTAACTTTCATCTATGAATGAAAAATAATTGACCTCATTAAAAGAAAAACTATTTCATAAAAAACACTAAGTTTTTTTTATTTGTTTATTAAATATTTTCAAAGAGTATTTAAGCTTTTTTATTGAGAGCGTTTTCTAGAAATGATATAGCTTATAAATGCTTTTGTTAATCATTTTAATTAGCTTCGATAGTTTCGTGTCTTTCCGGTATGATTTGCGGCTTTGACTTTGAAAAATATTCGAAACATATGAAATTAAGCGAAAAAAAATGTCTACGTTGCGAACGCTTGTTGATTTGATTTGTTAGATTTGCTTTTAAATTTGGCAGCAAGGCCAGAGCAAAAAAAAAATAAAAGTGAAAAGCGAATATGTTGCACAACTTGGCGGTCAATGGACGTGCGCGTGCTTGTGTGAGTGTGTGTGGATTGTTTGCCACACGCCAATATAATGGGGCAAATTGCAAACAGCCCAGACAAGAGAACACAGCCAACAGTCCACAGCCCACAGCCTACAGCCCACAGCTATAAAGCTACTTACTAGTTAATGACAACAACCCGCAGATCCCACAACAGCGGCACAAAAGCGCTTACGTTTTTATTGCCCAGCAACCGCAGATGTTGTCATCGGGATGAGGTCTGGAGCTGGCTGACAATCGCCATATCATAATTCATTGTTCATTGAGATTGAGTGTCGCGATCGTAAACGCATCGGTAGCTACAAGTGTTATTGATATTCAAAGTAAATAACGCATACGACCTGTGTGACGTGTCGGACGACGCCTGTGCAGGCAACAGGCATAAAATGCGCCAAAGTAGTTATAAAATGTTGTGTTCAGTGGGTCAAGATATAATGTTATTTTATGGTGTAAAACACGTAACAAAGGAATTTGAATCAGCCCTAGCATATGCCACTCATTGTCATTCATAAGAAACGAAAGTATTTAAAGGCGGCTCCAAGGCGGCAGTAAGAGCGTTCAGGACACAAACGAAATGAGCTAGAAATCAATATAAAAGCATTTAGCAAGACTCTCTTTATTGTGAGTATAAGCTTATGAGCTTTCATCGGGAATTATTATGATAATGAGCAACAATAAGTATACGACGTGGTTGATGAAATAAGTAGAAAATCCTTTATTCTATATTCTAGAACTCAATATTTTGATTTGATAAATTCACTCAACAAATGTGTAAATTATTCAGTCAATTGAAGCCATTTAGAATTTTTTTATTTACCTTTTCATATTATTAGATTGAAACAGTCACTGGGCTTAAGCACGTGCTGTAAGCAACTAAACAAAACACCTAACCCACTAAACCAATTCCAGTAGCTTAGCACCACTCACGTATACATATTACTGTGAGACTGTGTGCGTATCTGTGTGTTTATATTGCGAGCAATTGTGGTTTTTGTATCATATTCCGCACAGTGCTGACCATGAGTATGAGTTTTTCTTTCGTCCCATTCGCGTTTATTTTTAGTTAAGCATCGCTTATCACTCACTCCCTATAGGCGGGCAGCACTCCAGCTATCCCCATTGGTATTGCCACTGTCTTGGCCCTTCATAACTGCCAGCCCAAAATGGCATTTATGACGCTTGACTTCAATTTATGAGACATACTTATACCCTTTCACTTTGGGTACTTTGCATATTGCAAATTGAAGATGGAATATGATGATGAATATGATTTTATTTTGAATAAATATATTCATATATATATAAAGATACTAGTAATATGTACATTTAACATAACAATTATTTAAAAACATTAATAATCATATTTAAATAAGTGCATTTTATTATCACAGTACACAGAAAAAGAATTTTACGACCTTTTTCAATTCACTTTCTGGAACTCTCATTCACCTTTATGGCTTAAAATCATCTTCGCAATTTTATATATACCAAATAGGAGATGTATACAGTAGATTAAATATTCAGCGAACTAATATCATATATCTAATATATATAATAAATAGTTCAATATACTAATATGATCTGTGCCCTGCTTAAAGAGCATATCTATAGCTATGAAGCCTAGATTGTATTTATGCGCTCGGAAACCGCATTCAAATTCAATGTTTTTTTATTTTTTCGGCTAATACTCAATTCAAGGTTTTTCCTTCCCACATGGAAATGCGCGACAAAACAAATACTTTAGCGGAGAAGGGTTTTGGGTTGGGCAGACGCGGGAGGCTGACCGCCAACTCTTCGGCGCGACGCTGGGTCTAACAATTTCGCATTTTCAATTTCAGGGCCAACAACAAGTGCGGCAGTCAATGGCAACAGTTGTGTGCAAAGCTCTTGTTATACCCTGTAAATATAAACTAAATAACGATGGGTATATTCAAGCTAATTAAGGAAATGAAACAGAGCAAGCATTTAACTTTATATTGCATTCTAAAACGATACACAACAAATGGGTATCTTCTAGCATAGCACGCATATATATATACATTTATTTAGCTGCGTGAATCTAAAAATATTTTCAATACCTAAACTATTTACAACATATGTTGCTGACACTTTCCATAGGGTATCATCTGGCCTAGCAATAACACAAGGCTAAGCACGTTTGTTGTTAATGTTAACTCAGTGGTCGATTGTCGATAGCTGGTAATGAACTGAAATGACAAGCACAAATGCGCTTGTCGAACAGGAGGGGGACTGTGGGGCTGTCGGTGGGCTGAGTGGGCGGCAACTCCAACCAGTCGTCAACAAGTTGCGCGGCAACTGCCGCACTTCCCATGACCTTACTGAGAAAGTGGGAAACGGAATTGCTTTAGTACCATGACAACCCAACCCAACTCCATTGACGAGCTGGCGCTGCACTTGTTTTGGCTATTGATATTTTGTTATTGGTCAGTGGTTAGGTTGATTTGTTTTCAATGGAATTTGAGTGGCATGCCACGTGCTAGGCAACGAGACGCAACCCAATCTAAGCTCAATTTACAGCTAGCACGCAATATGTTTTCATAAACATAAGCAGGTCAACAACCCAGTGTCAGATAGAGTCGTAAAATATTACAGACATAGTCCTATCCGCGTGCCCCAAAACCTGCGATGCCATCCTTACAAAAGAGTGAACATGCTTTCAATTCAATGTCGATGCCAAGGTCCCATTGACGGCGCCGCCTGCCAAGGTGTTGCCAGCTGTCACTAGGGGTGCTCACGCTAAAGCCCATCTCAAAATTTCCCATATTTTTTTTTGCTAAAAGATAATTATGAATAATGGCCTAGAATATTAGAGAAAGAAAATATTTATGATTTAAATGCCATCGAATACCCCTAGTGCTTCAAGATGTTAGATAATGATTCCTAGAACTCATTAGTGTGCATAAAAGCTGCTGCTGCTGCTGCTGCCGTTGTTTACACCTTGCTCGACTGCACCACCTGTTCGACACTCAACCATTCAGCCCACCCCAGCCATTTAAGCAGCAGCGTGAGAAAACGCGTATGTTACTGTTTTGGGGCTAAAGAAAAGCTATCGCCGTAATTAAATTGAAATCAAAACAAAGTTGCGCTTCTACATCTATGTTGCAGACGACGCACAGACGGCCCTAATGGGCTTTTGGCTGTCTGGCTGGCTGGCCAGTCTGTGGAAGAAAACTTTTTGGGATACTTTAAAGTCATGGCAACAGTTAGTTAATGCACTAATACTAGCTGCTACTTCTAGAGAAGCACTCGATGCGTTGCGCATACGCCACGTTGCCTGCCATCGGTATTGGTTCATTAGACACGCGCGCTACACAGCTTGTTTCCATGGCGGCTTTAGCTTTGCTTTTGTTTGAGCTTCAAATCCAACTAATTAAAATCTACGCAGCAATGTTTTAAGTCGCAAAAGGTAAAGTCTGGTCGCTCCTGGCACGGTCTACTCAACTAGCCCGGCCATAATCAGCATGCATGTGGCTGCTACTCGTCTGACGCTGGCGCGCTCTCCTGATGAATATTTATCAGCACAGCAGACATTAATACGTTTGTTTACATATTTACACAGAGTGTGTGTGTGTGTGTGTGTGCGAGCAAGGAGTGTGTGCGTGTTAGTGTGGACAGAGTAGAAGCAATTATAATACTCTTTGCTCGAGTACCTCGAAGCAGTTGGAGAACTTCAAATTTTTGAATTGAAAATATTAAAATTTTGATGAAATTAAAGTATACATTTTTGAGCTACTATTGAGTAACTAAAATAACAAAGCTAGCCCTTAAAAGACCTAAGCTTTATCTTAATTCACTTGCCCATTTACAATTTCTATAGTAATGCAAGTAGCTCTTATAAAGTATTAAACTCAATTGATGGAAAGTCTTTAAGGCATAAACATTTCTCTGACTTTAAGTATATAACAAAAAAATATATAATTATGGCCTATGTATTTGTAGTATATATATAATTAAATGTATGTATAGTTTCTTAATTATGCACTTCGCTTCCGCTGGGAATAATCCATCAGTGCGAGTGGCGTTAGGGAATTGAGGTTTCGGTCTTGTTTGCTGTATTCACCTAGCAATTCTATTGTTTACATGGCTGGCTGGGCAAACAGTGGCGACTGCTCGTATCAGCCAAATGTCCACATGTACTTGGTCACAATGTCGTGGAGCCAGACGAGAGCTCAGCTCAAGTGATAATTGATATTTTACTGTATTTATTTTCAAGTGTATTGCTTCCAAGTAATCTGCTGATAATTGTTGGGGCGTGGAGCGATTATCATGATAATGACGAGGACAATGATGATAATGATGATGATGAATAGGTCTCTGGCCATGTCCCTGGAAATAGCGCTGGCCCTGGATGACGATGACGACGACGACGACGCAAAAAGTGTCCAATAAATGTTTCATAGTTGTCGTTGTCGCTGGCATTGTTGACCTTATCAGAGGCAAACACATACTTACACACACACGAACGCACATACTGAAACACACATGTACACATAACAGAGGGAGCTATAAAACACACTCAAACTTCCATTGTACTGCCCCTTGGCGTATACTATAAAATATTTGCTGCCTTCTGCTGCTGCCGTTGCTGAAAAATATGCAATAATGTTTGGAGCTGAGCCAAAAATATGCGGCGAGGTCTCGTCTGGTTTAGGTGGGACAGCTGGCATATGGATAACGGCCAGCCAAACTATGCGATAATATAAAAATAGATGCAAATGCGTTTAAGCCTGGGCAGGTGAATACCCTGTAAGAGCAAGAGGTAAACACACTAATGGATTATACAGCGAAGTTCCTAATCACTTTTGCAACTTTGAAATGATTTTTTATATTTGGAATTCATACTTATCTAAGTTGAAGTTATAAGTTACTTAACATACCCCATTTGTATTATCGTATTTCCAGGGTAGTCAAAAAGGTTACTTCCATCATTTGGAGCAGACGACATTGTCTTAGCCTGAGCCCAAAGACTGTGCGTGTTCTTTGCCTGCCCTGCAAAATGAATGCCACCTCGCCAAAGTCATCGCTGGTCAAACTGGGTCTGCATACCAACAAGCAAAAGGCGCTTAAGGTTATGGTTCTGGGCCAGAGCGGGGTTGGTAAAACGGGTAGGTGGACGCTTCTCTCTCCTCTCACCTCACCTCTCTGTGCTCACGGCTCTGCAATTTACAGCTATGGTCGTGCGTTTTATAACGCGTCGCTTCATTGGCGAATATGATCCGAACTTGGAGAAAATCTATACCTGCCAAACGACACTGGACAAAGAGTCGGTGCAGTTTGACATACTGGATGCCACCGGGCAGCTGCATGTGAGTGAACTCCACAAGATATGCGAAGATAATCGAACTTAGCTCTTCTTCAGGAACTGGATGGCGTTACGCTGGAGTCCAATATACGCTGGGCCGATGCCTTCATACTCGTTTACTCCATCACAGACAAATGCTCCTTTGATGAATGCAGCCGCTTAAAGTTTCTCATCAACTACAACAAGCGACGGCGCAAACTGGGCTCGGCCAGCAAGGTGAGCCGTTGCCACGTACCGTGTAGCATAGTGTATTCTAGTTTTGTCGCTTCCAGGATTACGCTCTGGATATACCAGTCATACTGGTGGGCAACAAGACAGATCAGACTGGCGATCGAATGGTCAGCTTGGAGGAGGGACAACGTCGATTTCGTGAGCTCTCCTGTGCCTGCTTCCATGAGATTTCTGTAAGAGAAAGCGTCGATCAGGTGGGTTCATTGGATTTCATTTTGTTGTTATCATCATTTATTTGTGCTTCGACTCCGAACTAGGTACAAAACGTATTCCGCGATGTGTTCCGCTTCTGGCGTGTATTTAGCAAATTTCCAAAGCTCAAACGTTCCACCAGCGATGTGGCGCATGCCGCCGATGGCACTTTAACGCCCGATTCCGGTTCCTGTTCCTTCTACGATGCGACGCCGCTGGGCGTGGCCCGACGATCGTTCCTGGTCATTGGCAGCGCCTGCCAAGAGGAGAACAGCGGCGATCATACCGAATCCACCGATGATATAGCCAGCAATAGCTTGGGTAGTTCACGCAGCGATATCGATGCACCGTTCCGGAATCGCGCCTCCACCGATGGCACCCTACTGTCCAGGCCCCGACGCTGGCGCTATCCCCCTCCCGGCTGTCTACTGCCGCATACAAATCGCGTCGAACGTCGCATGAGCATCTCGACGAGAGGCAGCAATGCCAGCTACTGACACTGAAACTCACCTAGTTAGTTCAAATGTTGCGCCAAATATATCTATAGCTAAATGTTGAATATAATATTCGAATGCTTGTCTTTCAATCGATACGATTACCTCCTCTCCCTCATTCCTCATCTCTCATATTCCTTTTACATAATAATTTTGCTCAACTGCACTGGCAAGATTTGGCCTTGCTACAGAGTCTAAAGGGTAGAGCAGCATACGCTTAGTTTTTAGTTCATACGGTAATCTGATATTCCCATATTATTTTTTTTGTTATTTTATAGAAGCTTCTGGGCTACATATATTTTTGCACTTGCAACAAATTTAAACATTCAAAGCATAAAAATAGTTATCGACCTGGGCTAAAGCATAAGGCCCCAGGGCTCTTGGCGAAAGCCAACGTTTTAATCATCGTCAATCTTAAGCATATACTCTTCGGCGCGCAGTGCGAGCTCACGTATGTTGCGTAGACAGCCAGCGGCTGCCAGTTGTAGTTCCTTATTGGTGGATCCAATGCATTCCAGCAGAAAGGGTACCACACCGCTCTAAGGGTAAGACATTAGCTGGGCACAATAGCTGGGCACACACATTGATACAGACCTGGTGCATGGTGATGCAGTTTTGTGGATCCATCGAGAGCTTCTCGAGCGCCATGGCCGTGGTGCGATGGACCATGGGATTCTCGCTGGTCATGTAGGTGACAATGGGTGTTACGGTGCGAAGGCGTCCCAGCTCTTCGGTGTTGTTGCCGAAACAGGCGCAAGCGGCGACAGCAGCGGCCAGATTCATGCGCAGCATATCATCCGTTGTATTGACCAAGTCCGCGATCTTATATATGACACGAAGATCTGTCAGAATGGCCAGATTGGTCTGGTCCAAGGCAATGGTGGCAATTGCCGCGCACACCGCCGACAGTACCATAATTTCCTTGGACTTGAGCAAACCCACTACCAGCTCCATTGCGCCGACCAAGCTGCGCACCAGCTCGGCGGAATCCGTAGCATTTCGTACGCACGGACAAATCGCATAGGCGGCATTCGCCTGGACACGGGGGCTTGTATTTTTGAGCAATGACCAAACCAGACGTACTGCATCCAATTGCTCTAGAATACGCATGCTCTCTGGATCTTCGGCGCACTCTTTTATTGCCGTAGCTAAGTTCTCGAGCAGCGGCGCGTGCGAGGAGTTAAGCAGTGCCACCATTGCCGGCAATCCATTAGCATTACGCACTGCCACACGATTTTGCTGGAAGCGCACGCATTCGGACAAAGCGCCAGTGACATTGGTTAAGACCTCATCGCACTCGTCGGCCAGCAAGGACACCAGATGATGAATAACATTCATGTCATCCAATTGCTCCACATTCTCATCAGACATGGCACACATCCAAATGGCGCCAGTGGCGCCTCTGATCAGTGGCTTATTATCCCGCACCGACTTATCCTTGAGGATGCTAACGAGCGGGGCAAGTCCGCCCGCCTCTCGCACCAAATCCCTTGTGGTTGCATCAAATGCGCATTTATAGAGCGCCGTGCTGCACTCTACTTTCAGATCGATGCACTCCGAGTTCAAATGGGTCACAATATCAGCGATCATGCCCTCTGTGGTAATGGCTAGCTGGAATTTTGGCTCGGACGAACATTTCTTTACGGTGCCCATAATCGGAATGACCACATCAATATGTACGGACTTTAGCAAGTTGGCCATTAGTGGCACAATGCCGCTCTTTCGCATCAGTTCCATATTGTGCTTGGAATCGGCCAATGTCCAAAGAGCACGCGAGCCGGCCCGTGCCATGTCCAGGAACTCGATCTCCTCGACGGTCAGCTGATTACGTGGCGTTTGTAAGATACTGCAGCGCATCGAAAATAAAAAATTCATATATACAAAAAATGTATAAGCGCTCGACTATAGCTACCTCATTATACTACCTCATTTTGATATCCAGCAGGTCGACCAGCTTGGAAATGCCGCCACACTGGCGCACGTATTTGCGTGCCAAACGAACCTTGCTGACATTGGCCAGCGTCTCGGCGGCCATAGTTTTCAAGTCCTTCATAGATGAGTTCAGAATGTCGACAATCAGTGGAATGCCATCTAGATCCACGATTGTCTTTCGTATGTCAATGTTAAGCGTTATATCGGAGAGAACGGTGAGGGCGCCCAGGCAGCATTTGGTGTCGTTGCACTCGAGTATGTTGACCAAAACATCAAGGCCACCAATGTCCTGGATGGCGAACTGATTGATTTGTATGCGCAAATCATAGTCCTGCAGGCAGCACAGGCTCACAATTGTGGCTGTTTGATTGCCTGCTTTGATATATTTGACGAGCTTCTGTATGTTGTAATATTCGGCTGGAATCTCGGCAGCTCGCGCCACATCCTTCCAGCGTTCCTCCTCATCCGTTGATGATTCTTCTTCTGTGGTATCGGAATCTACCATTGCCACTTGACGCTTGTCCCTAGCGAAGCGATCCGGACAGGAGCCGCATTGATCGCGGATCGGTCGCGAATGTTTCTGTCCGGCGGTGGCAATCATTGTCGAACACCAGTTATCTATATATGTATATCTTTAATATATATTTAACCTTTCATACACAAGTAATTAGTGAAAGAGCCTGTTGCCGTAGTTGAACTTGATTGTTCAGGAATTTGTGTGTAGCTTACGTAAAGGAATTTCCAAATGTTCGTACAAAAATCGATTAAATAACATTTGTTGCCTGGGCAACGTTCAGAAATTTATCGTGTCAGGTATTTCTGTGTGGGGAAGCACTTGATTTCGTCTTTTATTATCTGCCTAACATTACAACAACAAAAAGTAAAATACACAAATGATTAAAATTTCATTTTTGAATTTTTTGCAAATGGCACCATGCTATTTAAGACTGATCCCAATGAAGCTGTGGTGCGGCGAAAGTGTGATACTGTGTTAAGAATTGTCACACTTGATTCTATTCCATTTCAGTATATATAATGAAAAGCTAAAGAACTTAATGCTCGAAAGACATTCAAATTATTGCAATCAATTGAATATGAGTTCTAAAACTGCTCTACACTTTTATATAACTCTAAATACAAAAATTAGATATTCATACAATCACATAACAATGAAAAAGCTGAAAAGTGGCATAAATAAAAATGGGGAAAAATCCATTCTTTTAAGGTTTTACATAATATTTTCTGAAATTGTTTTCAATGCTTAGAGTAGAGTAGAGTATAAAATCATCGAACTCTCTCTAATTATTACTTAGTTCATAAATTAGCTCTACTTTATAGAATAATTCTATTCATTGCAATTTGATAGGTTAAGCTGGCTAGGATGCGTTTTTTATTCACATTTGATCGCGGCAGATTAAAATTTGGAGTGCAGCCAGTTCCAGCTCTAAAAATCGTCGGTTGCCACCTAAATCCTTATAAAGGTAAAAGTTTTTTCTAAAAGTTTGTCGTGTCGTTCATCACTTTTCATCCAAGCAATAGGGCACGTTTGCTTATATTCTTTTGTTATCTTATATGCGTGAATTTATTGGTATATAGATTATATTTTGTCTTAAATTAGAGGGGGCATTGGACAAATCGATAAAACAATGGTAGAGCTACAAATTTTTTATCAGTTTTATATCAATTTTGACCAAATAAAAAAAAAAGATAACGAAAAGATGTAAAAATTCATAATTTTTGATCTAGTGAACGTCAAAATTTAATTACAAATGGCTTGAATTATTTATTTTGGAATATTAGCCTTGTAAATCATTGTAATGTTGCGGCTGCGATGTGAAACAGTATTTAGTACTTCATATAAAATTATAAATCAGCTGCAATTTTGTTCAGTTCGATGACAACTTTTTCCATGGAATATCGTTTCTGTGGGTCTGCATGCCAGCACAGTGAAATCAAAGATTTTAAGCTATCCGAACTTACATCGTCGATAGGAGGACGTTCGCCTTAAATGATGCACCAAATTAATATAAAACAAATTTAGTCGAACTGGATCAAAAACTTACCTTTTAAAGCCTTTCTTAAAATACTAATTTCATTGGTAGGGTTATTCAAATGACTGAAAGGGATCTTTCTAGTTTTTATCGTCCAGAACACAATGCCACAACTGTAAACATCAACACTTGCTTTGTAATGAGAGGTTTTCGCCATCTAGTATGAAAAGAGTTTTTAGTTTAAAATAAATATTTATGTAGTTTAATGTAGACCTCTGGGTCCATATATTCGACAGTGCCAACTTCAGTTGTCATCGAAGCGGTCTGTTCACGAACACACCCAAAGTCGCTTATTTTCAAGACTTTATAGTTTTGTGTAAGTAACAGATTGGCTGGTTTCAGATCCCGATGAATCACTGGCTTCTTCCTGCTATGCAGGTAAGCAACCCCCTACAAAAATGTATATATATTTATGGCTGGTTCTTTGAAGAGTAGTTGAATTTACCTTGGCCAATTGCTGCATCCAATCGACTGCGGTCGATTCAGAATATTCCTGACGTGGGCCTTTCATGGGAAACAAATAGTCGTTGAGCGATCCACATTCAGCAAATTCCATCATAATCAGTGAAGTTAAGCCATCTTTTTTAAGACCAAGCATTTTTATAATATTCTCATGAATACATTTCTTAAGTCCATTCACTTCTCTATCAATATTTATTTGGCATTTTTCATCGTAACATTCAATCGTCTTCACTGCCAATACAGAACCACGCAGATCTGCCTTATAGACTTTTCCACCGCTGCCTTCTCCAAGTAACTGCAAGGAACATGATGACATGAATAAATTTCTATGGAAGATCACACATTACCGTTCCCAATTGCACATGTTTCAAATCTTCTGTGGATAGTTCTTCTAATAGTTTACAGTTCCTTAAAATTAAAAATAAATATTTTTATTGAAATATTGGTGGATAAAATCTATGGCAGAAGGGCACGTGCTCCATCGCACAAATTAAATATTCTGACTAAAATATTCATTCTTGCATTTTATGTGATGGGTTATGTAAGTTATGGAAATTTATTTACAAACACATTTGTCGAGTCGTAGTTGGGTTAAATGAGTTGACTATTTGCGATCATAAAATACTTACATTTTTGCTGAATAATTTTGTTCACGTTTAGCTGGTTTATGCTTATGCTTGATATATATATATATATATCGATATATCGATCGGGGGCATCGATATATCGATAACATTGATAACATTGTCATCGAGACATCAATTACAATGCCAAACTGAGCTACAACAGGCCTGTCAATTAAGATAGGAGAAGTCAAGAAATAATAAAATGATGAAGGCGCGAAAGGGATGGAGAGCGTTCGTATTTTCTAATTGGGAACTGGTATCCAGGCCAAGGCTAGTAATTAGAGAGTGAAAGTAACAGCTCATCAACCTAATTTTTTATAAGGATTCAACCGTTCCATGTCACCTGTAACCAACCTATGTCGCAGCACCATAGGCTATTCTTTCCACATCGCAAGAATACCCAAGAACATAATTTTTATTTGAATAGAGGCAATAAAATATGATGTGCACGATAAAACTCTTGATTTATGTATTTAAATAATTAGACATGATCATTATTATTGAAATCTGGCAGCCTCCACACTCGGAATCGCTTCACTTCCATGTCATATCCCTATGTTGTTTATAGGCAGTCAATATTCATTTTCCAGTATGGAAATTATTTCCCTCATAGATAATCGCTCGTCCGGATTTTGATTCCAACACTTTAAAATCAAAGTTTTTAGCTCTTCCGATTTGGAAAATTTTTTTAGTTTGTCAATATACGGACGTGCACCTAGAAATATCCAAAAAAAAATAATATCAAAAAAATTCTATTAGGTCTGACAAATAAGTTACCATTAGATGTCCTAAATTTACGAAACTCTGCTCTTATTTTTAAATGATCAGGGTAGGGAACACTACGACTAATCACCTGCCAGAGCACAATAGCAAAACTGTAAACATCTGCCTTTACAGTGTATGGCTTGTGATCTATAATCTATGTAAATAGTTAACCATTTTTAGGATCTATGAGTACTTTAATTTTATGCAACACAAACCTCTGGTGCCATGTATGAGGCTGTGCCAACGTTGCCTGTCATCGCATTATTTTGTTCATTAACCGATTCCGCGTCGACCATATCTGCTATCATCGCATCAGGTTGTTCGCGGATCGATCCAAAGTCTGCTAACTTAACGACGCGATAGCCGTGAACAAACAACACATTTTGTGGTTTAACATCTCGATGAATTAGTGGATGTGGTTTCATGGCATGTAAGTAAGCAAGGCCCTATGAAATATTGCAATTTTAGTTTAGTTCTCAGCAGAAAAATTACAGTTCTTGCCTTAGCCACTTGTAGCATCCAGTCGAAAGCAGTCCAGTTCGTATAACTATAGTTCGGAACTCCTTTAGGAAACAAATAATTCTGGAGTGATCCACATTCGGCATATTCCATTACAATCACACTAACGTCAGCATCGGTTTTAAAGTCAAAAAATTTGATAATGTTCTCATGATTGCACCGGGCAAGTTGAGACGCCTCTCTCGCAGTGTTTATTTTTTCGATGTCGTTCTTTGGCTTACATTGTTTTACTGCCAATTGAACATTATTAAAATTTGCTCTATACACTTCTCCAAACCTGCCATATCCAATTTTCTGCAAAACAGACGTTCAGTAAAACTCTATTGAAGATCGATCATTCATTACCACTCCCAATTGTACGCCAGAGATGTCGAAATTGGTTGGGGTTTCTAATACCCCTTCAATTCTATAATGCTGTCTACAAAAAGCAAATGTTAATTGTATTTTCATTAAGCAATAAATAAATATTTAATCAATAAAGAAAAAACTTCAAGAGCCTCTCGAACGTGTCTTGGATACCAGGCTACAGGGTAGCTCACATTAACTGGACCAAATGACATGAGCTGCAGCTAGCTGCTGGCAGGCAAGTCTCGAAAATAATAATATATTTCATTACTATTTTTTTTTCGAGACTTCACTCTTAGAGGTATATTAGGCAGGTGCACTGTGGATTCTCGCGAATTTAGAAACGAATCTCAGACTTTTGTGGCAGACGATGCGCAAATCCGTTGTCTTTATGACAACTAAGTAACAATATATATACACAATAAGAATAAATACTTTTAAAAATACCCTCTAATGACTTTGAGCTGCTCAATCACTTCCGACATTTTGGGCCGTTTGCTCGGGTCATCATCACAGCAACTGGCAATCAGCGAATTGATATAGTTGAAGCCCAACTCATCGTTAGGACAACTAAGACGTTTTTCCGGCAATACATAGTAATATAAAGCTCGTTTGCGTGAAAGCACTTCCCAAAGAACTATTCCAAAGCTATATACATCGTATTCTTGTGTATAGTATGGCGGGATGTATTCATATATGATGCCGTACATGGAATTGAGTTGTCTTCGGTTTATATTACTTGAGAGTGTTTTTCTGGCCTCTGGCGGCGCGTAATCATTGCAACTATCTTCCACTCCAAATGTCAGCTCACCGACCTTCAAGCAGCGATTGTCATTGAACAGAAATAAATTCATTGGCTTCAAATTGCCATGACAAACACCGAGTGAATGTAGAAATGCAATTCCCTGCGAAAAGAAACAGTTTTCGACATTTGTTTTAGGTAGAAAGGAAAAAGTGCCAATGTACCTCAGCGCATTGCAGCATCCAATTGAGTGCTTCTTGCGAAGAGTACCTTGGGACATCTGTGCCATGGATTTGATCATACAGCGATCCACCCACTGCGAACTCCATAATGAGGCTTACATAGGCCGTTTTTTTGTAGTCAATTCCATAAAATTTTATGATATTCTCATGGTATTTGTTGAATAGCTTCTTGTACGTTTTCAAGATCCACGGAATGTCCACTACGGAGCGTGCAGATGTCTTTAACGCAATAAGCTCATTGGCGTAATGTGCCTTTGTCACGAAGCCACGAGCATTTTTCCGGAATTCCTTCAAAATTAATATTCACATAAAAATACAAATCATTAAGAATGTTTTAAATTGGCGCATTTAATGCCAGAGCTAATTCAAACAGACGGACATTGCAGAAGACCAATGGCGCTATAATCCATTACCTGCCACCCAGAAAGATCGTCTAGTGATAAAATTTTCATGCTGATTCACAAAATATCACTCGAAGAATGCAATTTTAACTTTTTATTTCTCAATCAACTATTTAATGGCAAGCGAATTATTTAGGTAAGTAAACGGAAGAGCAAGTAAGTCAAAATCTTATTTGCGTTTGTTATTTCGTATTTGATCAAAAGTTAGTTATCTAAAATATAGAATATAGTCTCGCAATGAATTCTTATCAGAAGTAAATTATCGGTGCTAGAGATGAATCAGCAACAGCCGCTAACAATCGATTAATGCTATAGCTTTACATACATAAGTACGGTTTATAATATCATATAACATTTAAATGCGTATTATTTATTATCTTTTTAATAGACAATTATAGCTGTTGCTGAACGTGATCTCGGGTTTTGCTGACTGAGTGCGAAATAGCTATTTAGGCCATTTGGACAGGTTCGTTATGATTCTCAACGGACTTAGGGAAAGGACTAGAAATTGTCATTCAAATTCTTGGGAGAGCACAACGGCTTAGAATTAGTGATAAAAGCCCAACGGTTGTAATAAGTCATTTCCGCAACAATGTGGAGGCTTGTCGATTACAGGGTGACCAGTTTACGAACGATGTTTGTGTTCATTCATTCATTGTTGTGAAAAATATTTATCGCTTGTTATGGTCTAAGCTTTTAATAATATTAAAAGAAAATATTTCATTAATGTATTGTTTAAAATATTTAGACATAATAAAAAGCAGAAATGTTGGCAAAGAGCTGCGGCTGCGGCTGCGGTGCGGCAAATTGAGCGTTTCTTATACTAGTTTGTGGTAGCACTGCAAAATAGCTGTAGTTGTTATTTATGCTTAAGTTAGAAGGATCAGAATCACATTTGCTTACCATACAATGATGTTATATAATTGGAGCCAACACCAATGGCCAATATAATTCGGATTTTCTACGTTGTAATCGTAATACTTCTGCCGGTGCGCAGAAATGAGCAGCGGCTGCGGTGTGGCGCACTGCATTTAGCAGTGTTTGGTGTAATTGCTCTGTGGTCACACTGCCCAACAGCTGTGTTAAGTCTTTGTTGTGTTTTCTTTTTTCAATTTAAATTCGACGCATCAGTAGCGTATTTACTTTCTATAAAATACCATCACAAACTATGGGTAACACTAGTAGCAAAAAAGAATCGGACAATGTGTACACAAATGAGGAGCTGCGCTTTTTAGAAACGGCATATCGCAACGCATCTGGCGGTGCTTTAGAGAAATTAACCTCAGATCGACTGGTGGTAGGTGAACGCTATTGGGTCGTTGCACTTGTGCTCTTTTGGCTAACAAATCAATGCTCGGTTGTTGCCTGGCATTGCCAGTGGCTACGGTCACAAGTTCAAGGTTTACTGCAGCAGTGTCATGCGACTCCATAAATGATATATTATGTGCGGGGAAAGCCATCGCCGTTGTCGTCGTTATCAATAACACTTTGCATTAACGGAATACGTTTTCGGTTTTGCAATCATGTCTTTGGCTAGACTAATTTGTTTGCTTTGCGTATTTGCGGGTGACTTTTTGCTTGTTTTGCTCTGTGTAATTTGCTTGTTAACGAATTAGTCGTGATTCCAAGGGGGGCAACACATAATTATGGCTACGAAATTGAATTTATGATAAACAATTGACGCGACGAATACAGTAAATGTCATCAAATATTAACATTGTGTTCGTCCCCTACCGCGCTACCTTGGCATCAAAGAGTTTGCTGACGATCGCATTAATTTGTTTATTTTGCTTTCGTTTTTGTGTGTGTTTTGGATTGTCGATTGTCCGAAAAACAGGAAGCCTGGTCTCAAACGATCGAGCGTTCACTAGCCGAGGCCACGGCTCAATATCTGTTTATCCCAACGAAGCCAGGCCAGCCATGCATCAATATACCATTGAAGAAGTTTGGCGAGCCCTATTACATTATGGAACGTGGCAGCATTGAGATGAAAATGCAGATGATGCTGTCATCTCTGCAATGCAGCCCCAACGACAGCTTGAGCAGCAAACAACTGGAACAGGTGAGCTCTTATCTTATAATAACTGAATTAATTATATATTAATTGACTGCTTTCAGTATATACACTCAATCATTAAGAGCTATGTGCATCTGGAGAGCACCTTAAAGGGTTCCAATATCAAGGACTGGCAGGAGTTGGGCTTTATTACCACAGAGCGGTCGCTCTGCAGCTTTGCCAAGGGCCTGATGCGTAGTCTAAGCAAAGACTTAGAACACACCTTGCACAATGAGGCATTGGAGCGTTGGCTCCACGTAACGCCACAATTTCTACAGCTGTGGCGCGAGGTCTTTGTGCAGCTTTACACACGCCATGGCGGCAGCAAGCGTACAATCATCAAAGAGATGGAAATTTCCATTCTGCCCCAGCTGTGCGGTATGTAATGTGCAATGACGTTGTTTGTACCTCAATCATGACAATCGTAAATCTCATTTATATACGCACACAGATGCGCCGCATAATAGCCACTACCGACCCATCATCGAGCTGCCACATGTGCTGTATATCAATGCACAGTTGCCGCGCGAGATGCGTCACAAATGGCGTTTCCTATTTTCATCGAAAATCCATGGCGAGAGCTTCTCCACAATGCTTGGCAAGATGATAGATAAGGGACCTACGCTGTTTTTCATCGAGGATGAGGATCAATACATATTTGGCGGCTATGCTCCTGAATCGTGGGCACTTAAACCCCAATTCACTGGCAACGATACTTCTTTGCTCTATACGCTCAGCCCAGCCATGCGCTGCTTCACCTCCACTGGCTACAATGACCACTATCAGTATCTAAACTTGAATCAGCAGACAATGCCTAATGGGCTTGTGAGTAATTGTGCGTATATCGATTTGTGTTATTACAACAATACTTTTTACAGGGCATGGGTGGACAGTTCGAGTTCTGGGGTAAGACAAAAGGAATAGACTTGTAATTGGAATTGGCTTACCATTGTATTACTTACTAGGTCTCTGGCTGGACTGCATGTTTGGCGAGGGTCAGAGTGTGGAGAGCTGTACTACATATGCTGACTATGTGCAGCTCAGGTGTGATTGATGCTGAATACAAAAAATAATATAATATTAAAATAATATATATATATAATATCTTCTTTTACAGCAAACGCAAGCAATTCAAAATACGCAATTTGGAGGTTTGGGCTGTAGGCGATTTGCCTGTCAAGGATGATGACGAAGGCGGCAGTGATGATCAGGTAAACATTTTCCACATCTAAATATTTAGCTAATCAAATGTTTTCCTCATACAAGTGGAAAAGTTAGCGAATAGGCAATATTAAACTAGAGAAATTAAAGTTTAAGTTTCTTTACATCTATAAATACGTTTTGCTTTTTTAGAAACGTTCGGTGTTGGATACCAATTTGGAAGATCGTGCCATGCTGGAAATCGCTGGCAAGCAAATGCACTCGGATGGACTTCGTGAGCCGGGCATGGATGATTGATGGCGGTCGATTTGGAAGGCATTGAGTGAAATCTTGGTTTTATCATATTCAAGAATTTATAGCCTTATGTCTCTTTTGGGTGTGCGGTTTAAACCTATACATATATACTTTAGTCTTAAAAACCTTTCCAAAATACTTTAAACCAAGTCCTGGATACAAAAAGTATTCGATATTTCCATTCCTACAACAATTTTGTTAAGCTATTAATGTTAATATTATATATATATTGAGATATATACGTATATAGAATGTATTATGCATAGTGTCTATGTAATACTGAAAGTATTGTTGTTGCGTTCTAGGACTACAAGTGAATGAAATTTTTCAAAAGCAATTTAATATCGTCGTAAATCTCCTCTTTTCCGCGTTTCAATAAATCGTAAACTTTTTGCTGAATTCCAGTTTATTGCTAAAATTAACGGGTGGCTTTTTCTAATTGTAATTAATAAAATTTCGATACCAATTGTATTAGGTTATTGCCCACTTAGAATACAATATAATAGTAGACAATTAATGTATTTTAAATGTCAACAGCATAGCCCGAGAGCGTAACGCCCGGTGCAATCTCCTCTTCAACGTACGAGCCGGCCTCTTCGAAAGAGCGCGCATTGCTATCTTCGAAGCTGCGTCCTACGCTCGCCGGCGTCTGATGCAGAGGCGGTGCTCGTTGGCCGAAGTTGCGCGACACACCATAGTTGCCGGCAGCATTGTGGTTGGAGTTCTGGCCATCTTCATCATAGCGTCGACCTGTCGACCGTAGTTTTGGTGCCTGGAATGTGTGCTGCTGCTGCTGCTGATCGCTATTCTCCCAGCCAGGGCGATTGTGGAAATCGTAGGTGCTCGTCTCGGAGCCCCGTGGATAGTTTGTCTTGCGCAGCATGGCCTTAAAGTTAAATGGTGGCTCCTCGGAGTTCTGCCAAGAGCAAGCTGTTGTAATCAACCTAAATCCAAATCATATTTTGGCATTACTTACATCGTCCTCGTTGCGGCGCGCCATGTTTTGCAGCTCCCGCACCGGATCAGAGGGCGGATATGAAGAGCGTTGTTGGTAATTACGCTGCTGCTGGCTGGGATTATTGCGATACTGATTGGAGGATGGCATCGGCGGCGGTGGCGGTGGCGCCGCATAGCCCTTTAAAGAATTGCGGCGCGATCCGGATCGATAAACCCCCCAGTTGGCGTTCTGATAGTTGCTGCTGTTGTAGTTGTTGTTGTAAGCATTGTTATAGGCATTCATGTTCTTTTGCATTTGATTCCTGATGGATAAGATGTGAGAAGAAGATTCGATTGAGATTGTGCAATGGACTGACTCACCTTCTCAGCTGCTGTGGATCCCGAAAGTAGCTTTGATTGTAGATGTTGTCGCTCTCGCCCATGCGATCCCAGTTGGTCTGGCAGGCCTGCTCCTTCTTATACGCATTGTAGGTTAGCAAGCAAGAGGTCATTGAGGGATTGCGCTGCAATGGACTGTCCCAGGGCTCATCGTCCTCTGTCTGCTGCAGCAGTAAGTGACTTGGAAAGGTTTGACGTGAGATCGAATTGGCCGGATCGACCATATATTGGGTATCGTAAAATGGTATCTGGTCCAAGCGGAAGGGCATCTTCTTGATGGGCACGGGCAGCGGCCCCAGCTGCGAAGAGTTCACCTCACGCATGTTAATGCGCTCGAATGGCACAGCTCGAGTGCACTTATTGAGGCCAGCCACCATGCGTTGATTGTAAATGTGCACCTGTGTGTAGGTGTTTCAATTAGCGAAAGGAAGGTGAGTGGAACCAAGAAAGCATACCTGCTGCGACAGATTGACGAAGTCCTGGAAGCGAGCGGCTCGATAATGTAGCAGCACCTGAAAGATGGACTTCTCACGCCATTTCTTAGCAAAGGGTCGAATAAAGTCCGCCGTGTTCTGATTAAGCTGTCCGGACTTTTCATTCACCAAGGGCGGTAAGCGAACACGGTCTCGGAAACCACGAAAAGCTGCCGAGGAAAGCACAAAAGAGAGAGAGAGAAAGTGAAAAAGGAGAGGCAGAGAGAAGGAAGGGAGAGGAGGTGGGTTAGTGGCCAGTTAGAATTGCGGTCAGTGTGCGGGGGAGTCACCTTAATTTAATTAAATTTTCATTTATTTTCAATGCAACACTTATAATTCATCTGTCTCTGTAGGCCACACGTCCAGCTAAGCCGATTGGTTGCATCACTAGATGTGGGTGGCCAGGTAGTTAGATGTTGTTCTGGTTGGACACCCGTGCGCTATTGCACTAAGCGGCTTAAGTGGCACGTAGACCAACCGGAGACCCTAACCACGCTAACTAATGCAAACTTGTGGCTTGGTTACTTTGATATTTTATTATGTATGTATGTTGTAGTTGTAGTAGCATGTAGTACTTGGTAATGTGGGATATTGGTAGTGCTACCCCCACGAATTAGTATAGTGCCCACATGGGCATTGCTTTTGATTATGTAAAAATAAAATGAGATCTATTCATCGATTGAGGCCTGTTCGATTTTGGAGATGCACACTGCGGCGAGAGCCTCGTCTTTACGCGCTTCCAGAAACAGTTCATCGGCCTCCGATGGTGTCTCACTTATGTCGATATGTTCCTCATCGTAATCTTTAAGCTTATCAACTTGAGTTTTTTTACCTTTTTGTATTTTGCTCGCTGCCTCGTCGTGATGGCCAGCTCCCTTTTTGCCCACTGTGTGATAGACAGAGAGTTAAGGAGACTTGCCTAAGCATTGCTTTAGATGGCGCCACTTACATTTAAAGACCTTGCCGCCTTTGACGCGCTTGCGTGCCAGCAGTGCACGCATCATGGACTGCACCTTGATCACCTTTTTCACCTGCAGCTCATATTGCCTAGCGGTGACGCACAGTTTAGTGGCAATGCGTTAGCTGTTATCGATTGCTGCTCACCTGGCTAGATACTCATCGTTGTAGTAGCGCAAGAAGACCTTGGTCTTGCCCAGAACCCAGCCCTCCATTTTCAGGCGCAGAAACAAGAGGCGACAATTGTCTTTGGTCATCTCAACCGTCTCATCGAAGTCAAAGGCCAAGAACTGATAGCTGCAGTGCGAAACAAGAGGCGATGAGTGGACTAGGAGCAAAACTTCGTGGCGCGTCCTACCGTTTGAGGAACTCCTCGAAGGGCAAGCGTGTGGAGTAGCCACGCTGGCGCGCAATGACCGTATCCAGAATGCCCAGCGCCTTCATCTGCTGCTGCACGACGTCCGAGTGGAAGGCGCGCGGCTTGTACTCCAGATCGGCGCGTATGCAGCGCACAAAGTGTACGCCCAGATTAGCGTTCTGGCTGAGCATTTTGAGCAGGGTCAGGCAGGTGAAACGGAAATTGGCGGCCATGGTGCGCAGATTGTTCACTTGCGAGATGCAGCCAGCGCTGAGCGTGTTTAGATTCTTTAAGTACGGCAAAGGTGCATAATGAGATCTCGATCTGAGCTGTGCTATGATTTGATGCAACTCACGTATGATTTGCGCTCAGTGTCGTCCTTATGCTGTATGGCCTCAAAGGGCATGGTCAGATTGCCAGCTTTGGTTAGCTGATTGGTAAACATGAGCATGACGCTCTCGTCCAGCGAGGAGCGGAACGTTTCGATCATCTCGGGCGGCACAAAGTCCCGATTGATGTCAGTGAATGCGCGCGTATCGTAAATGATGCGGCCCGTATAATGGGCAACAGATAGCTCAGTGGCAGTGTGCTTCTTCACGAACTGGCTGTGCTTTTCCGAAACGCGATCTAAAAGATGAGAAGTCAAATATAGAGTAGTGAAATCATGTCAGAGAGAGAGAGCTATTCCAGAGAAGTGGTTCTGGGTCTACCCATAATCAAGTCCTGGTCCTGACAGGAGCGCGATGCATCGTCTATGATGTAGAACAGGCCATCGGGCTTGGTCAGGAGATTATCTAGGGCCGTCTTGTTGTCATAAAAGTTCAGATTGATGGTGTCAATATCCTCGGCCTCCATTTCTAGCATTTCGCTTATGAAGATGCGCTGATTGTAGTGATACTGCATTTGCTCGTTCAGCGTGTTGATAATCAGCTGCTCCAGGCCATTGCGATGGAAGCACTCAAAGCCGAACATGTCGTGCACGATTATGGCATTCGTGTCACCACTGTACAGGTAGGCATTAATTTAAAGACCAGGATCTGGATACCCAAATACTTACAAGACTGCGCGAGGGAAGGACATATTCATGTTGATCCGATTGATGATGAAGTCAACCAAGCGCGAGTACAGCGTGGAGGCTACAGCATCCCGAGCATCGCGTGCCTCCTCTGTCGTATACTGGCGCCGCTCGGCAATGCCGCCCTTAACCATTATGAAATTGGTGAGCGACCACATGAACTTCTTTTCATCGACGCGCAGCAGTTCAGCGATGCGTGACACAATGTCGGTGTTCTCAACCTCGGCGTATTTGCCCGATTGACGGAAGCGTATGTTGCCGATGTTCAGAATGGCAGCGAGCACTTTTCGCACTGTTTCCAGCTGCTTGTGATTGAAGTCCAAGTCACGTAAAATGGCCTCAAATTCAAGATAGCGCTCAACATTGCCTTCAGGATCATCGCGACGATACTTGAGCTTGGATGGTGGCACATCCGGTGGTATGCGCAGATAGCGATAGCTGCGATCTGGCTTCAGATTGTAGTCCTTCAGCTGATTCTGTTGATTTATGAAATCATAGAAATAGTAAAAGATATGAAAGTTGTGCTGGCTGCCATCGGTGGTGGCCACACGCAGCTTCTCCAGCATATACATATTGAAGACAGCTCCGCTCATCTTGCCAGTCTTGCCAAAGGTCAGACAGTACTGCAGCACACAGCGTGTCGAGTCGTTGTTGACCGGTGTGCCGGCGTTCACCATCATCAGTATAACCTTGATGGAGCTCTCGACGCGTCCAGTGGCGCCGCGATTGCCGTCGCCCAGGTAGCACAGATGCTTGATCAGCAGGCGGGCATTGGTCGACTTGCCCGAATAGCTTTCGCCGGAAAAGACAATGTGCTGCGGCTCTCGATGGTGCAGCATATCCTGATAGGCAATATCTGCCACAGAAAAAATATGCGGCTGGTTCTCCGAGCGTGACTTGAATTTGTATTTGGCGTGAAACTGAAAAGAGATATCAAATATAAAATACGTAAGCTGCATACGGGCGGGACACGCTGGAGACTCACATCATTGGTGAACTCCTGCTTGAGCTCGTTAGAGTTCAGGGAGAGCAGAATGTCGCCAATAAAGCTATAGGACTCGCCCATTTCCATGCGATTGCGCAGCGAGTCGAGTATGCTCTCATCGACTGGATTATCTAGAGCTGCCAAATCTTCGGGATACATGCGCTCCGGCTTCTCGTCGAAGCGCTTAATGTAGCCGCGATCCACAAACAGTTCCGGTTCCTTGTACAGCGTCTTCACATCGCTGGCCAGCTCGAGCATCTCGGCTAGATCCGAACGCATTTCATCCTCGTTTTCGATCAGCTCGGTGAGAAAGGGATGCTCAACCATTTCCACCATCATGGGACGATTCTCGGCATTCTTCTCCAGGCACTCGGCAATGAAGTCGTTAATTTGCTGAGACCAGTTGGTGGGTCGTGTCAGGGTGGGCGGCGGATTGCGCACAATTGCAAACATGGCCCGTGTCGGATGCATGTCCGCGAACGGCGGCTTACCATCGGCCAGCTCAATGGTTGTTATGCCCAGTGCCCAGACATCGGCACGCACAGTTATGTCCGGTTCGCGGGCCTCCAGTGCTGTCACCACCTCGGGCGCCAGCCAGCAGGGCGAACCAATGCAGGTGCCCCGTTTGCCCAGCGTCGAGTCCACCTGACGCGACAGCCCAAAGTCGCACAGCTTAACGCGTCCATTTTTGGTCAATAGAATGTTGTCGCCTCGGATGTCACGATGCAGCACATGATTGCGATTCAGCTCAATGGCAGCGCGACAGGTCTCCCTGACAATGTACGCAATATGTTCCTCCCGCATGCGACGGTCCAGTTTTAGGAGCTTATTGACCATGTCCACAGCAGTGCCACCGGCGCAGTACTATGAGTAGTTAAGAGGTGAGTCGAGTTGGGTATAAAAACCCAGACGTGATTTTATTGGCAAACTAACCTCCATGACAAACCAAATCTCATCGGGTCCATTGGGTTTCGACAGCTTGTAGACGCCATAGAACTCCGGCAAGTTGGGATGTGCGCAATAGTCGCGCAGCGTGCGATACTCCTCCTCAATGGATACCTGGTGCTCCTCATCATAGTGCTGTATCTTCAGTGCAACGATGCGATCATTTTCCAATTCCTTGGCGCGAAACACCTTCGCATTCACGCCCTGCGCAATCTCCTCATAGATCTCGAATTTATCCGTCGGATCCGGCAATTGCGAATATGGCAAATACATATTGAATAACTCGCACAGACAACTCGTTGTATACTAAAGTTGCAAAAGGTGATTTACTCTGTAAAACTAGTGAAAAAGTTCTTCAACCGATTTTGGTGCTGCAAGTTGCATTAGCCTCATTGATGTTGCCTAACACCAACTATGAAAGGATTCGAGGAATTAACACTGAACCTCAAGTGGGTTATTGTTGCACAGGTTATATAAGCGGACAAATTTAAGAGCAGGTGCGCGAGGATACGCAGAAATATATAATTCCGAAATCCCTGAAGCCACTGACTGAAATTCCCAGAGTAACCATACACTAACAAGCTGAAATTTACATATGTATACGGACAAAGTTTGGTTCATCCAAACACCCTGAACTTTTTTTTATATTAAAAAAGAGTGGAAGGTTCAAAACACATTTTGCAGCACTAAAAAGCGAGTGTCCTTAAAGACAGACCTGCACACTTTAGTTAGCTCTATTTATATGTCACACCACAATGATGAAGGAAGAAAGTATCCTTTGGTAGCTCCCAGATAGATTTTCCGAATCGACCGCACGCTTGCAGCACGTAGCGCCGCAGAAAGCCAACTGAAAGTTGTGCAAACGGATTCTTTGGCTTTTTGCTGTGCCCCAGAAGCCCCGCAGTGACGCCAAGGCATGTTTAGCCAATTGCCTATTCCAATTCGGAGAGCACCCCCTTTCAGTGCTTGTACCTTGGGCAGCTATTTAGCCAGCTAATTGAATTAGTAGCTCAGTAGCTCAGACCGCGCGACATTCACGTGAAGCAAAAGAAAATGTGCATAATGTGGGGTGACTGATACAGAGTGAGATAGAGAGAGAGAGAGAGAAACAGCGAGGGGGTGAGAGTGAGGGAGAGGAAGAGATAAGCTTAATTTGAAATTGAATAAAAGTCAGCTGGTTGACAGACTCTAATCGTGCATCTTATTATTTGTATTTACAGATATTCGTAAGTGAAATGGACTGCTAAAGCTAAACATAAAATGTACACGCACTCGCACAATGGATCCATCTATAGTCGTCCTATTCAATATTGAGTATTTTAATTTTAATCTATTCGTATATAATTAATTGTTGTTAATTAAGTGTATTTTAATACTGATTTCTTATTCCGTTTCTTGGCTTTAGCTGCTGCTGTTTGCTAATTGAAGAGCAGTCTTTTATCAGTTGTCTTGGGCAGCGGCAAGGGGCTTAGTTGCACACACTTATCCACTCCTCCACATGGCACTCATCGCACTCGACGCTGCAGCACCATTGGAATTTACAGCGGCAGCGTTCGGCGCGTCGTTCCTTCACTTGACTGTGACCACGCCCACAGCAGAGAGAGGCGCAGCTATCGCTGGTCGTGCTATTGCGATTGCATTTGCGACCAATTGTACCTGAAATATTAAACAATAATAAAATTATTTAGAAATTATAATAAAAATATAAATAAGTAATGAGATCGATAAATATCGATTTATTTTTAAAATATTTTTTTCTGTAGAATGAACAACTCCAAAGAGCGCTCAGCATTTCAGCCATTATGATCTGATCTGATCATGTCAATTTTCAATATGCTAATCAAGTTAGGCAAAGGACTCGATTAATCAACGACTAGTTGGGGCTTTATAAAGTGTTAAGCTGTCGTTCGTGCTCGGCTGCAACTGTTGAAATTGCGGCCATTAAAAAGCGATAAATAAACAATTAACTGCAACGCTAAGCAAAGTATCATAATTGTTAGATGTTAATTGCCAACGTTAATTGCCATCATTTGGCCAGACACGGCACATGAATCAAGCGCCTGTTGAATGCGCTGCGATGAGCACGGCGGACTGCGGGCCGAACGATATGAGCCAACCTCGATAGCTCGCCCCCTCACCGCATCCCCACACCCCATCGCTCGGCGGCGATTAATTATAAATTTGCGTCGTAATTAACACTTTAAACTGGCCCGCAGTCGCAGTCGCAGTCGCCTTTGATAATTTGCAAATGTGTCAACGGCAGCAGCAGCCACAAAATGGCTAACGAAAATTGCAAGTGGCAGTTAGTCATACCCATTAAAAGTGGCTAAATGGGGTATATTGATTTCTGTGTGCATAGTTTTGTTTGTGGAATGTCTGAAAGTTGAGCACTTTAAATTGGCATATTTAATCGAGCAAACGTTTTAACAGTTCCATAATTACTTTGAGTATTATTTTGAGACAGTTAAGATATCTATCTTAACTTAAGTCTTATATAAATATTTATATATATTTTTATAAATATTAAGAATATTTTAGTGCTCTTTCCAAATTCAAGTAAGTTTCATATTATATGTGGATTATAGATCTTAGATATATTCGCTCTATATACGACTTAGATTGTTGTTAGCAAAAGTTGTTGATCTCTGCTTGAGCTCTTAACTTCGTAAAAGTCAACTCAGATTTTTTAGTTACTCCATCGCATTGGCCTGAGCTACTTGGGTCACTTTAGCTAGAGTATCTTCTAGTCATGCATATCTCAGTTGCTGTCGTTATTGTTGTTGTGGCTGCTGCTTGTTGGCGGAGAGTACGTGCCGAGCGCATGCGCAGCTCTCGACTTTGTCGTGGCGCATTTTGAGTTATGTGGCATGTTTGGTAGCTCCGTTAATAAATGGCTATTTTTTGTGTGCAGTTGTTGTTGTTGTTATCCGGCTGCTGTTAATTTGCATTTGTGATTTATTTATTAGAGGCAAATCAAATTTATCGCTAAAGCAATGCCAATAAATCATTTTTAATTAGTGCCCTGTTGTCCGAGTGTGACCGAATTTTTGACATTTTTTTATGTTTTCTTTTGGTAATCTGTTTATAATGGTATTTGCTCTTATCATTTTTCATATATGATTCGCATTTGTTACAATGGGTGAGACAAAAAGTGAGTTAGGGTTTCAGAAAAAATAAAGTTTTTATGTTTGATATAGATGAAAAGTAAAGATGAGCCAATAAAACAGTTTCCAGACTTAAATACTTATAAATTTCCTCAACTCGCTATGCCAACACTCACCCTGAATATCTGCGCTCAGATCGCGTTCGCAAAAGTTCGGCGAGCGCTGATAATAGAAGAGCGACGTCTCCAGCTTTCGGGCCATGCGCGCAGCGTTCTTATCGGCTTTGGGCTGTCGTGCGCCCTGCTCGGCGTCCAGATCGCTTTGGCTGCCACTGCCCGTCAGCGTGGCAGACGCATCGGCGCCAGCCATATCTGTGGAGCTGCCAGCGCTGTTGCCTCCATTCGATTTCTTATTGCGCGAGCGCTTCAGCACCACGATTGGCTCCCCATTGCCCAGATTGGACTGATCGACCAGGATGGCCTTGCGAAACTGATGCTTCAGCACTTTGCCCACAATATGAAAGTCGGGCGCAGATTTCCAGCACGTCTTAAGCTGACAGCTGCCCGACATGCCGTGGCACTTACAGCGAAACTCCATGTTATTCGATACGGCCTAAGCAGAAAGTTGGGCAATCATTCAATGCATAAGGTATTTTCAGTTGATATTCAGATATTCAGTTATTGCTCACTTACCATTCGGCCTGCATGATTGTTGTGCAGATTGATTTTGGATTGTATATCGCCAGCTTTTTCGCGACAATCTAGAAATAACTTGGAGTATTCGACGCCAAAGTCCATGTTGTGGGAGCAGCCGCCCCATTTCCAGCGACTGGCGATTTTGGATCGTTCATATGTCTTCTCCTCCTCGGGCGTTAGGATTTGATTCGTTTCCAGATACTGAAGAAACTGCTTTTTCTCCTTGTCCAGGGACTGGCGCAGGTTCTTGTTGAGCGTCTTGCGATTGATGGTCGGATCACAGCCGCAGGACATCAGGCGTCCTTGGCTGCAGGCGCGCGCCACACTGTGAGCAACGCCAGCAGCTGAAATGGCAAAGGCAAATGCACTCTCCCGATAGCCTGTGAAGAAGATTGTTTAGATTTCAGAGCAATTGCAATGGAAGTCGAAGTGGATGCGTCACTAGGGATTCACGGCAAACTATCGCAAACTAAGTTATGCGGCGTTATTTTTAACACTGAATGCCCAAGCAGTTGTTGTCGCTGTCTGCTCTCTGCTATCTTTGCGATCGCCAAGGGAATTGTGCGGCATTTGGCTTAGACATGGGCTGGACAAGCGTTCAAGCTTTGCCGCCAAGCCTCAAATGCCGCCACCCAAAGCCTGGCCAATTCAATTGATTCCAGCGATCGAACAGACAAGTTTTAATGATGCAAAATTGTGGGCACAGCCAAAGCCAGAGCACACCCACCCAGTCGGTTAGTTGACGGCTTATGCAACAGCTGTCAAACGACTGTCAAAATTGACGTTAATCATGACCGACATGGACCGTCATTGAGCGGACCAAAGTTAGCAACATTTGTCAATCGATTGACATGCAAATTGTCAGCGCCACTTTGCATAAGACAAAACCCCAGAGCAAATCCAATGCACCGGCGACAGTACATATGTCAATGTGACAGGCGTGCATCAAGAAGATGCTAACTGCTAGCCGCTAGCAGGCTGAGAGCTGGGAGATGGAAGCTGCCAGGGCAGGGGCCAAAAGCTGTCAAACAATCAGTCAGAGATGGTCAAGCTGTCCGATGGCAACGAAAGTCAAGAGTCCGTCACTCAGGATGCGCACGAATGCAAATGTCAATGTTGTGACAAGTTGTCGCTGTTGTACAGCCAAAGCAATCGAATGATCGAGCGATCCAGCGATCCACCGATCCAGCGATGGCATCGTTCCAATGTCAATGGTGTAATGCAAAAGTGTAGCGCGCATTTGATTGACGATTAAGACGCCATCAATCAATGCATCAATGCGCACAGTAGCCGCAGCCTAGCCACCTCCTTCACCTCCTTCGCCCGCTGCCACTCGATTGAATTTTTCGCGATCTGTGATCTGTGTGATCGGTGCTCGTTGATCGGTCGATTGGGTCTTGATTTATGCACGCTTTGTTTCTCCCCCCAGGCCATTTGCAAATCCAAATCACATCATTGCCAGCGAGTTACATTTGACAATGCCTTGGGGCCAGTGACGTGCTTCTTACTGCGCATAAATTGGCAAGCGATCGAGTCAGGCGACCAGCCGATCTCTCTCTCTCTCTCTCTCTCTCTGCGACCTGTCCCTGTGCATGCCTGTCTTTGCCCCTTTCCCTTGCCCTGCCTCTGTCTCTGTCTCTTATGTTGCAATCCCAAGTAATTGTTTGCGACATACGTCGCTCGCTTGTTGTCACATGCATTTGGCTGAACCGAGACCAAGATAAAGGTCGATCGTCGTCGACGATCGTACGTAATCCTTTTACTACTTTTGTACATGCCTGCTGCCGCTATAGTCCCAGCCCCACTGCTCAGTTCCCAAGTCCAGCCTCACTTGATTGACAATAATGCATGGCGAAGTAGCAGCAGCAGCAGCAGCCGCAGCAGCAACGATCTGCGATCTGCGACGACGATCAACGATCGACCAGTTCCATAAGTTATAGTAGATGTATGCAAAATAGTTGACCTGTCCGTGCGCCGTTCGATTGTCAGTCATTGTGCCTCTCCGACTTGATTTGTTTCGTTTCACTTGGCCGATCGTCGTCGATCCCTCGCTGTTTTGGGGCTGCTCAGGTTGCTGGCTTGCTTGCTTGGTTGGCTAGCTGGCTGGACTGTGGCTCTGCCCTTATAAGTCTCCCAGTCGCAATCGTTGCACGCGTTGCTGTTGCCTGTCAATATTGACTCTCGTTATGTGCAGTTCAGTTCGGTGTTTCCTTCCTTATTTAATGGACACACGAACGGGCGGCTTGACAAACAGACAACCGGACAGCCGGACAGCTGGACAGACAGACAGCCGGCCAGATCGGCAGACATGTCACTGACATAAGCTTGGGTTTACCATATTCGTACGCTGCGCGCCCCGTTGAAGGCTAGTCGAGAGTTACTTGGAAGTGCTGCTCTGGCTTCTCCAACTGCTGCTGCGGCTGCTGCGGCTGCTGCTGCTGCTGGTGTGGCATGCATTTGGAGATTTATGGTTCGGCATTGTTATATTGGGCAGTGTTGTTAACTTTAACCCGACTCATTTTGGTATTTGGCCCGATCAAGTTTGCGTGCACTTGATGCCAGTCCCAAGATTATGGCTAAATGCAAATTATATGTAGATATGCTGTAATGACATTGTTCTGGCTTTGTCGGAATTACTAAATCCACAATTGCCACAATACCAGCTGAGGCAATCTTAAAGTCAAACGGTTCGTTTAGTAAATTGATTATATAAAATATTTGCCCTAGGCCTATATTTAAGCTCTGATATATGGCTTTTAATATTATTTTATATGTATTAGGTTAGTTCATAAGTTTTTTGCATTGTTTATGTATGCTTGGGTCTATATTTGAGTAAAGTGTTTGAGGGAGTTGGCTTACTTCAGTACGAAATTCTGAACCCAATTGATTCGTTTTCAGAAGTTCTTCAGCAAAATATGTCTTTGGAACCAATAGATCCCACAAATATTTAGATCAGCATAATTATTATACTTAGCTAACTTACTGAATAGCTTAGAATAGTTTTTCAAGAACCTTTCTCGATATGATTTCTTCATTTTGATAAGTCAAGATTCTATATATATATATATTATCAAAATAATAAATTTATATTGACATTAGTGCTTGATTAACTATAGTTTTGCTTACACAAAGACTTCATTGTGCATAGGGTTAGAGTTCTACAGATCTATCAAGGTTTCATGGACATTTGCCTTTTCATCAAAGTGTAAAATGAATTTGTGTTCCATTTTATAATAATACTGCATAATTTCATTCAACTTTTACATTATGCTTTACTCTTAAGTAATATTCTAATACGTTTTTCGCGCTGAACTTTTTTACGACTCTACAAAAATCTAATCCAATTTCATGTTCACCCGACTAATTGATGGACTATAATTTGCTGCTATTGGCGTCTGCTTAGCTTATCCATGCCCATTACCGAAATTCGCATACAGATCGAGTTGGCACATCCACATCCAGATTCACGTTTAGTCGTTCAGTCGTTCAGTCGTTGTCGCTGGCTGGTTCGTTTGTCTCTTGAAATGTCTGGCTGTCGCTTTGCTGTACGTTGTCAGTGGCCGCGGCAGCATCCGTCAACAGAGATAACAATTTTTTAAATTGAAATTGAATGAAGTGGTTTGCTTACAATATAATTTATACGATGAATGCAAATAAATTACGCCGGACTCGAGTCAAGTCGAGTCGTCTCCACTCGACTTGGATGCGCGCCTTTCCCTTTTACTCGACGGTCTCCCAGGCCACTCTTGTTATTGCTTGTTTCATACGATTTTTTTCTTTGCATTTGTTTATTTATTTCTTTCTTTTTGTTGCATTGAAATTTGTGAGAAATCTTTTCAGCCTGGCTACTGGAAGTATATCGTTTGCATCTGCATTGCATGCCGCCATTTTGATCGCTGACCATTCGCCCCATTGTCTTGGACCCTGTCTCTCCTTACAGCAATTGTATGACGCATAATTTAGCTAATGAAGCGCTTGGGAACGCAGTTAAAACATTCCTCAATGCCTCCAAGTCAAAGGATTTTCCAAGTAACTAGCCTGATTGCCACCTTGGGCCATTAGTTAAAGATTGTCTTGCTCTTTGAAGAAACTTTCTAATCTTGTCAATGAATATATGATTTTGATATTCACAACCTATGAGCAATATTCACTTCTATTTCAGGGCGTTTTTGGGTGGCCTACGCTGCCTATAGAACCTGAGAAACTATCGCTGTGAGTCATAACAGTAGTCGCAGCTGATACAGATCGGCGCTTGTGATCATACAGTTACCGCTATTTGCTACTTGGCTAACAAAAGCGGCTAAGAAAGCGGCGACACTTTGTAGATGGTCAGTTAAACATCATCATGACCAACATGATCATAAGGCACACGCCGCGTATCGAGTGTGTGTGTGTGCGTGTGTGAAATATAATGCCTGGCCGACAGATTAAGATATCAAAGTCAAAGTTCGCACTGCCGCTGCTGGGATGCACTAGGCTGTGACAAAAGGTGCGCCCAGAACAAGCCTCGAGCAACACTCTTACTAGCTGGAAAACTTAGAAACATGATCTAGCTGCGCTGCGGCTGACCAACTGGGCCTGGGGCATTAGGCAGCCAGAGAACCAGCTACAGCTACAACTACAGCCACAGTCACAGTCACAGGCACAGCGCCAGCTTCGACTGCTGTGGTTTTGTGCCATGGCGTGTCTAATAATGCGATGGCTAATAGCATCGGACACTGGACCAGGGCCTATTGCTGGGCACTTTTAATTAGACTCTATTCATACACTGATATGGCCAGGGGTATAGGCGATGTAAGAGTCAGCATGAGTCAGTTGAGTTGAGTTAGTTTGCCGTCGATCTGTGAGGACTTGGCTTATGGCATCTGCTAGTCGAGCATACCCGATTTTAGTGCATTTACTTTACTTTTTTACCTAGCGGTTTGCGTGTGGGCCGTTGCTCTATGCATAACCGCAAACCCGTTGACAGTTTGTCGTTTGCTGGTCGTAAAGCGATTTTGTTTGCGTGAAAGCTGAGCCACACTTACGGCGCATTTTAGTGTCAGCTTAATGGCTTTCGGTTGGACCAGGCCACTGCTACTTGGGGCAGTTGGGAAACTTGGCAAACACTTACCTTTCTTGAGCAGATTCGAGGCGTGCGGATTGCGGCTCTTTGTGCTGAGGGACGAGCAGTTCCAGCGATGCCACTGAAACTGCAACCACATAAAATGATTAGCTAATTTGACAACAGAAAGTCCAGAACTGAAACTTAACACAAATTCTAAGAAAATTCTATGATAGCTTCGTGTGTGCATGTGGGTAAATATATAACAAGCTCTAAACGTTTTAGCCTCTATTAACTCAATTAAGATAAGGACAAGGAAATGTTTTAAGAAAACAACTAATAATAATGAAAAAGTATACAAAAATAAAGATATTTTCTATTCAAAGTTTATTCTTATAAGAGTAAAAGAAAATAAACAATTTATATTTAAAATAAATTTATTAAATATCTAAATTTAATTATCAAATATAAGAAATTTCATAGTAATATTTATTAAAATAAAAATTGAGTGCATTTAATCATTTTAGCCAACTACCTGTATCTGGCATTCACGTATGGCCATATCCAGGCCCTCCAGAGCTGCGGCTGTTACATCACTTGCCTTGTAGCAGAGCTCCACCTGATCTTTGGTTAGGCCTGGCACCGAGCGACAAGTGGCGCGTCCATCCGGCAAGCCATACAACCTGTGAGAGTAAAAGTCAAGACAGTTTAACAATATCCTTATTATATATATATAGAGACGCGACTTGTCATATCTTGGCTAACAATCGTGTTTCTCTGCTCAGAGCCCGCCTTGGTCTAGCAGAAATTTGATTATAGCAACCGCAGCAGGCAATTAAATCGCAATCGCAATAACCAACCCCAAAAATCCCAAAACCCAAACCCCAAACTCAATTTCGTAGCCAACACAAATCACAGCCCGAGCTCACACAGACCGCAGCCGAAAGTCGTCATTAACCTTGAGCGCCAAAAAACCGCAGACGAAAAAGTACAAAAAAAAAGAGAAATAAATAAAATTTAAGTGAATAAAATATAAAAATGCCTGGCAACAAATTTAATTTAATTTCATTTTATTTGTTTATGTGAAATTTAATTTGACTTTGTGGCAGATTTAATCAACGAGCGCGCAAAGGCAAAGCTCTCAGCGCAAATAGACGGACGGACAGTAGCTAAATTAAATTCCAGAGCTGTCATAAATCTTCAGGCAAGTCTTTGGTCTATGACTCACGCAACAGAAGCCTGTCCAAGAACCAACTCGTTGAGGCTCGCATTGAACTCATTTAAAGCGCGCCATGGCACTCAAGGTCAGCGGAGAGGTGTTCTGATCTTGCGCCACAGATACTGGCACAGATACAGGCGCAGACACATGCACAGACACAGATACAGACATAGATACAAAGACTGAATGCGAGTGCCAGTTGACGTTGAACAACTTCATCGCCACATCCATCGAAATCGCCATCGCATCGCGTTGATCTGTGACACGCAGAGCGCAGTTGTTGTTGTTGTTGCTGTTGCTGTTGGCATACCAGGCGTATACGTGATGCGCTCAACGATGGCGTCTTCAATGTAGTTTCTTGCGCACGCCACTCCGCTCAGCTGGACGGGGAGGGGTGGGTGTGGATTAATTGTAGCACGTAGCGCATGTAAAAAATACTCAAATGTTGAAACGTGCCATTTTCACACACGTAGCCAGCGCTGCAACTGATCTGAGGATCTGCCATCATTTGGTATGCCATTCACGCTGCCCAGCGCAGAGCCTGTGCTCCACTTGCTTCCCGTTTACTGCATATGACGTTGTCTTGCAGCTGCAGCTGCAGATGCAGATGCGACACAGTTTAGCCATGTTAATGAGGTGCAACTCTAGCGTGGGTACATGTGAATAAAATACTATACTTTGATCCTCTTACTTTGATACCATCTATGCTAATCAATATATTATATTGTATATTATTCTGAAAATCTTATGAGTCGATTTATGTATTAGAATGTGTAAGTAAGGATGACCAAACAACAGCAATACCATTTGAAACCACTATATTGTAGTTATTGCTTAAGTTATAATTAAGAGACAGGTGTCAAAAACTTCACTAAAACTTGCCATTTGATCATGAATTATCTTGCAAAGATGAGGCACACCTTTGAACTATGGATACATTTTTACTAAATGGCATAGATGTAGATATAAAACAAAACTAGAAAAAATTAAATATTACAAATCATTTTTGTTTCCTTGTAATTATTTTTTCTACTGCTCTTATTTGGTCAGCTTATCAATTTGAGATTTTTTTTATATAAAGTATCGGAAAAGTTATTAATGTAGAGTATGTTGTTGTCATTATATGAGTAAAGCATAATGATGCTTCCATAATGATTAAACAGTCTGTCAAAATCGGTTGATATCAATTTATGTATGTATCTAGGTTCCTGGGTTGATGGACTATAGTTGCCATAGAAATAAACGCTCAAATATTAAGCATATATAGTCAAACATGTTCTGCCCGTGGAAACATATTGAAAGAGTTTATTAGGCTACCAATAACTCGGGAAAACCATATATAATTGGTACTACTATATAAAATCTTAGGTTATAATCCCTCCTTTACTTTTTTTTACAGAAATATTCGCTTCTATAATTATTTTAATTATTGTATATTTTATATTATTGAAGCTTATTCAAGCTATGAATTCTTATCCACGTATTCTGCTTGGCCCAGTTCAGTCCACTCTCTTCTTATCAACTTTAATATAGTTGAAGTTTAAGATTTTAAAGCCAAGAGTCGAGCTAATTTTTAAGTATTTCCTATTCGTGGCAGCTTTCGCTTTTGGCTTGCTGAAAAAACTTTTGTGCATTTCATGGCTTAAACGTTAAAAATAAAACATTACGAAAAATGTGATAAAATTCGTTTAATTACAGAGGGAGCTAGCGTAGAGCTATGGAAATGAAATGCTTCGGCTGACTGACAGTGGGGCACCCTGTATTTGAATAGTCGCCCGAGATCAAAAGCATTCCTAGCTGTTGCCGTGGCTTCGGCAGCCAGGCTGCCAGGCTGCCTGGAATGTCTCGTCTCGACCGGGGCAAAGTTATCTGCCTTGACTTGAGTCTGGCTGCCAGCATATGTGTGTGTGTGTGAGTTAGCGTATCTGTGTGTGGGAAACAATGTTTATGCCTAACTGGCTTAGATAGCTAGCTGATTTGATATAGTTTGTGGAGGGGCATAAAGCAACGAAAAATCCTTGATTTATGCACGGGCTACCGTTTGACAGACGTTGCGGCCCAAACGCTGCTCGGCTGAAGACTTTTGGCGGCGCCTATTAAAGCCTTGCCACACATTTCAATCTTTATGGCATTTCAATAGAACTCCAGAGCGTGAGAAACTTCAATTATGAAAATGAAATAAAAATTTGTGCCCATCGGCCGTATATATATAAATATATATACGTTTTATTGGCAGACTTTTAGTTTGCTTCAGTTTATTTGTTGGTTATCGTGGCAACACTTTACACGCCTGATAAGCAACATCATCGTCCTTAAACTCAAATTAACCAACCTGGCAACATTTTAAGCCACGGCTAACAGATCGATAAATTTTATAAGCGAATCAATTGCGCTGCTATCGCATCGCGTGAAATACGCGCTAAGCCAGACAGACAGCCACATCGGATCGCCATCGGATCGGATTGGATCGAAGATCTGCCGCATGCTGCACGCCGCTGCATGAGTCAGCGTCGGTTCCTTGACTTTGTTGCCTTATCAGTTTTATTGAATTCACTGGCAAACTCAGCACTGGCAGTGCCAACAACAACGTCTTCGATGACGACGACTAAAAGCCATACGCTTTATAAAGCTGTTAACAAAATGTGCATCAGTTTAAATTCTTTATCTGAGAGACGTCTGGCAGATGGCTCTGTGTGATGCCCTGCATTGCATATCTGGCGACCAATTAAAATGCATTTTGCCAAGAAACTTTATTATACCCTGTAGCCATTGAGCAAGGCTTGAAGCGTATTTTTATTTTTATGTCTATTCCCTCAGGCACAATGTCTGTAGGTTAATTATGTAGAACCTTTCTGCTAACACGAACACTAAATTCATTATATTTCAAATTATTACTATATGCCGTATATACTATATATAAGTTATATATATAAGTTTGTGAAAGCACAGCAATACTGAGTATCTCCATGTCGGCTACGTCACTTAGAAAACTCTTGTCTTATATTTATTTTCATTAAGTTTCTCTCTTTGCGGCTTTTTAAATTGCAGTTTTGTATGCCTGATATTGAGTTGGTGATAGAGCAGCTTCAGCGAGTTCCATGCGAATGGATTTCATGTTTAGCAGGAAAAGTGTATTAAATTGTAGCCAAAAACTTGCCAAAAATTATGTATCCATTATAAATTTTGAAATTCTGAATCAAGTTACAATTTGCTTATTTATAATATATATAATATATTTATTAAATTAATTAATTTATAATATATAAAATATATATTAAATTAATTCATTTATAATATATATAATATATATTAAATAGTACCCAAAATCTAAGAATTCTTAGACTTATCTCTTCATTTCTTTGAACAATTGTTGTGCCCAGCTTAAGTCCATCTGATCTCCATATTCTTTAGGTGTGTCCTTTATGTTAGCTTAGATAATGCTACACATTTATCAGCTGCTCTTTATCTACTTTTATCTAACTTATTGCCGCTGTAAATGAGCTGTAAATTTCAGCAAAGAATCGAAATCTTTGCTGGGGCAACTTTCTCGCAGTTCGGCAAGTGTCGAACCGAAGATCGTTTGACTACCAATCGAGGCGGCCTTATCGCGCTGCCCAGCGATAAGAGAATGCCACAAATTTAACAAGCAATTAAATGCGCTGCATATCGTGCATATAAGACTGCAGACCTGAGGCTGCCAAAGTAGCAGCGACTCATAAATAAACCAAGCTCAAGTTGTTGCCTTGCGTTGCGCATACGCCATGTGTTGCAGCGCAGCACACTTCAAGCTGTGTGTGTGTGTGTGTGTGTGTGTGTGTGTGTGTGTGTGTGTGTGTGTGTGTGTGTGTGTGTGTGTGAGTGTTCGTGTGTGTTTGATGCATCCAATTAGGATTCGGTTGCTGCACATTATACGTTGCACTTGCTTAACTGCGTTGGGCACACTGTCATCATTGGGGGCGTGGCCGTGTGGGTGTCTGTGTGCTTCATTTGCATTTCAAACGAAAATTGAGGCAATTTTCGCTGCAGATGCAGTTGCACTTGCCGCATGCCTGTGTGTGTGCCTCATTATGCGCTGCAATTATGACGTTGTAACTACGAGGAAGACGACCGAATTGCAGGCTGCTCTTCAGGTTGCATTGCTGCAGTCTCGAGTTGACTGCAACTGCTCGTCGTCGTCGCTGCTGTTGTTGTTGCTGTGTTGTCAACAAGCAAAAAAGTATGTTGACAACCCCATGCAACAATAACAACAACAACAAGGAGAGCAACGAGATTAACAAGCTGCAACTACTAGGCGAGGCAACCAGTCAGTCAGCCAGTCAGCCGCACCTGGAACCTGGACAGACATTGCCTCTCGTTCGCCTGATTGCGCACAGCATACACACATACACACACGCAGACATACGCGTCGGAGTCGGAGACCGATTGACAGCGCTTGGCGCATTATAAGGCCCTGAGTGCCACGGACCACCCTGCAATTGAAATCAACTCAATTGTGTAGGTTGGCCGCAGTTGATGCGAGGACGAGACAACAAGCCCAGCAGCCAGAGCAACAGCAACTGGAAGCAACTGAGCAATTGCCATTCGGCTGTGTGTTCTCTGGGTGGATACCATGTCCAGTTGCGGCCATGAACCATTCAAAATGGCGTTGACTTCTTTGGCAAAGAATTCCTTTCTGTTTCGTCTAGCTAAATAGCTAAACATAGCAATGGCTGCAGAGAGCTGCCTCTAGCAGCAGTTCAAGAATTTCAATAGCTTGAAGAATGGCTAAGGCATTTAGGAATTTCAAAAAGTATATAAAATAATTGAAAAAATTTATATGCTTCTTTATTTGTTTTTTAAAGCATTTTATAAAGTCTATGAAAATACTACTATTAATATTATTTAACATGAACCAAGAGAACTCATATAAATATATCGTTAAACAATTTGGTGTTAAATCATTGATTAGCAAATGTTGTGTAAGATTATATATTTAAATTGATTTTTCTTAAAGAGCATAATTTTATGAGTTTATAATAGTTTACCTTAAATTTAAGCAATGTAAGTAAAATAAATTAAATGAATGCGATCAATCACCTGTATGAGTTATCTATATAACATATATATGGTATCAATATAGCCTTATAACTTTATGAGTAACAAATCATTTGCTAGGTCTCGACTTTGTTAATTTATATTCAAGATAACTATTTTTTTAATAATATCGATTCATATAAGATTTGTATCAAGAAGTTAAGAAAGAAAAATTGTAGATTTACGAGTCGATTCGATTTACTCTGAAACGTGGTTCCTGAAACTTGGTTGCTTGGCTCCTGAAAGTTCGATCCTGAAACTTGGTTGCTGAAGCTTGGTTCTAGACACTCAAAACAACTTCATCTATTTTAAGAATATAACTTTCAATTATGCATCTGCACTATACAACATTTTCAAATATCTAAACAAAATTAATATATATATATATTCTTATACATATGATATAAAATACTTGAAACCTTGAATAAATTGACAAAATTAGAGTTTCAATCAATATTTAAAACATTCAATTTAAGCATCAATTTGCTTCAGCTCAGTTTCCTAAGCAACTAACTAACTTGGCATAGAGCTCAACTTATAGTCAAGAGAAAGCTTAAATAAATTTAATTATTTGCTGAGCCTAGGTCGTTCCTTCAAAGTTTCGTTCCAGCTTGCTCAAACATTTAAAATAAATTAAATGAGTTGAGTTAAGTTTTTGATTCGCATAATTGTTCCACCCTGAATTGAGCGCAACAGCAACAACTGCAGGCAATTAAGCAGGTAGCTCGGCTGGCCGGCCTTATGGCTAGATCAATATTAATTATGCCAACACCTATGGCTGACAGTTTTCGGGAGGGGACGACGGGTCGAACGGACGTGTAAGACTCGCATTGATTAATCTGTTGACTCAGCAACATAAAGTGCTGCTGATGCTGTTACTGTTGTTGTTGCTGTTGTTGTTGTGGTTGTCGCTTAATTAATTAACTTGCCACCGACAACGACAACAGCAGCAGTAACAACGACAACAACAACCACAACAGCAACAACTGCGCTTGTGTAATGCTTGGGTTAATTTGTTGACAGGCCATTTACACATTTGAGTTTTGCTTTACATACGCGCCAAAGTGTTGATGGATGCGGCTGGACAGCTACTTAGATAGATACGAGTGGGGCTGGTTGTCTGTATCCGCAAGATACTCGTTGTTAACACTATGTATCCACAAGATACTCGCACTTACCACCGTGTGCAGCAGGCCAAGATAATCACAACAATTAAATGCAAATGGCAATGGCGCGACGGCGACTGTGTTGCAGTCAAGTTGTTGCTGTTGTTGTTGTTGCTGTTGCCAGTTGCTGTTGTTGCTTGCCACGCAGTCATCGCTCGACTTTGATTTGCATAAATTTTCATACAATTGAAGCCCAAATTTTACTAGCAGCACATTTTGATTGCATTTGTTGTTGCTGCACACACAAGTTAGTTGATTAGTTGCTGCTGTTGCTGTTGTTGTTGTTGTTGTTGTTGAGCTGGTTTGCCGAGGCCATGCAACAGCAAACATTTTGTAGTACACATTGAAGCCACACAGCAACACTTTTTGCTACGCACATCACATATTCGTTGCATATTTTAAATTTGGTTTTTATTTCAGCCTATTTAAGTTATTGGAATGATTTTTAAATTATTATTATTATTGTTTATTATTATTATTTAATTATTATTATATTATATTATTAGCTCTTCACATAGATTGCACATATTTTTCACATATTTTATATAATTTATATAAATAATAATCGTAAATTATAAGCCAATTAATTAATTAATTTAATATATTTAGAAATATTTCTATATTTTTTTATTTAAATTCAATCTTTTTTTATTTATTTTTAAATTTTTTCAAAATCTTTTTAAAGTCCATATATTATTCTGCCTACACTGTTAAACATTCTTTTCTAAAAGTTGCCATTGAATTATGTTCAAATAAAAAACATATTTTAATTATTTTTATATTTTTTCATAAGTCCAAAAATTCACAACTTTTCACATAATTCAAATATATTTATTGTTTGTCTTTTATCATAATTTTATCCTTCTTGTAATTGAATTTTAAATCTTCACATTTCTGGCCAATATTTTACCAATGTTTGGCCATTCTTTGCCATGCTTTCAGGGCAAAGCGTTAAGCGCGGCTATCGAACCGCCGATCGCGCGCAAAGCGTCAATAAACATTGACCGTTCAGCTCTGAGCTCTTCAGCTACTGGCTAGCTGAGCAACTTCTTTGGCTTGTAATATTTATTTGTTACCTTCTTTTATTTTGCTTACGTTTTATTTACAATCGTTTTTTGCTCGGGCTGTTCTGATTGGTCCGCAGCTTTGTTATTCTTTTTATTTTACACGAACTTCACTTCTGGGTGGCTTTTCTTTCTCAGCTCTGAGAATTACGTTCGATTCGTTGAACTTTTCTTAAGCTATTTCTAGCTCGATATAATTTTGTGTTCAATTCAATTCAATTTATGAATCAGATTACTATGAGATATTTGTCTGACTAGTATAAAATCCAATTGCTACACACAATTAATAATTTAATTTAATTATTAAAGAATAGGAAACATTTGTTGGCTTTAAATTCATTTTGGTTTAAATTTCACTAACAATTTTCATTTATTTTTAGAGTTTATAAACTGTTTATTTAATATAATATACATTTATAAAATATAATTTGCACATTCATGCTTTTCATTTAATTTAATTTGAAATTTATAACTAGTTTAAAAAATGTTATAAGTAATATTTGAATGAAATTTATTTATTGTTTATCTTTTAAATGCATCAAATATGTTACGAGTTTTTTTTTTTAATTATTTGCCATTGCTTTGGGTGGTATTCAATTTAAATTTGTTTCAATTCAAATTCTTGAAAGATTTTTTAATATTATTATTTCAATATTTTTAATTTTAATTTCTGATTAATGTATATTTTATAATTAAATACATTTTATTGCACAACTTAAATTGAAAATATTTAAATTGATTGTTATTGATTTCATATTTCAATTAATTTAATTTTTTTCTATTTCATTTGTATTTATTTTTTTTATTTTCTATTTATTGCAGCACTGGTGATGGATGTGTAAATAAATTTGACGGAAGCCACAGGACACAAGACGTCCTGTCTCGGAAACGCGCCGCACGACTATGAAGCGAGAGCCGAGTGCGACAGGCTCTAAATGCAAATTAAAATCAAAAATTGAAACAGAAACAGAAACGCTTGAAGCAGCGTCCTGCCTCGTCCTGTGCGTCGCAGTCTGCGTGCTGCTTGTTATCCTTGCAGTAATGATGTTGAGGCTGATGATGATGATGCTGCTGATGATGATGCTGATGATGCTGGTGTTAACGGAGATGAAGATGCGCGTGCCTTGACTGATGTGCGCCCGTCCTTGGGGTGGCTGCGCAGCGACTGGCTGGCGAAAGTACAATACATCAAAGGACACACATAGCCAGCCACATTGAGGCAGGGCTGCTAGCCGAAGTGATGTACTTAGTTGCCTCGTGCATTTGTCGCATGCGAGATTTGCCGATTGGCCTCCTACCCTCAGTCCATTCAACGCTCCATTGACTTTTTATGTTGCACTTGCGGCCTAATTAACACAAAAGGCAATGTGAAAGGATTTATCTGGCTCAAAGCGGCTCCGCCCCCAATAGATGTCACCACCCCTGCCCGCTGCCCCCTTACCAATTGACACCTGCTGAACCCCAATTCGTTTGTTTAAGGCTTTAAAGAGGCTTTAGAAAAATGAAAACTGATTAAGTGGCATTGTTGTTGTTGTTGGGGGCACGGATACAAGGACACACGTCCGAGTGCCACTTCTGCTGAACATCAAAGGATTAAAGCGACTGCAACAACAAAAGTGAAAACTGGCGCAGTCAAGGACTCCAATTATTGCATTCGTGGCCTTTGTTGTTGTTGTCTTTGAAATATGCTAATTTAGCACGGCGCCGGGGTAAGGGCGCCCATGGGGGAGAGAAGGGCTGACCTTAGAGCAACAAAGGGCTGAGAATAAGGCAATTGATTCTCGTCTACTTCCTAGTTTCTCAGGGCAAAGGCTAAGTAGCGAAATAACCTCAAATGTGGGTCGGCTTGCTGTGTGAGTGTGTGTGTGTGAGTGGATGTATGCATGTGTGTCTTTGTGTCTGCATGCTGGCGAGTGTGTGAACTTAACCCTCTTTGACTTTTCACTTGCTACTTGTTACACTTCAAAGGATGCGACTGCGGCCAAGTAACACTTGTTGCCAGCTGTTTGTGCCACAATCTACAGCAGCATATGCAGCGCTTAGCCCTAAGTGGAAATGGCAACTACCTTTTGTTGCTTTATATTAACATCAGATTAGAATTTAGCCTAGGTTAGGCTTTTAATCTGAGCTCTTTAACGTTTAATGATAGCCGAATGAGGCAGATAACAAGTTCATATAGACGAGCTTATTTATTTTATTATTATTTTTTGAGCATATATTTATTATTATTTTATAGCATATTTACTGTGAAAAGCCAGGTTGTCGCTGTTTTTTTATCATCTCTATATAATTTAGTAGTAATTTTAATAAATGAATTTTGACTAACTTTTCAAAGCATCATAGATATTTATCTTACTTTATGAATATTGTTAATTGTGTTAACTGCGACTGACTTTCTTGTCTAAAAAGATTCTTGCGCTGTGAGCTAACATTTCCCCTTGATATATTCATAATATCAAAGTCTTCCATTTACAGGCTCAAGAGTGACTATGCTGGTTCTTTAAGCAATCAAAATCATTTGATGACGTAATTGATAATTATTTGTTATGTAAGCAATTGCTATAGGTGCGGCTATGCAGTGTGAATGTGATGCCATATTTTGCTCAGTTTGCTCTCATTAAGCACATCCGTTAGCGAATGAAAACATAATCTTTTCCCATGTAGTCAGAGTCAGGCAGACACACACACACACATGCACTCTGTGACCACAGCAACCGCAACAACAGCAACAACAAATTTGAGCAGCTCTTTACCGCATGCAATTGCCATGAATCACCATCACCTGGCTGTGGCTGAGGCATCAGCTTGAGGCTCTCTACTTGTACTGGTTCTGGCTGTGGCTCTGGCTCTGGTTCTGACGGCACATCCATCAATGTGCCGTTGACATTTGCTGCGCTGTTGACAAGAATTGTCACAATAAACAATACAACCACGACAAGCAGCAGCAGGAATAATGATAGCGGATGGAAAGGACGGACACGGACACGGACACGGACACGGCCACGGCCACGTGACATGAACGAGGTGGAGGAGCAGCCAGTCAGGCAGGCAGCAGCATGATGATTAGTTTGGTAAGTGGCAGCAAGAGGAATGCGCATAAATTACCAAAAGGATTAACCAGAGCAGACCCCGACCCTGATCCAGAATCGGACTCAGGCTCAGACTCAGACTCAGCCTCAGACAGCTGAAAATGGAACTGGCACTGCAAAGGGTTGTGTCCTTGTTGCTGTTATTATTGTTGGGCATGAAAAATGTGCAGTGAACTGTAAGGGATTCCCAGCTCTCAGCTATCAGCTACGCTCTCTGGGGTAAGGGGACGCCATTGAAATTAAAATCAGATCAATTTCACAGATATTAACATATTTTTGCGCAGGGCAAGTGTTGATATCTCAGTTTAAGTCCCTAACAATTGGGGGTTGCTTTTGTTTCAGCCCGTTTCAGAAAAGGGTATCACAAGGGTAGCTTAGCTTTTAGATGACAGAGAAACTAGGCAAACTAGGAAACACATTTTTATAAGCAAAGCTTTACTTGTTTATAGCGTGTGAGAAACTAATAATTATTTAGCTGAATCTATTTTAAAATATCATCGTTAAGATTAGAAATTTAAATGCTATAGATACAGGTCTATGTCTTAGGCATGAATTTTAATTATATATTTGAAAATATCTATAATTATTTTTAATTTTAATTTATAATTTTTTAAGTTATTTAAAAATCTCATAACAGGGTTGGGTATTTGTCTGACCGACTATTGCCTGACATTTCCTTTGTGGGTTGCATCCTCAATTAGTGTCAAGGGTTGAGGGTTGTCTGGCCTTGTTGTGCCCATTAGTTGATAGATATTACAATGGATTTGCGTGCATGATTATATTCATTATATGGCAATTCCCACGCCCACCGGGATATCATTTTTTTATGTTTGTTTTGGCTTACCACATTTTGATTGATTTTCATTAATGTTCATAGTTTTCTAAAGCTCTGCACTGATATTTGCAGGTGAGCCTTTAAGTTCAAGACAATTTGTGCTCATTAAAAGGAAAAATTCAAGA